CCGCACGATGCCAACGTCGTATACTCAGTCATTAAATAAGATGCGCAAATGCTTCATTCATAATTCGAAGGTGTCATGCGAGTTTTTCTGTGAATGGAGCAATCATTTGAAACTTTTTTATTTTTATCCCCAGTTATTTTTGCGTCCTTGTGAAATTGATAATGGTGAAGCAATCCTATACAGAGTATCCTATGAATGGAGGTCTCGATACGTGTTGGAGATTAGGAAAAAGTTGCGTTCTTTGGGGCGTATTTACATGCCGTTGAGAAACTTGTAAAAATTTCACGGCTCGTTTTTATTTTTTCTCACTTTATCTTAAGGGATATCAAAAAACTAATGAAGATTTTGGCACTTTTTAGCCACGACATGATGGTGTTTTTAAATTTTGTGCCAGACGGTTCGTTTTTGAGAAACCATCATTAACTTTATTTTTTATATGGTCCGAAAACAAGTGCACCCTGTATCTAATAGCAGCTTTTTTTACGAATTCAATGATCTATCACAAACATGTTACATTTATTTTCTTGTTTTTTAAGTAGGCGTTGCAAACAAATGATTGACTTGACGTAAATACCTGTCCCGAGTATTGTTATTATCGTGTAATGTTAATATTGTTTCATTATCGTCAAAGATGACAGACGGTCATTTTAGCAATGAAGAAAAGTTCGACATGCTGACGTGCTTTATTTTGTGCTACAAAAATACTAAAAATACTGTAGAAATGTATCTTGATAAATTTCTTGAAAGAAGGCAGCGAAGTTAGTCCATTTTCTTAGAGTTGGCTCGAAATTGATTCAGTGAGAAATTGTCTTCAAAAGCTACCACTTTGTACGAGGAGCGGAGGAACCGGTTTTAGTCAGCGAACGCAGAATTACTCTCGTTCATAAACCATTTGCCCTTTATTTACTAATTTAGAGATAATGTTGGATTTTCTTTTTAATCTTTGTTTTACTTAAATAGAAAAGGACATATTTTACTCTGTGATTTACTTTGAACTCCAACCTCCATTAGTTTAGTTTTGGAAAAAAAAATCGTAATAATTGTCAATCTACTTTATCTTTGATGTTGTGTTAGCTAAGAGCACAGACTATTTATTTTACTGTCTGATGGCGATTGTAGCAATAAAGATAAAGTTTCTATATTTTGCGGTTTTTGTTGTATTACTATCCTGCTGTTGCCAGTTACTAAAGCTACTATTCGGCATCTGGCCGAAGGACGACAATAAATTGTAGTCGAATAGGCCGGCACGGGTATTACGTATCTTAAAAGTGACATTTCGTCGGTTTTTTGTGATAACGTAGGTCCTTCAACAAGATGTTAACTTAGTACAAGCTGTTGTACACTTGTTGTGAACTCGTTTTGTAGCTGTACGTGTTGCTTAAACGTCAGCGAACGGCAATTATACCGAGCAAAACGTGAACTATTTGTACACTAAAAACTAACTAGTCTGCAAGATGACATTTCGTCGTTTTTTTCGGATTCTACATAATAGTCCTGCGAATACGAGGGATGTCTTTTAAGTTTTGCATATAGAAACATAGTAGGCCGCGCGGATCGAACGTCAGTACTGAATCTTAACCTCACTCTTTAGTAAACTTAAATTCAAAGTTTCACAACAATGTGTTCTCACTACAGTGAACTTTTAAGTGTCACCAAGTCATTAGTAAAATGGAACTCAACCGAGAACATTTTCGCGCCATAATTTATTACAACTAGAGACAATTATCGCAACAAGAATGCCTTGCTGAGTTACTGTCTGTTTTCGGCAACGTAGCGCCACACCAGTCGACAATTTCCCGTTGGTATGGAGAATTCAAACGTGGACGGGTGAGTCTTAGCGACGATCCCAGGGTGGGTGCACCAAAAACGGCAGTCACCCAGGAAAACGTCGATGCTGTGCGCAAATTCATCATTGAACATAGACATGTGACATAACGCGAGATTGAGGCGACCTTGAAGATCTCAAAGACCTCAATTCAAAAAAATTTACATGAAGAAATAGGAGTAAGAAAATTAGTTTCTCGTTAGATACCCCACCTGTTGACTGAAGAGCAGAAAGTAGCTAGGGTTAATTGGTTTTTAAAAAACGCTTGACCGTTTCAATTCCGGAAACTCAATAAATGTGTACAGCATTGTTAGTGCTGATGAATCGTGGATTTACTGTTATGAACCAGAAAATAAACGACAGTCGGCTGTTTGGGTGTTCCAATGTGAAGAAAAGCCAACAAAAGTCATCCGTTCTCGAAGTGTTTCGAAAAAGATGGTCGCGACATTTTGTGTCAAAAGCGGGTCATATTGCAACAATTCCTCTTAATGAGCAAAGAACTGCTACTGCGGATTGGTATACCACCATTTGTTTGCCAAAAGTAATCAACGAGCTTCGAAAAATCAACCCCGAAAGAAGAATCATCCTCCACCAAGACAATGCAAGCTCGCACACAGCCCAAAAAACAAGGCAGTATTTAACGGAAGAAAACCTGGAATTATTGGACCATCCTACATATAGTCCCGATCTAAGTCCTAACCATTTCTTTACATTCCCGAAAATTAAAAACAGACTGCGTGGTCAAAGGTTCCAGTCGCCAGAAGAAGCAGTTGACGCATCCAAAAATGCCGTTTTGGATATGCCAGCAAACGAGTGGAATAAGTGTAAATGTTCGTGGAGAATACTTCGAAAAACAATAAAGTCATTTAAAACTACCTACCGTGATGTTTTATTTCCATATGCAAAACTTAAAAGACATCCCTCTTAACGAATAGTAATCGGATATCCGTTGCAACCCTAGTGTCGGCTATTAACCGTTTTGGCGAATGGTAAAATTATGTACTAGTCATAACATTCTGTAACACCCTGTATAATTCAAGCTGCGCCCTATGTTTAGAGTTTAGTATTCAATTTATTTTCTAGAATTTTGAAAAAAGGTTGTACAGGGTGCATCCGACAGGCCCTTCTATTCACCTAGAACCAGTAGCCGTTTCGTCAGATTCCTTGGATCCTAATTTTGTCTTCATCTTGGACGCTGGCCTGAAAATATTCGTGTGGAATGGTAAGAAAGCGAAGAATACGTTGAAATCTAAAGCGAGGCTAATGTGTGAGAAAATAAACAAGAACGAGAGGAAGAATAAAGCTGAGATCAGTACAGAAGCTCAAGGGAGTGAAGGCAAGGAGTTCTGGACGGTACTGGGTGAACCTGACGGGGGAAAACCAGATGAACCACCTAAAGTGAGTTGTTTTCTTCACAAGAAGTTTCAAATACTTACTATGTGGAATGTCCTGACTTGACGTACGTTACTGGTTTACAACACAAACACGCCAAACCAACGTCTCGAGAAAGTGACCAACCTGACAGCAAATGTTTTATAAACTGCTACCTATAACAGAGATGCTGGCGACTCACTTTTTTCGCTTTTTCTCACTTTTTTCGATCCATCTCAGTTTTACTCACTTTTCAAAATATTCACTTTTCTCACTATTTTCGCTCTGGCTGAAGATTGTAGTTTATGAACGTTTCCAATGAGCTGTCCTCCTTTTCTCAAGCCCCACAAAATTAAATGAAGAGAACATTTTTTTTTAAATTAACTATGTTAAAGTTGTTCATGTACAAGGTTCTTCCCAAGCTGAGCCAATCTACATGGGAAAGTACTAGGATTAGTTGAAATCTACGTCGCATTTTAACTCAACTCTGCTAAAAGCACTCTCTCTCTCTCTACATATTGAAGTTGAGTCATTAATTTTCAGATAATGATTGTAGAAGGAAGATAAACCAAAATATGTGTGTAAAAATAAAAAAAAAAAATAAAAAAAAATTTTTACCTTGTTTTATAAAGTATCCTCCCGACAAGTATTTCAGTGCGGACCTGTATTTGATCGTGAGGTCTTGGAGCACCTGTGAGGTCCTAAGTCACCTGATTCACGAGCCCGTTGTACTACATTAACAAAGGCACGAGGGGTTGGTTGCACTCGATTGGGAAACCGATCCGCATAAACATGTGCCATTTTTTATTTCGTTTGAGCCACGCAGCAAACACCACTATTCACTCACGCGTTAGCGACTGACACAGACTGAATAAAAACATCGTGATCAGCGTTTCAAATTCTTTCGCTTTTTTGTTTCCGATGCGATGAACCGATAAGGCGGATTATATCCGTTGTTGCCAAACACGAGCACATAATATTATTATTGAGACAGGGCGGTACTCAAACTTCTAAAGGGCTATAACTTTGATACTTTAATTTTACCACAAAAATGTTAAAGGAAAAAAACATTTCTTTTGATCAGATCTACTCACTGTTAAAATAAATGACTCAACTTCGAAGTATATATATATATATATACTATATTTTAAATTCGGAAACGGTATGCAATACATTAGTATTTTCGGAGAGAGAGTCGGAAAATACGAATTTACTCTGAATCGTTTTCATTTTCTCCTGGCTTAATTTGAGCTGGGATTTAAAGATAAATTGCATTAACAGTGGCAATTTCTTCAAGCTTGGTACAAGTAACTGTGGGACTAATCTTGAAACTGAATTTTGAAGCAGTTAACAATTGAGCTGCAATTTTGTATGCCCATCTGGTTCGTGTGAATTAACTGCCGCCATTTTGAATATAATATGGCGTATGCTACGGTATAGCGATTCATCATTTCTGTTTCTCTCATCAAGAGCAAATAGATATAAGAACGGCTATCTTCTCACTCCCTTTTTTTGAAAATCTCACTTTCCTCTAAATTCATGCTGTGGGCTGCCAGCACCCTTGCTATAACTAAACTGTTTGTTTGAAGGAACATGTGGATCTCAACTTTACACCTATAACACCAAGGTTGTACCAAGTACAGCTAGGCATGGGTTATTTGGAATTACCCCAAGTGGAGGTACCACATGGAAAACTAGTGAATACACTTCTGAACAGCAAACATGTCTACATATTGGACTGTTATTTGGATGTTTTCGTATGGTAAGTGAAATATTTTATGGCTATTTAAAAAAGGAATTTTTAAAATCACGACCTCGTATATTTTGTTTTTTTTATTTTCCGACTTAGTCCCTTCTAACTTCAAGGTTCTTCTAATTTTTGAAATATTAAATTACGGTGCGTATGTTATTTTCGTACAGTTGCGGCTTTCAATGGGACTGGATATCTTCTTGTGGTATATGTTAATCAATGATTTTGTCAGATTGTCAGTATGAGCAGATGCAAATATAGTTTAATAAGTAATATTTTAAGTGGGAAAGTGTGAATGTTTGTTTCGCAATCACGCCAACATGGCTGAACGAATCTGGATAAAATTTGGTACAGGGATAGAGTATAGTCTGGTACAGCAAAAAGGCTGCCTTTCATACCTGGAAATAACTTTAAAATAGTTATTTCACAGGGTACAGTCCAAACGGCTTAATGGAATCTGACATGAGGTGTTTGGCGCGAAAGCGCTCAGTCGCTGGTCCGAACGAAATAAGTAGGCGTAATTGTCTTGATTAAGATTTGTTTGATATTGTTTCATTTCAAGTATAGTACCGTGAGTATATAGTTATTTGGTTATTTGTAATACTATCTTCAATGCTTATAGCGGGGTAAGGTACATTTATCGTTATCTAGCAAACTCAAATGGCTGTTGGTCTGGTATCTTCTTACTATCTACATATATCTATAAATCGTGATTCTCTATTCAGTCCGTCAGCATCACGTCCGAACCACAATACGAAGACACGTAAACATTTGTACATTTACTAATTGATACCCGAAGAAGGTTATAGTCATTGTTTTATCCGCGACCTCACAGATGAATTTGCAAACATCTATCGTAAAGGAACAGGAGCAGAAATAGGATTGGTAATTCGAGCGACGTACGTTTCTGCTTATTGGCTTTGTCAGGCCCAAATGGATGTGAATCGAAAACACCGAAGTGGACACATATGCCCATCAAATCTCCGCACGGGTGTAACCCGAAGGAAAACACGGATGGAAATTCAACTAGAAGCCAGCGAAAAGAGCCATCAGCCACATAAGCAGAAACTTACGCCGCACAGGTTACAAATCCTTCTATTTTTGCCCCTGTTTCTTTATTGCGGGTATGCCCACTAGCCTTTCTTTGTATTTACTCATGTGCTAGAAGTACTACGATAGGTAGCTACAGGTGGCCTCGCTGGCGACGTTGGTTGATACCTCGTGAATACGAGGTCTTCTGACCGAAGTCACAAATGTGCCTGCCGGCTCTTGTTGGTTTCTAGTTGTATTTCACTTCCCATCGTTGTTTTACATCACGTTACATCCGTATCCAGATATGATGGGCATATGTTTTCACTTCAGTGTTTTCGATTAACATATGCCCATCAAATCTCCGCACGGGTGTAACCTGAAGGAAAACACGGATGGAAATTCAACTAGAAGTCACCCAAAAGAGCTATCAGGCACATAAGCAGAAACGTACGCCGCACAGGTTACAAATCCTTCCATTTATGCCCCTGCTCCTTTATTGCAGATATGTTATGCCCACAATTGTCCTTTGCAGCAACAGCGAGGCCAGGCGTCTCTATACTCAATCTGTGACCGTCAAACGATACAGATGTGTTATTTTGCACCAGCTCTTACCCAAAACATTGTTTTTAAGTAATACTAGGACCTTTGGATTACAGTTTATATCTTTGAAGGCATTAGTAACTTGCATGCTTGGGGAAATGGGTTACTTTATTAATGGCGCCACCTACACGGTCAGTGGGTAAAACTTCGGAGTAGAAGCCTAGCAGGAAATATCCCGAACATTTTATAAGTTTCGTGTTGTTACACTATGCTCATGATGCCGGGCACAGGGCTGTTGAGCGCTACTCCAAAACATTGTTTCAAATCATGTTTTTATACTGTTTGCTATTTACCAACGAGCATAAAACAACTCAAATGTGAGGTGTTTGTACTAAACTGCTCGTTGTTTTTAGGATCGGGAAGAAGTCAACGAAGCTAGTAAACGCAGCCGCTGTGAAATTATCTGAAGAATTGTTTAATATGATTGACAGACCCGAGTATGCTCGAGTGACGAGAGTTAGGGAAGGAACAGAATCACAGGTAATATATTGCATGTTTTGCTTCCCACGTCAAGTTACGCGAAAAAAGTTTAAAATGAAATATTACGTTTTTTTATCTTATGTTAATTATACCTAAGCAGTGTAAGCAGAAGCCTAAATACCGGAGCACCACGACTGCTATAATTGTTGATCCGAATTTAGAACTGTGCAAGAATAGCAGAACTGAAAGAAAACTCCTCAGGCGGAAGGCATTATCAAGCATCAAAAAGGCATTGAAGACGCTAAGTCTATGAGACAGTAACTGAACCAAACACTATTCTTTTCAAGGTGGATTTGTAAATTCATGTTTGTGTTCTGTCTCATAGATGGCGCTAGCATATTTCAGACCCCCTTTTGGTGCAAGAATACAGTATATGGTTGGCTATCTTCACATCGAATACGTTCGGCACGGGTATTATGTATCTTGAAAAGTGACATTATGTCGATTTTTTTGACATTGTATTGGTTGTGTACGTGTTGCCTAAACGTCATGATACTTTAGTTATCAATGTTTGTCTCTGATGTGATGTAAAATCTGCTTCAGAGATGGCATTACTGGAAGTCTAATTTGTGTGCTAATAATATGTGTTGATGATAATTCCATTGGACTCTTGTCTCAAACACATTTACTTGAGATTCAAATCTAGAAACTAGTTGCGCATCCACTTTTTCTTATTAATTCTGGAAATTACATATGCAAATTTACTGAATCTCAAAAATGAGAGAGATAAGAAAAGCAAATCCCTGGTTGGTGAAGGAACAGGTGAGAACATATGCTACAGACAGGAATATTTATGAAAGTGAAAAGGATATTACATTTTTTTTATTTCCAGTCATTTAAATTTTATAGAAATTTATTTTGCGATGTCAATAGAAAATTACAAATCAGCGCCTATATGTTAGGCATTGCGAAACTGTTTCATGTGTAATGCATCATTACTAATTTTTCTGTGATGTGTCTTAATTGCATACAACGCGGGCGCGGTTACGATTTCTCGTAGTGTTGCTCACAGTTTTTGAAAAAACGGGAAAAATCTTAATTTACAACTTTGAACTAAACTGTATTCAGAAAGGACAACATATAAATAAACCGTAGGGTACACCTAATATGGAGGTATACTTCATTGGCAGCATATTCAGTAACAATTTTCTAACACAGTAAATATTACTGATTTTATACCCATGCAGACCAATACACATAATCATCCAGATGTGAGCTTGCTATTCAACCAACTTTCTTTGTTTCACATCTTCTCAGAGATGAAAACTACAGACCACTCGGCTTCACAAAACATATGCAACCAACAATGCTTGTAGTTGAGTCATTCGTCCATAGAAGGACGCTCACAACGATCCTAGAGAAAACGTGGGATGACTGTTTGCACCCTAAAAACTACCTAGTCTGCAATATGAGATTTTATACGTTTTTTGACGTTTTATAGATTTTTTTATATAATACCCGTGCCGATTCTGGTTTCGTAAGCGTGTTCATTGCAAAGGTCCCAGTTACGAGGGCGTTATATATTTTCCACATTACTACAATACAAAATTACCATATTATATTTATATTGAATTGATTTTCTCTAGTCCTTAATCTCGTAGATAATTTATTGCTACTACCGTGTTATGTGTTATAACGAGACTCACGCACAAGGATATTTTCCTTTTGAGGTATATCCATTTATTTGCAGTTTATAGTTGTGTAAATAAATATTACTATTATTAATCTACTTGATCCCATTTTCAGATTTTCAAAGCGAAATTCATCGGTTGGGACGAAGTTATAGCCGTAGATTTCACTCGTACGGCCCAATCTGTCCGTAAGACGGGCGCTGACTTGACCCAATGGGCCCGAAAGCAAGAGACGAAAGCGGATTTGTACGCGCTGTTCATGCCCAGGCAGCCTCCCATGCCTGCGCAAGAGGCCATGCAATTGGCCGATGAGTGGAATGAGGACCTGGAGGCCATGGAAGCATTGGTATTGGATGGGAAAAAGTTTGTTAAGTTGCCACAGGAGGAGATGGGCACGTTCTATTCGCAGGTGAGAAATCAGATCATTCATAATCGAACCTAAAAGTCGCTCCTGGGGTCATTCAGCAGAAAAAAAAGCGCAAGTCTTCAAGTGTCGCCTATTTAATAATAATAATAATAATAATAATAAATGACCTTTATTCGTCACATAATTACAAAATAGGTATAGTGACGAAAAGGTCAGCTTACGCTGTTTTTCAACCCGACCTAAAAAACAGTGACACAAACTATAAAGGAAAAAAAGTACCTACATTTAAATTGCACAGTTCGCAACATTGACCACCAAAAAGAGAAAAGCTTAAAATATTACACTTCTCAGAAAAAGGAAACAATCAATTACCTGTGGATATATGTAAAGTTAAATTCTAGCCATCCGATTGCTTTAAGCTCATCTTTAAACTTTTTTTGAAGTTGCTAAGGCTCTATTCTTTATGCTCTCTTGACAAGCAGTTATATAGTTTGGGTGCCCAGTACGAGAAACTACGTGTGAACAATGCTGTCGAATGCCGCGGGTTGAGTAAGATGCATTTATTCCTAGAGTATCTTTGATCGTACTGACAGAGGCGGGATAGCTTTGAATAAAGATGAAAACAAACCATTGAGTAGCGTTTATATGTAAAGGGCTGGCCATCTAGTGGTTTCTTTTTTAATCATAGGTTATCTCGACACTGACAGTTCACTTTTGCCATGTTACCAAAAAGTTAGTATCATACCACCGCGGCGTAAAATGAATCGTTTTATGCTTAAACAATGTTGGGAAATATTGAAAGTTCATTTCCAAAGTCAGTGCAGTGTAGCTTAAACAGTGCGAATTTTGAAAACAAATTTTTACTGAAAGGAGACACCCACCGTGCCTGTTGTATGCAAATTTGTTCAAAAAGTCCGTGAGACGGGCATGTTCGTGGACAAGACTCTCGGTCCACGTACTCGTACGGTGCGCACAGTCGACAATGTGAATGCTGTAGCCAAAAGTGTGTGATTTAATGCAGAACATCAACCTTTCGTCGATCGAAACAACTCAACATTAGTCGCACTAGCATGAGGAGAATTTTACACAAAGACCTTGGATTATTCGCTTACAAGATCCAATTGACCCAAGAATTGAAATTCCAAGACCATTTGTTTCGCGAACGCTTCTCAGTTTGGGCCTTAGAACAGCTCGAAATAGATGAAGATTTTGGACGAAAAATCATCTTTTCGGATGAGGCGCATTTCCATCTTGGCAGATGTGTTAAGAAGCAAAACTGCCGCACCTGGGCCTCGGAAAACCCGCACGTGGTCGTCGAGAAGCCCAGGCATCCTCAGCGAGTGACAGTTTGGTGCGGATTGTGGAGTGGTGGCATCGTAGTGCCACTTTTCTTCGAGAATGAGGTTGGCAACGCCGTGACAGTCTGGACATCCAATCAAACGATTGATCTTTTGCACACCAAATTTGCTATTCAGCTGTCGTGGCGATGTCAATTGGCCGCCTTGAAGTTGCGACTTAACGCGTTCTTTTTGTGGGGTACCATAAAAGATCAATGTTATGTTGACAACCTACAAGCGATTCTGGCACTTAAGTTGAATATTCATCGAGCCATTCGACAGATACAGCCCGACACTGTCAACAACGTCTTGAAAAATTGGATCGACAGGATTCGCTACTGCGAACGTAGCCGAGGGAACCATATAAATGAAATCGTGTTTCATAATTTTTGGGAATGTTTGTTATTTCCAATAAAGCCAAATAATTGAAAAAAATGATTCCTATTTTACTGCGTGATGAGATAAAAATTCTATTTGGCACACCCTTTATTTGAAAGCCTGCACACCTGCTCAGTTGGGAAGACGACTGATTTACCGGTACCGGGTGAGAAAGGTAAGAAAAAATAGAACTGACTTAAATTCTAATGGCTGGTTTTTATATACACTTTGTAGAACATTACAAAGTAATAGCCAGTACTGCCAGACACTTTCCACTAGTCATAACTTCTGCCAAACCCCAAGGCACCCCACTCTAAATAAATTGATCTCTTGTAACTAGTCAACAAAGCTGAAGTTCATCCATGGGTTGCGTCTGCAAGTAAGAAAATACAGAATTGGTTTCATCTTTCAATGAAAACCCTCCTAGGGAAAATACAAATACAGAGGCAATAAATCCAATGTCACAATACACGTGAAGCGTGAAGTATCCTCTAACTTAGCCGGAACGGAGCATGTCCAAACAAGACTGCGGAACTACTTTCAATCAGTAGAGAGCAACTCCGTCCAGTTACAGGTCTTTTAACAGGCCACAGTGGCCTGAAAGAATGGCTGAGCAAAATGCATGGAGAGCTTAGCTGCAGACAATGCGGTAAAAGAACAGAATTCGCCCTACTTGTCTTATGTGAGTGCGAGGCGCTGGATCACAAAAGGCACCAACTCTTCGGTAAATCAACACTATAACCAAGGGAGCCTAGAACAGTTAAATACGGACTGACATTTATTTTAACGATGAAAACAATCATGATCCGAAATAACATTTAAACCAAACCCCTATAAAGCCATGCAACTTTGAAATATTCATTCACTTTTGTTGTGCCATAATAATACTATTTAATTAGTTTGAAAAAATCAATATTTTGAACTCACTTTTCTCAGTCTTCGATCTCTACACTTTACTTCTTTTTATCTGAGTACGGCAGTGTAGCAAAGTCGCTCCCGGAATTGGTTCTCAAAAAATTATCGTCATAGTCCACCAGTCTTATCTCTAAAGACGAAATAAACTTTGCGATGAAGCGTTTATTGATATGAAGAACCTAGTAACACATTAATTTGCCTGAAATATTAATAAATGGGCGTCAAAAGCTGCTGAAAGATAATGAGTAATATCAATTTTTAAAAAGTGACCTGTGACTTGGAGAACAAGTATTGAATGATCTAATTATTTCAGGACTGTTACGTTTTCCTATGTCGTTATTGGATGCCAGTGCCTGATGACGTTGACGATCCTTCATCACATGTTGCAGATGACGATGCCGATGATTTCCAATGGGTTTGTTACTTCTGGCAAGGGCGAGATGCCTCCAATATGGGTGAGGATTTCACCAAATTCTAGTTCTTCTTGTATAGCACTGTCATTTTTACGTTTTTAACTTACCCATGATGGCTATTGATACGAATACTAAGATCAAAAATTCGGTATCGCATTTTTTACAGAGAAGTATGTCCCTGCTTAAGTCAATGTCATATTAATGTAACATCCTTTTGGATGCGGGTAAACTCACTAAAGCATATATTTTTTTATTATTTTAGGGTGGTTAACCTTCACATTTACGCTCCAGAAAAAATTCAAGGCACTGTTTGGTGACAAGTTAGAGGTAGTACGGACTTATCAGCAACAAGAAAACATGAAGTTCCTTGCCCATTTTAAGCGAAAATTCATTGTGAAACGTGGTAGCCGACGAAAGAGCAAGGAAGAAAAACCTCAGGTAAATGATGAAAGTATATCTTCTACAACAATTGCAATTTATTAAAACATTATAAAAGATTCCATGTGGTGTACAATTTATAAAAAATCTATCATGGCTGAAATGGACATGTTAGCCTTCTGCCTCTATGGCCATGACCAAGCGCAGACAGCGCTGTGTTAGGCTTATCAGTGCAGTATAGGTCTTAGGTCTAGTCTTGGGGACAGAAACGGGGAACAAACAAGTATGCTGTTTTCAAAAACTCCAAACATGGTGCGCAAGTAGGTGAAAATATGACAATCGCCACCTACCAATGGCTTGACAAACTGATTTTTATTCTCATCCTATACAATGAAGATGACACAGACTTTTACATCCTCCGACTCATAACCGCTCGACGTTCTGCATTGTGTACAGATAGACGTCGCACTGTACTGCCATCACGGTTGACTATCAAATGATCGGCACGGGTATTACGTATCTTTAAAAGTGGCATTATGTCTATTTTTTGATGTCATATTTGTTTTTTGTGATATGTAGGTTTTTCTGCAAGGTGTTAACTTAGCAGTAGCCGATGGACACGTTGTGAACTAGTTTTGTAGTTGTACGTGTTGCCTAGACGTCATGAGGCGTCAGTTATCAATGTTTGGCTCTGATGTGATGTAAAATCTGCTTCAGAGAAGGCATTACTTGAGGTTCAAAGCTAGAAATTAGTTGCGCATCCCCTTTTTCTAATCCATTCTGGAAATTACATATGCAAATTTGCTGAATTTAATAAATGAGAGAGATAAGAAATAATTATATTCACTATACACTGTCGAATTACAAGTCACATATATGCTAACAGTAATTACAGACAAATCGGACGCGGTGGTGATTTCCCGTAATTCTCCTCGACGTTTTTGAAAACAGAAAAAAACGTAAAAATTCGTAATTTATAACTTTGAACATAACCTGTCTTCAGAAAGGACAACATATAAATAAGCCGTCGGGCACAGCTAATAGATATACTTCATTTTCATTGGCAGTTCAGTAATGATTTTCTCATACAGCAAATATCACTGATTTTATACATATGCAGACCAATACACACAATCATCCATGTGCGATCTTGCTATTCAACCAACTTTCTTCTCAGAGATGAAAACTATAGACTACTCAGCTTCACAAAACATATGCAACCAGCAATGCGTGTAGTTGAGCTTTTCCTCCATAGATGAACGCTCACACATTCTAGTGAGCAAACGTGGAATGACTGCTTGCATCCTAAAAACTACCTAGTCTGCAAGATGACATTTTATAGTTTTTTTTGAGGTTTTATAGGTTTCTTACATAATACCCGTGCCAAATGTGGCATTGACATGTATTTCATATGTCAGAATATCCTGTCTGCATTGCCGGATATTGCGATAAGGTTGCAATTCCAAAGATTTTTCCAATTATCCGAAAAACTCAGTGTTTTAACAAAATAGAATAAATGCGGACTCTAATTGTCCATGGATGACGTCATATAGTAGTAGTAGAGTATAAGGCCGAGACTCTTAACAGGTAGAGTATTGCCGTTTGATAAGAGCATGGGAGCTCCACGTTTGCCAGATGATCGCACTAACAATTTGTCTAGTATGGAAGTATAACGGACTGGCGCGCTCTTGAGGTCAATTGTGAAATTGATGATGTGTCACTTATTTAAGGAATAATCAAAAATCAGAAATCAACCAGATTTCTCATTCTAGATATTTCAGGCAATAATATTGTATATATTAACTCTGGAATATATCCCTTATAAATGTTGTGCAAAAATGTTGTATCAATGCTTCCGCTGAGAACACAACCATTTTGAGTACCGAGCTAATATACCGTATATAAAATATTATATTTGTATAAACGTTCGCGCAAACAGTTCTAAATTTATCCTATAAGGTGTTATATAAGTATGCTACAAAAACGTTTTATACACCACATTTTCGAGCAAATATGCCACAGGAAACAAATTTACATTTCACACAACATTAAGTCAGCATTTTGGTGTTCGAGAAAAGAAAGGTTTTACGGCTTAACAGTTCTTTTAGCACCACTTTGCTAGTTGGCATAGCGCAGAACGTGGAGAGGTTATAAGTCAGAGGACATAAGGGTATATGTGTCGTCTTCATCGTATGGAATGAGGATTAAAATCAGTCTGGCAAACCATTGATAGGTGGCGATCGTCAGATATAATTCATGTAGTGTATCTAAGGGTTTTCGTATTTTTTTAGGTTGAATTTTATCAGATGAGATCAAATGGCAGTGCTTTATACACAAGATTGGTACAAATACAGCCAGATGCTTCTCTGCTGAACTCTGCTTTCTGGTAAATAACAGCTTTTTTCAGTGTTATTAGAAAAAAGGATGTGTCTATAAAAAATTAAAACAACGCTTTATCAACATTCTTTGCATTATATTTTTAGCCAAATTTTTTATTTCAATGTATTTTACAGCTATATCTTGAATGTACCTTTCGAACAAGATGATTCTGGTATAGTATATGTCTGGATAGGCTCAAAGTCTGATCCAGATGAAGCAAGATTGATTCAAGAGATAGCCGAGGAAATGTTCAATAGTCCGTGGGTCACATTACAGGTGAGACCATTTGTTTTTACAGAGGATGTTACTTGTACTTAATGGCACAAAACCACAAGATAAATTTCAGGAGTTACATTAACTTGAATGTCGGTATCTTGAAATTCTTTTACATCATAAACAAATTGTTAAAAAATTAAGAGAGCGCATTTGACATTGACAAGTAGAAAATGCAGCTAATGTTAAAAATTCCGTTAATATCTGAACTTTTCAAACAGACAACGTTGACGAGCACTGTTACTATGGTTATGATGTCTATCAGAAAAATATAAAAAGCCTAAGTCGTGTACTTTTCAAATTACAATCTTTAAAAGATCGGAAGCTAAATTTCCAATTGCTTCTACATTCCTCATAAATGAGGTCCATGTTGCCGTATTCCTGTTCGGATTACACAGACATGAATTAATAAAAGTGTCGTTACTATCTGTCTCACTGTCACTACGTAAAATGATACTGACTTACTTCGCATAGGAACAGATTTAAATTTGTAGTAATGGAAACTTATTCCCCGTTTTCGGCTTGACGCCGACTTCTGACCCTGTATAAAAATGATATTTTCGGTTATTACCATTTCTGGATACAGTTACCTTGGTTTGGCAGTACCTCATACCATTCTTTTTTCAGTTCATAAAAATAACTTTACCTTGATAATTTTCATTTTTTCAGGTATTATCAGAAGGCGAAGAACCCGACAATTTCTTCTGGTTAGGGCTTGGCGGAAAGAAGCCTTATGAAAAAGATGCAACTTTCATGGAATACACAAGACTTTTTAGGTGTTCAAATGAAAAAGGTTACTTTAGTGTTTCAGAAAAATGCTCAGACTTTTGTCAGGTAACAAAATATTATTTCTTGCAGAGTTACTTTTTTTTGTCGAAACTCGTAATTTTCGGTTTTCCAAAAACATTGTTTATACAAGGTGTGTTTAATTGTAGGATGACTTGGCAGATGATGATATTATGATTTTGGACAATGGAGAACAAGTTTTCCTATGGCTGGGTGCAAATTGCAGTGAAGTCGAAATTAAGCTAGCATATAAGTCTGCACAGGTAAGATGTATGATGTTTCCTTTTAGTCTAAGATCCGAGTTAGAAACGACCTTCATGTATCTGTTTAAAAGGTAAAGGGTCTAGATTAGAAGCGCTCGATTTTTGTAACGCAATAAAACAAATTCTGAGAATGATAGTAATATATTTTTAGTTTTATCTAAAGTACATGTGTTAAAATTATGTTACAAAAATTATATCAGGTAAATGTCCTCCGCGGCTTTGCCTGGTTTGTTGAATCCTGGATATGCAATTTGAGATGACGTTATCGCATAAAAGTGGCTCAATTTCAGCAATAACGCGCCTAATGTTGGCATTTCAGGCGGTAAACGTCTGCGGTTTGTTAGCATAGACTTTGGATTTTAGAAAGCCCCAGACAAAAATCCTTCAAATTTCTCATGCAATAGTGTCAGTGTATCTCGTGTCGTATGGCATGTAGCACCGTCTTGCTGAAACCACATGTTTGTTAGATCGATTCCACCCACTGCAGACCAAAAAATCTCTTATTATTCCACTGGACCACAGTGCACACCATACAGTAACTTTTTCAAGATGTAGTGGGATCCCATGAATCTACCGTGGGTTTTCGTCGCTCCAATTTCGGCAATTCTGCTTGTTAACAGAGCCACTCGACAAAAATCAAGATCGACCTCCAGCTGCTCTAGCGCCCAATTAGCAAAGCATGCCCCTGCCTATGATCGTTGGCCTTTAGTTCTTGTAAAACCCTAAGTCCTTATGAACGATTCGCCAAATTGTCGTCGAAGACATGCCAAGTTCCTGAGCCCAACGCGGAATGGACTGTTGCGAATTCTTATGCACCCTTTCTCGAACTGCAGCAATATTTTCAAGGATCTTGCATTTTGCTGACGTACAGGCACTTTCTGTTCTGCCACAGAACCAGTAGTTTCGAATTTGTTTATTAAACGGCGAATTGTGGATTCTGCAGGACGAGACTATCATTAATTGAGGGTGTAGTGTCCCATGTTCAGCAGTCCTAGCCGGTATTGCCGCGTACCATATCAGCGGTAGCAGATATTCATTGCAATTGTAAACATAATCTTCCGATATGATCCAGTGTAGTTTGTGTGAAGCAATGAGTCCGAAAAGAAGATACCATAAAATTCATGAAAGACCTCTATAATAAATTAGTAATTCTGGAAGACCATAAGTATTTACCATAAACGGAAAAATATCTACTTTTTCGATGTATTTTTCGCTGCTGCTATATTCACAATCTATTGCATTTGCTCATCAGTAATGGGAAAACACTCGCGGTAGATTTAAAAAGTTAAAACGCAAGGTCATTGGCCTAACATCACCATTTGCGACTTGTAACTAGTCAACCGTTTGTTGATCGGGGAGTTCGATTAAAAATGGCCCGCGTTCATTCTTATACCCGTTTTACATCAACAATTTCTTCACGAGTTTATTCAGAAGGATGTCTTCAAGGTCGTGTTGAGATCCGCTTTTTTACTTTTGAATTGACATTTTTTGTGCACCCAGAGTGTGACGCTCCCGAACTGCTCTAGCAAATGTGCACGGAAACGCGACGATAAAAACCTAACGTGTTTTTTGATGTTTTGCTTTGATGTTGACAATTTGTATCACACTGCAAAACTTACAATGAAAATGTCAACACATTTTCCTTTATTTTCAGAAGCATTATCAGACTATCCAATTGATGCCTGATGATGCTTTTAGAATGATGGCGCAACACGTCAGAGGTCTGCAATTTTTATTGTAAAGCTTCTTGTTAAATGTGTCGAATTCATATTTTATTGTAGACATTCAAAATTATTTTCAAAGTATCTAGTTATAGATGAAGCTAACTACAAGCCGCTATGAACTTGGCTTCTTGCCTTGTCTTGTGATCTTTATTATTCAGGGACATTTCAAATGTACATTATAATCAAATTCAAGCGGATAACCAAATGAAAATGGTATTTACCATTTTGGATTGGTATTTACCGATCCGTTCAAGCGAGTGTGGTTATCAGTTTGGTTATAAGATCCGTGACGTCACGAATCAGCTGTTATATGTCATAGTTATCACCGCAAAATTGTGGTATTTACCCAACTCCGGAGTAGTTTTATATTTCTGGTTATTATTTGACATGTGACAAGTTAGAATTTTGCCGGGTATTGGTTTGCCGGGTATTGGATATATTTATTGTACTTCAGCTTCATTTTTGGGAAACTTGATACAGGCTGACTTCAGTTTTAGCATAAGAGAGCACCTTATTATTTATAATCATCACTGTTGTTGGGGACACTTTAAATCTAGTTCCTACACTTAAAAAAGTATCCTGTATAGTCATATACCACAAGAATATTAACATATGGCCGTATAAACTCACTGGATGATGTCCACCTGTATACGGTTTTGTTAATATCTTTTTTTCATCGCTTTTTCATCATTTCTGATAAATCAATAAATGTTTTCTTTGACTTGCGAAAAAGTTTAGAGAATTGAAAGTTATCATAGCTGCAAAGCCATGATTCCATCATTATTTTTTTTTTCTGTTACGAAACATTTGTCCCATTAATATTATGAAAGTTTTCTTTTTTTCAACTTTCCATACCCCATTGTAGACGAAAAAGCACCGATTATTAAGTGATAATAAAAATAATCAGAAATTATATACGGGCTTTTCTAAAATAAACAACTTGCAACAAACCGCGGTTAAAACCAACGCGTTCAAGCGATTCGAGTAACTGACTTCACCATCCCGTGTGTCATCTTGAACCATATTATAACCGCGGTACATAATACGGAAATTTTGGTTATCCGCTTGGATTTGATTTATGACTCTGGCTCATACATTATCAGATTTTTACCAGCCTCAGTTTAGTGCAAAAAAAAACGATAAAAAACATAACCTAACAATTTTTACAAATTGTCATTTTCGTTATCTCCACTATTTCGGAGCGTATAACACCAAATAATAAAAAGTTAGTACATGAGGGGGCAGGGGATTTCAAAAACGAGAAGCTCAGGTGCATGACACTAGTGCAGTGAAACGGTATTTATAGGTGGTAGGCAGCACCGAGTTACTCCGAGCAGCTCAAATGAAGCACCGGAAAGCGGCTCTGATAAGGTGTTACGGTGTTTGCATCCTTGAACGAATTCATGGATTATCCGTCAGTACTCAGTGTTGCCAACCACACAACCAAATTCTTCATAGAAATATTTTAAGATTTAATTTCTATTGCAGTTTTGATTTCAAGGCGAATCTCATTAAATGAAACCATATTTTTGCATGCTTGAATTGAAAAATTGTTCAATATAATGGAAAGAATCAAATTCAAACGAATAACCAAATGAAAATGGTAATACCATTTTGGATTGGTATTTACCGATCCGTTCAAGCGAGTGTGGTTATCAGTTTGGTTATAGGATCCGTGACGCCATCAATCAGCTGTTATATGACATAGTTATCACCGTAAAATTGTGGTATTTACCCAACTCCGGAGTAGTTTTATATTTCTGGTTATTATTTGAAATGTGACAAGTTAGAATTTTGGCGGGTATTGTATATTTTTGTTGTACTTCTGCTTCATTTTTGGGAAACTTGATACAGACTGACTTCAGTTGTTGCATAATAGAGAACCTTATTAGTTATGCTCATTACTGTTGTTGGGGACACTTTAAATCTAGTTCCTATGCTTAACAAAGTAACCTCTGTAGCCATATACCACAAGAATATTAAAATATGACCATATAAACTCACTAGATAATGTAGACCTGTATTCGGTTTTGCTACTATCTTTTTTCGTCGCTTTTTTCTATCATTTGTGCTAAATCAATAAATGTTTTATTTAACATGCGGAAAAGTTTAGAGAATTGAAAGTTATCATAGCTTCAGAGCCATGGTTCCACCATTAAAATTTTGGGCGTCAATCTTTTATTTTCACGATAAACTGAGAGACTTTCTCAAGTGATTTAACACCTGAACTTCAAAAAAAAGCATTTCTCCCATTAATATTATGAAAGGTTTCTTTTTTAAACTTTCCATACCACCGTTGTAGACAAAATAGCACCGATTATTAATTGATAATAAAAATAGCCTAAAATTATATACCCGCTTTTCTAAAATAAACAACTTGCAACAAAACCGCGGTTAAAACCAACGCGTTTAAGCGATTCAAGTAACTGACGTCATCAGCTCGTGTGTCATCTTAAACTATATTATATATATATATATATATATAACACAGAAATTTTTTTTATTCGCTTGGATTTGATTAAGGAAAACCATGTTGGTATCATGGAATTTGACGTCCAACTTGGTAAAAATTCCATGGATTTATTTGACGTCAAATTCTTGTTGTATACTTATGAAATCTGGTCATAAACTCAATTCATGAAGAAATCTGTATTACTGTCATTGTCAACCTGTCAATTTGATGTTTGCATACATATATATTTTCCAGCTTCCCAATGTAATTTATAGTAATAAAAAGCAGTCAAATGGCATGTCGAGGACGCGAAAAATGCGGCGTTTAAATCGTTATTCATATTGCAGATTTAATTAAAAATAAATATAGGCATTTCCACGAATGAAATGTGTTTACGGTATTTTAAAGGGTGGCCGATATGTAACTGACTGATTTGTATCTAGAATATTTATGCAATGGAATAAAAAACTAATTTCAGACAAATGTCCGCCTCTAGAAGCCGCGCAAACCTGAGCCCTCTTGTTTACATTTTCCATCACTTTTTGGTAGGCTTCGGGAGGAATATTTTCAATCGCTTCCGTAATATTGTTTTTAACCTGTTCTATAGTATTTGGTTTATTGGCATAAACCCTATTTTTCAGAAATTCCCATAAAAAAGTCAGGAACCGTTAAATACGGTGACCTTGGTGGCCAGATGACATCACCAAATCGAGAAATTGAACGTCCCAGACGTATTGTTCGCAAAAGATTCGTTGGTTCCCTAGCTGAGTGACAAGTTGCTCAGTCCTGCTGGAACCACATGTTTTGCAAGGTTAAATTGTTGGATTTGAGGAGCCAGAAAGTTTTTATCGCGGTAGCGGTCGAGTCTTCAAAGAAGTAAGGTCCAATGACACATACATACCAAATACAGCACCAAACTGTGAGACGACGAGGATGAAGTGGTCGTTGATGGATAACACGGGGGTTCTCTAATGCCCAGATATAATGCTACTTATTAACAAATCCTGTATTGTCGGCGATTTTCATGGTCACTAGTCTGTAGTTCTTGTATGGCCGCAAATGCAAGTATTGTTTAGATAGTGCATAATGACGTGCGACAAATACCCAGTTCTTCAGAACCATGTCTGGTAGACGTCTCAGGGCGCTCCACTACACTTTCACGAACTCTCTATATTTTCATGAGTATGAACACTGCGAACACTTTGGCATGTCTTTAACTTCTTCTGTTTGTTCAAATTTCCGCACCAACTGATGAATGGTGTTGACACTGGGCACATCATTTCGACCGAAATCTTGTCGTTGGTTCTGAATCGTTACAACAATCGACTCGTTATTTAAGAAAAAGTTTCAACAATACGGACGCGTTGCGGGATCGTGTAGCGCTCCATGATAAATTGGACACATGTGCTTCAAACAACTACTAACAAAAAAAACTACTATGGTGCCACCTTCTGAAATACGTATGTATATCAAAAATGGCATGCAATTTAAATCAGTTAGTTATATATTGGCCACCGTGTATTAACGTAAATAATCGATAGAAAATAAAAAAATCTTGCTCACAACTGCAAATCCTACTGCATATTTTTTCTGCACGCAGTAGGGCCATTTTTATATTATTTTTCATTTTGAAGGTTTACATTCAACATTTGAGGGCCAAACAACCCGAGAAGCCAAGAAAATTGTTCCTCACGTTGAAGAATAAGGAATCAAGAAGGTTCACAAAGTGCTTTCATGGTTGGGGCACTCATAAGAGACCTCCTGAGTAATCCTTTGTTATTTTTACCTTTATTTATTCTATTTATTACTAATTTTATTTTTGAGAAAATTTTATACGATGAACTAAATTTTATAATTGAAAAAGCAAAGTATTTCCACACCCTTTTATGCAACGGATTTTTTTAATTTGATGTTTCTAACATACATACCTTACATTCACTTTTTACATATAAATGATTCATCTTGTTGAAAGTCTACATTTGGTGTAATCTAACCATACTTCAAGATTTTTTTGAAGGTGCTGTGATCTGTGATGTAAATGCTTTTACCTTGTAACTGCAAATGTGTTTGTAAATTTTATCATTATCGAAAATCAATCAATAGTACTCATGTTACAGTATATTTATTTATAATCTTATAATTTGTGATTACTAGGCGTTTTCTTTAAGATATAACATAGTTGTATGATAAACATGGTACATGACAGCTTGTAAAAGGCTTCGAAAGAATAAAAATACCTATGAATGCATATGGACTTTTTTTTATTTTTTTATTAGTGAGAACACCCCTTCCTGATTTTAGCTACAGAAAAGGTCCTGAAAATATCTATTTCACAAAGTAAAATGAATTGCTTTGTATTTCTAGTATCTAAAAAAAATTTGGTAATGGGTAGAAAAAAATGACAATTTACAGTTTAAATGTAATTTAATGCAGTCATATTATAATAAATAGTAGCTCAACCTCAATATAATGCAAACAATTCTCACTTTGAACATACCTATATTGAACACAAAAATATTGGCAAACAGATGGACTAAACTAGAAATTGCATATGCATAAGTGGAAAGGTACTTAAAATTTAGACTGGGCATAACATCACATAACTTAAGGATGACTAGTGAATCAATTGGGGCAAGTTTCTCCATCTATACTTAGTTACTATTGTTTAAAAGCATAATCAGCGATTTTGATAACAACAACAACAACATGGATAGTTTGCTGAGTAACATCTTTTTGAGCTCAAGATTAATACACTCAAAATTATTAACACAAAAAATGTGAAACAATGACAAAAAATAACATTCTCTGTCACATAAATCATCAATATTCTTATTGTATGATAGTTATAAAGGGAACAATATTTGAAACATAAACTTACTATTACAAATTTACCATAAAATATCAGCTAACAATAACTTATCAAAAGTTTAGAATGGGTAATAAAGAATAACTAGTTTTAGATCAAAAATTGGTGATAACATTTGGATACAATTCAATAAGTTACTACTGATCATTAACCACTGATTTAATCATCATCATCGTCATCATCAGATGGTACAAACAGATCATTTTCCTCAAGAAAATTAGCAATATTCTTGCTTATTGCAGCACCAATCAATAATCCAGAAACTACAGTAACCAGAACCTAGAAAAAATCAGATTTAAGCTTAAGCCTCCCACAGCAGAACACTATAGTGATGTTGAGAAAATAAGTAAGCAAACTAATTATTATGTAATATTTTAGTTTCAAGTTTAATTTGTCATTAAGAATCATTGTATTCATCACACAGTAAAGCATATTTATCTATCAATTGATTGAAATATATGGCACCCATACTTGAAAAAAATATCTCAAATCATAAACTCTGGAAACAGAGCTATCCTGAGCAGATGCGAGGCTTGGAGCAAAATATTTTCGCGAGGCCTTTTTTTTAAAGAAAGTGGTCTACTCTGAAATTTTTTCTGGTGGTGGCAGCACGTTGGCAAGCATGAGTGACCCACTGGCATGTGCAGGACTGAGGGTGACAACTATCAATGTTTTGCATTCTTTTGGTCATGATTATCTCGTTCTTGGGTTTTGTAATTAATCAATAATTTAATATATTGCGAGAGTAATCAGAAACATATTTTAGGCATGTACATCTGTAGATAATTATATTATTTTCGTTCAACCAAAATTTTTTTTGTGAGCAAGAGGCCACTCACTCCACCATAAAGACGATCCTGTCTGTAAATTACTAAGCAAGAAATTCCGAGATTGGAGCCTTTTTGCTAGTAAAGACCCAAAGTTAAAATTTGGGGCAAAGGATAAGGCAAGTATCCTTCCTGAATTTAAGTGAAGATGCGGTCATAGAAGTGCCTCGTGCACAAGCATGGAAAATAGATCATTTCTGGAATATTTATTACCTTCAAGACGCCCATAGATGCCCTATAGGGCTCATTTTGTATTTTCCCGTGTTTCGTGTACACTGCATTACGAGTTTGAATTTTCAGTAGATGAGTTCTGCGTTCTAAATAAGGGATAAATCGATTTAAGAACATATCGGTTTGCGTTTATCTTTTCACTATCTGTTTGCAAACAAACTTCTAGATACGTTCAGAAATCTTTGTCCAAAAACAAATTGCATAACCTACAATAAATCCATCTATATTTATATGTCACTTGATGATCAGCTGCTCACGTCAGTAGACCTAATTCCAATAGGGTTTATCATTTTCTCAGAATTTGTGAGTTTGTGAAAATGACATAAATGCTACATTTAAGTGAGCAAAAAAGGCGGGATTTGATATGAATATGACCACGCCTACTGGCGATGCCACCGCGCCCCATTTTCAGCGATAAATCTTAAAGTCACGTGGCTTATTACGGTTGTAGTTCTACCACTGAAGAGGGCGCTGATGACACCTATTTTGAACTTTCAAATATTGTAATTTTATTGTCAGTTTCTTCCTTTTATGTTCGAAAATTTATTTATGAAGAAAATTTATATTTGAAAGAATGTCTACGCATAAGAAATTTAAACGTAAAATAAGTAAAAAGACCGCCAGAGGTGGTCTTTTGGATAGGTACAGTCCTTTCACAGAATTGTTCAAAGTGCCGGCTACAAGTCTGAAGAAAACGGTGAATGTATTTGAAAGCTATGAGCCTGATCCTGGGGAATGTTTGGACTATAATATTTCTCAGGTAAATATGTAGATATAATTGATGAAAATTAATTTTATAGTAACAATTTAAATATGCACATACAAAAGTTACGACTAGTTGGAATAAAACGTAACTTGAGAGACCGTGACTGAGACTAATGTAACACTTAAAAATAATCCTGAGATTTTCGTGGTGATGGGACCTTATTGTCTGGCAACTAAATCAAACCACATGTGTTTTAATTACCGTTTACTGTACAACGTTTCGGCCGCCGCGGAATTTGAAAAGCGCCACCGTGAGGTGGCCGTAACGACGTAGACGGTAAACAGTAATCAGAACATATGAGGTTTGATTTCACTATTGGAGTCCTACTTGAGAGACGAACTTTTGATCAATTTCTATTGAAGCATTTTAAAAATTCCGAGCTCTGATAACTGGAGTGATTGCTATTATCAAAAACAGAAAAACTATACGAAAACTGCTGTATTCATCATTTGTATGTGATTAGTTCTTTAATCGTTTCTGGTTTCTGGTCCTGGGGAAAATCAATATCAAAACATAAATACGTAGGAACTTCTGAGTATTATTTACATTTGCCGCTCAGAAGTGTAATGCTTCAAAACAGACTCAATGGACTAGCTCTTCTTAATGTAAATTATGGCAATGGGGACACATCGAAAGAAGTGTTGGTAATACTTTTTAAAATGGGCATATATCGAACTGACTCAAATGTTTAAAGCTGCTGCTTATATTCAATTTTCCAATGAAATTATTCCTCACTAATCGAATACAAGAATTTCATTTTCCTTGTCCGCTCCTCAAAATTTTCTTCTGGATCCGTCCCTGGCGGCAGGTAAGCGTACGCATTACTTGTATAGCGCATCTACTATATTCTTAGATTCAATGATTCTTGTCTGACTACAGATTTAGATTTCCAGGACAAATAGCTACTATGGATATCTGTTTTGTGCTATAGATGAGTTAATGATCTCAATTTAGGATTAGCTTTATTTGCCCTAGTAGTGACTTTATTCCGGTTGACGTATTTGAATTGAGAATAAATGGGGACTTGTATTTAAAGTGAAAAAAAAGATCAGTGGAAAACTATTATCAAGGATGAGTGAGTTAAACTGACAAAACCTAATGATTTAGTTGTAATTGCGATTGAACGTTCATTATCCCGTTTTTTTCGAAATTCCACAAATTTGCAAATATCTCCTGCACTATAAAATTTCGGACCACACATATAGGGAATCATTCGATAGGTTCTGAGGCCCTCTATCACCTGACTTCCTTTGATTCACTACTTACTTTACACCCTGTATACTCAGTGACAGAAGTGTTACACCAAAAATAATTTCTTCAGCTTGTTTTTTTTTGGAAATATAATGACTATATTTAAAGCATGCTGTGGCAACAATGTTTTTGTTTACCTTTGCTAAAATGTTATCTCTTAGTTTTTGTGAAGAAAGCAGTTTCTGAGATCTTAGTAGTACCGATATTTTTAGTTATTGCCCTTTCATTTACTAGTGTCAAGCATAACAAAATGTCTCGAGTTCAAAGACGTCCAAATTATCACTATGTTTGCGACTTTGAGAGGTGTAGAATTATTGCTTATCGAGATGTTGGTTTGTGCTATCGCGAAGTTGGCCGCCGTGTTACATTGACGGTTTTGCGTGCGTATCGTGTGTGGATAGAAGAAGGAAGAGGAACACGAAGAAGGCCAACTGGTCCACCGAGGCGTACCACAGAGCGTCAAGATAGGCGCTTCAGACAACTAGCCCTACGAGACCGTTTTGCACGATGGTCGTAGAAGCATAAGCCGCCGCCGTGATACTGGATTTGCTGTTGAGAGGCATGTTCACAGGACTGTTACGACAAAATTAGCTATTACTTTTTTGTTCAGTATGAAATTATCCACAAAAAAGGTTTTATGCATTACTTTCGTAGAGATCGTTTTTTCAAAGGAATTTTACTTTCAATGTTGAACATTGAGAAAATTGTAAAATAACGTACTTTTTTCTACGTCACCATAGAGGTAAAGTACCAGACGCGTTTTTTTTCATGTGGTCTCCCCAATAAGCCTAATTCACGAAGATAGAATGGAAAAACGCTGTTATTGTTACTTTTTTCCTTAGACATCAATGTGACAAGATGCGGCATCATCTAAGTCTTCGCCAACCTTAAGTGTTGAGCATAGGAAATTCATGGGGTCTATATTCTCATCGAATTCCACATTATTCGACTCTTTATTGTTCGGGATCATATTCAGACATGACTGTCCATGACAGTAGCCGCAAATGGCGGAACAGTGAAGGCCATGTTTCCCACATCCGCAATTAGCTCTAAAACCTTTCGTACAATTACAAAAGATTGTGTTTAATAATACATCAGGAACAGGTGGCAATAGAGTTTGTATTGGTTGTAAACATTCGTCGGTCATAGTCCACCCCCAATCCAATGGATTCAAATTCTTTCCAAGCCATTTCTGGACTTGATAATACAAATGACATAAATATGCTTGAGCTGCACTCGATGTTGTCGAACATTTGATTTGTAGGAAGATAATAGTCACTATTCGTGGGTGACGATTGTATATCTTCACGAGTAATCGGTGCAGCGGCCTCTAAAATTCTAACACGTTCCTCTTTCTCATCAGATTTACGATTGTCATACCAGGTTGTGTTCAAGATATCATGACGGACATTGAAGAAACAAATAATCGTTGAGCTTCGACTCTTTGTTGTAATGCCGATTTTTTTACCGTACTTTTCAACAAGTTTTGTTTTTACGGTAACATCATCTGGTACAAAATCAGTACATACCTTTTTAAGTTCCCATAAAGTGAACTGACAGTCATCATTATTTTCAATGTAATTATATATTTTCTCCATTGCCAAAGAGATGTTGATATCTTGAGGTCTCCCATGTTTTTGGGCAATTAAAGGTCGCGCAAAAGAGACGTAGCAATCACCGAGGAGGGCTAGCGGACGAGGTGCTGGGTTCAGCATCTCGCTCCCGTTTAGCAGCAGTAATGCTACTTGCACGAGTATATTCTTTGCGACACACCACGTGCACTCTGATCGATTCAACACTCCGTAAAAATGTAATTTTTCCATCACTTCGTTCGATACTGGCGTCACGTAAGGTTTTAATACTGCACTCGACGCAAACAGTCGCTCCGTCTGACAGCTATTTGTCGCAAATGATGCAATTTTCGGCCATGTTTCAATTTATATGTGAATAATATCACGTAAAAACTGTCTGTATACAACTGAGAACAGCAGAATACTGGTCTGCAGACTGGTTAAATGACGTCAATGCCCCACAGTCAGGAATACAGTGACGTACATTCTAACACAGAAAAAAAGAGCCAGTTGTCCTCTAGGTCACAAGAAGGGATACTTATAGAGCCCCTACCACAAACATTCAAAAAGAAAACGATGCCAAAATACGGTTTGACGTGAAATTTTTTATTTTTGTCAACTACAAAACTCGTTCACGCAATTATCTGTAAATTAGCGATCTCTACGAAAACAATGCATGGAACCTGTTTTGTGGAGAATTTTATACTGAACAAAAAAGGTAATAACTCATTTTATCGTAGAGTTGATATTTTCGAAGATATATGGAAAACAGTGTTTTTTGTGACATTTGACCCCCCATAAAAAAGCTCCACTTGGATTCATGGAGACTTTTGAGGAATGATTTATAATAATGAAAAGAAGCTCTGGTAAAAAATTCAGCCAGGTGGAATTTTTTCAGCAGATTAGCCTTCTTTTCGTCTAATAGTCCTGGACTATAATATATGCAGCCTTACTCAAGGCTAAAAAACATACGGCGCTTGACGAACCGAAAGATAACTCGCTGCAAAGATGTCGCGCAGATGTGAATAGGGACAACGTTGCCACATGGCCGGTAACTACCAGTAGGACAGGGAAATAATGTATATGGACTAATTGTATGGACCTGCTTGACTCAATACGTTTAATTTCTCTTTTCTACATATCGGTAACTCAATATTTCCTCATAGGATTTAAATTGCGCTTAGCTTAATCCCTTATAAACTGATGACGGGGGTGCGTGGGTAGTGCAGGGTAAACCCACTTGACGCCACTTTTTGTTCTGTCTGACTTATTTTTTTTACCTAACGATTCTTTTTGTCTAGACTTATGTAAAATGGAACGTCGGCGAGACGAACATCAACGTAACCGAAACTCACGCAGATTACGTTCCCGCCCCTGAAAGTTTTTCCAAAAAGATAAAAAAACGCAAATCATATACTGGCGTGCCACCTATTAGCAAGACTGTGGATGAAATATGGCTGGAAGAAAGAGAATCTTCACAACGCAGAGGCAAGCAGGAGTTCAAGCAATTCAGGAAGAAGAGGAAGATCGCTGACAAGATAAGAGGTTTCATGCTAATTTTAATTGAAATAATAAAAATAGTAAAAGTCCGGTAGCGAGCATTTAGCATCTGTTTCATCAATGATCCTTCATCCTTGACATTACACAATGATACTTGGCTATTGATCCCTGATCCTTGATCAAAAGTTCTCAATTAGCTCTTGTTTCCGAGACACGCTTAAAAGTGCAAAAATAGCGATTTTTGCCCATATTTGAGGTAATGCAGAATGGTGATTTTAAAATAAAAGACGTCTCAAAGTACATGTCCTTTCAAATGCCTTTGAGTTTGCTCAATTACCTTTTTCTTTCGCTGAGATATGGTGCTTTGAAATTTTCATATTTCTGATATCGACCGGTTCAGATTTTGTCAGATGGAACTAAGAGCGTTGAACTTAGCCTTGATAGGGTAGGGGGTTATTGGCTTGTGCTTTGGGTAACTTTTAGATATTTGATTGATTTAGTTTAGGTGTTGTCGGTGTTTTTTATGCAGGTCTTATTTTATAAAAATACATTAAGTTGTTGTTTAATTTTTGGTGTATTATACCCTCTTCAGACTCACGCGTGAATCACGGCGTGAAATCGGGGCGCGGATCGCGGTGCGAATCCCGAAATTTGTTCCTACAGTTGAACACTCGCAGATGTTCGCGCCTGCTTCACAGTATAGTTCGCGCTCTTGACGAGTATGGATGGTGAAATTTGCTACTGCTGCTGCAGGGCTACTTTGCAATTTGGCAATTTATAATTACGCATATATAAGTAAAAGTAAAAGAAGTGAAAAAAAATTCACAACCATTCCCGGAACTCGCTATGAGACAATTGAAACACCAGCGAATGAGGAGCCTAGTCATATTCGCGCCCGACAACGAACGGGAACAACGCGCGAACGCGACGTGAAGCCGCGAATGGGATCCACACTCATGGGTCGCGGGTAGTTCGCGGCTTCGCACGGAATTCGCGCATGAGTCTGGAGAGGGTAATATAATCCATACCACAACTTTAAGTGAACACGATCAAAATGAGTAAAGTTTTAAATAAGTATATTGAAATTCGGAGAAAGTTCCATATTTTAGCGAATACCAAAATATATTCAACTGCATTTGAAAAGGCAAGGCGTGTACTTTGAGGCGATTTATATAGTCCTTTGAAAATAAAAAATAGTTTGCTATGCTACATAGCCTCAAGCAGTGGCGGCTCGTGGCAAAATAAAACAGGTGTTCTGCAAATCCGAACTTACCTATTTTTTATATGTTAGTTCGATCCTGCGCTGCTTCTTGGCAGCAAATTTGTCGATCACCTTCCCGTTGAAATTTTCCATGGTCGAAATAATTTCCTTTTCAATGGACAGCATCGACGACGCTGCAAGGCGAACCTGAGTCATAGTATTTCGAAGAAAGGTCTTGATTCTTTTCAATGTTGAGAAATTTCGCTCAGCCTCTGATGTTGACATAGGAGTTGTAACAATAATTTCTAATAGGTTTTTTGTTTCTTTTAGTGTTTCCTCCAAACTATTTTGTATCAAACATTTCAAAAGAGATAGAGTTCCATGTGAATCTGGGCAATCATTCCGTACATAAATAACAGACAACTCTGTCTTTAAACGACTTTTTTCTAATTCGGGATAAGCCAAGCAGGTAATTTCCAACTTGTCATCAGGAAACTTACCACAGTATTCTCCAAAGTGTTCGGAAAAAAAGGGATGCGGCTACCAAATGATCTTTGAATTGAAATCTGTCATTTGCAGAATTCACTATATAGTCGCATACTTCTAATGCGGCAACTCGGTGATCGTGACTGCTATTATTACGTCGTCTCTTTTTGTTGCCTTGGGGTTCAGTGCAAATACTTTTGGCTTCATTTATTATGTCATCAATTTTATTTTTCCCGTTTTTTTGTGTTTTCAAAAACTTTTAGGAGCATTACGGGAAATCCAGGGCCGTCTTTATGGTGGAGCGAGTGGAGCGGCCACTCCAGGCCTTACTCGCACTAACATATAATTAAAAACTTTTGGTTGAATGAAAATAATACAATAATGTACAGATATACGTGACTAAAATATCTGTCTGACTACTCTCGCAATATGTTAAATTATTGATTAATTACAAAACCAACGAAGTGGATAATCATTACTAAAAGATAGTATGTGCAAATAATTTGAATATTTCTTATACGAATTTATTTATTTCCTGCCAGACCTAAATCTGATTATAATTTTCCTAATGGTTCATTGCTTGAAAAATTAATGTGAAAGAGTTTAGACCATAGTCATAAATCATATTCCTTTCTTGTCTCAATTTTTTACACAGAGTTAAATTCTGTATACTTACATCACAAATAAAAAAAGACTTAACCCTCGCAAATGAAAAAGTCACATAAATAATTGGCGTGTTTTGAAATAAAATGACTTCATCAAAAATGCTAAACACTTTTTTTGCACGAGAATCTTTAAAAATTTTTGGAGTAGACTTTCTTTAAACATCTAGGCGCTGATTAGTATTTTCTATTGACGTTGCAAAATAAACTTCTATAAAATTTAAATGACTGGAAATAACACTTTCATAAATATTCCTATCTGTAGCATATTTTCTCAACAAGGATTTTCTTTTCTTATCTCTCTCATTTCTGAAATTCAACAAATTTGCATATGTAATTTCCAGAATGAATAAAAAAAGTGGATGGGCAACTAGTTTCTTGCTTAGAATCTCAAGTAAGTGTATTGGAGACAAGAAACCAATGGTATTATCATCAACACATATTATCAGCACACAAATTCTCACTGTGCACATATGCGCTGCCGTTTCTTTCTAGCTATAGTATACAACTTACAGCTTAGACCTCTTTGTTCTCACGGAAGCAGATTTTACATCAGATCAGATCCAAACATTGATAACTGAAGCACCATGACGTTTACGGAACACGTACAGCTACAAGACGAGTTCACAAGTGTCCATCAGCTAGCGCTAAGTTATCATCTTGTAGAGAGTTACCTACATAATGTCACAAAAACCAATATAATGCAAAAAAAGAACGAAATAATGTCACTTTTCACGATACGTGATACCCGTGCGGTGCTGGAAATTTTCGGACTTGGAACTCTACATACAGGGTGGCGCATCGAAAACGAAACAGACTTTACTTTACCTTTACCTTTACTGGCAGCTCAGTTTTTTTTGGATAAACGCTCAGACCCGTCGATTTTGTTTTCGAGGGGGACCCAAGTTTGGTAAAAAATCAAGTTAACATGTACAGCCCCCTGGGCGGGGGTGACACCAACCCTAAAATCTTAAACGGAAAGGGGGGTCGACTGATACCTTATTTTAAAGGTGTTTCAATTCCCTTTATAATGATGTAAAATACATTAGCTTCATTTCAGTAGTTTTGAAGATTTATTGATTTAAAGCTTAAAGTAGAGTTTAATAGGTACATCAGATTAGACACTACGCCCATGGTTTGTTTATCATTTTGTTGTTGAAAATAGCTATTGGAGCATTTTTTTGTGTCAAAAAAGTTATTTCTTGAAGAAAGATAAGGAAATATCTCGTACTTATTTTAAAGAGTAATTTGGTACATAGTTTGCGATTGATTTGACCAAACTTTGTTGCTAAAATAACTTGTAACGCTTTATTACATAAATTAACCATGGTATATTCCACAGCAGAAAGAGTTGAAATTATCGAAATATTTTTCGGTAATAATCAGTGCGCTAATAGAACAGCAGAAATATTTAATGAGCGACATGAGAACAGTAACTTGCATCGAAAATATGTTCTAGAACTTGTAGCTAAATTTCGGGAAACTGGGTCAGTCGCCAATAAAAAACGCAACATTGAAAATCCCATAAGGAATGAAGCAATAGAACTGGGGGTTTTAGGGCAAGTTTATGTAGATCCTACGTTAAGTACCCGCAAATTGGAGACTGTGTGTGGTGTTAGTCGACGTACTGTCCAACGGTTTCTAAAGGCCCATAGTTTTCATCCGTATAAAATTCACCTGGTACATGAACTTAATCAAGACGATTTTGATCGGCGATTACAATTTTGTGAAGATATGAGTGAACGAATTATAAACGATGAACATTTTCTATTCAACACTTGCTTTTCCGACGAATGTTCCTTTTTCTTAAATGGCGTAGTAAATCGTCATAACTGCCGATATTGGTCCGATTCTAATCCCAGAATTTATCATGAGGTTCATACACAGCAGCCAGAAAAATTAAATGTTTGGGCTGGAACTTTTGGCGATCATTTAGTTGGTCCTTTTTTCTTACCTGGAAATTTGACCGGTGAAATGTATTTGGAATTACTGGAAGACGCCAGAGATCCTGCAGTAACAGCCATAATTGAAAATCAGAATGATCGGCGGTACATTGCGTATAGTTTCATGTTCCAACAGGATAGTGCTTCACCACATTACGCATTACGTGTTCGACAATATTTAGATCAGACGTTTCCAGATCGATGGATTGGTAGAAGAGGTGCCATTGAATGGCCCCCAAGATCGCCAGATTTATCACCTTTGGATTTCTTTATGTGGGGTCATTTGAAAAGCAAAATCTATGGTACTCAGCCAACATCATTAGAAGACCTGCGACAAAGAATTCTGAATGAGTGTGCCTTCAAATTACTCCTCAAGTATTGCAAAATGTGCGGCAACGTTTTGAGCAAAGTCTTTATTATTGCATGGAGAGTCCTGGTGGCCATTTTAAATTTACTTGCCTAACGGGTCAGTTCATTCTTCATTTTTAAATTACTTTGCTGCCAAATGTAGTGATCTCCACTAATGATGATGTATTAGTTTTATTTAAGCTTTAAATCAATAAATCTTCAAAACTACTGAACTGAAGTACATTAATTTTATATCATTATAAAGGGAATTGAAAGAAATTTAAAATAAGGTATCACTCGACCTCCCCTTTCCATTTAAGATTTTGGGGGTGGTGTCACCCCCGCTTAGGGGGCTGCACGTGCTAACGTGGTTTTTGCCAAGCTTGTGTCCCCCTCAAAAACAAAATCGACGTTTCGTTTTCGATGCGCCACCCTGTATATACAAATACTTTATCACCGTTAAACTATTAAAATCAAAGGCCGGTATCATACAGTTCCAAAGCGTCCCAATTTACAAATTTGACATAGCCGAATTACCTACATTTTTGCAATTTTTGGGATTAATAATCAACTAAAAATTGTAAAATGAACCCAGAACGTCGTCAGCATTTTGTACCGCTCATAGGGGTCCGGACTCACCGCCCCCTTATGTACGTCACTGTAGCAACTCATAACATTTACTTCAACTATTTCGCTTGTATCAAGCTTAATGTTGTTCGAAAATGTTACATGAGAAAACTAGTTGTGTCTGGGGATATTGTATTGTATATTTATTTTAGGTAACTGCCTCCACAATACAGTATTAGGTATGGTTGGACCAGATTGGTACCAAGAACTTTCCCCAAAGCAACTCGAAACCGTTGATGATCTAGAGCGATGCATACTGCAAGATTATGTAAGCAAGGGCTACATCAATACTAAAGAAAATATGGCTGCCTTAGGTTGGTAACAACCATTTCTAAGATCTGAGTCCATACTAAAAGATCACAGAACACCTAGTTGAAATTTTTAGATATTGTTCTTATATATCTTATATAAATTTAAATTCGACTTTCACCATTAGAATCTCGTAGAGGGTAAGAGATACCCAGTCACTTAAATGGGGACAAGGTTGCGCATTTGGGTAACTAAGAAATTGGCACCCAAAAAGTTTCGCAGTTGTCAGTATTTCCGGAGAGAAACGGCAAAAACTGATTTTTTTAAGATCGTTTTTATTTTTTCTAACATTAATTGCGATAAGATTTTAAAATAGTAAGCCCAACATTATTACTTTTTCTCCTCTCCAAGATCCCATAATCAGAATATTATTATGACGTTTTGTCTCTTGGCTTCAATCATCAAATTTATTTATTCTTACAGTATATAATATAAAAAATAGAAAAACCTTATTTATCTTAATTAGCTCAGATAGAAAACAAAAACATACGTAAATATCGCTTTTTATTTCAATAAGTGTTCAAAGTGTTGGCCGTTAGGGTTAGCCACATTCGGAAGATTAGACGTGGCAACAACCAAATAACAACCCGATTTTTTTCCGCGTTCTTTTCATAAACACAGATATCCTGGGCGAACTGTATTCATTGTTATACCTGCCGCTCAGTTGAAGTTTTGGGTCATTTTGGAATAAATCCTAGTACTTTATTACGCAAAATTGTTGCTGCGACTGGTATTTCATTAGGCTCTGTGCACACATTTACTAACTCCATAAATTTCATCCATTCAAAATGAAAATATTGCAAGAGTTAAACGAAGATGATTTCGATATGCGAGTTGAGTTTAGTGAACAAATGACTGTAGCGATTAACGATAATACCATTCATGTAAAGAATATCTACTGAATGCACATTTTATCTAAATAGATTTGTTAATAAGCATAACTGCAGGTATTGCAGTAATGAAAATACTCATGCTTTTGTAGAAGGGCATACCCAGTATCCTCAAAAAATTAATGTATGACAGGTATTTTAGGAAACAAAGTGATTGGTCCATTGTTTATTAATGGAAATTTGAATGAAGACATTTATTTGGATAAAAAACCAAATCGAAGAGGATGGAAACCCTATACTTGATAAGGCTGAAATATATTTCCAACAAGGCGGCATTCCTCCTCACTATGTTCTTCCGGTTCGGCAATGGCTAGACGACGAGTTTCCAGATAAATAGATAGGGCGAAGAGGGTCTATAGAATGGCCTGCTAGATCTCCTGATTTGACGCCATTTGAGTTTCTTCTGTGGGGCCATTGGAAATCTATTGTCTTTACTCCCCAACCTGAAAGTTCGGATAAACTTCGTCAACACATCATCGAAAGCAGCCATGATATCAAATAACATGTTTTTGAAAATGTCCGTCAGGAATTTGAACATCTCCTATAACATTGTTTGGCCAATAACGTGCAACATTTTGAACACTTATTGTCAAGCATTCCCTCAGTTTTTATGAACTACGCATAGGTGAACAGTCCTTATGATCGACCTTAGTGATGTGATATTGTACAAATGATGACATGGATTATATTGTGAAACTACAAATGTCTAAAAAACTAATATCTCTATAGCTGGTCTTAAAACATCGAATAGAGAACAATATAATGCTAAAACTTCAAATCATTTGAAGGTAGTATTAAAAATATTAAAAACTTAGCTTGAACGATGTTGCAGATTAGAGCGCCTCCATCGAGCTAAAATAACTCTTACTATAGTCCGTAAATCAGCAAATTCAATGTTCTCTGAGCACGCTTAAGGCCTACTATGTAAATATTAGTTTTTTTTAAATGACTTTGGTCTGACAGAGTCAATGAATAACATATTATCACAGGTTTGGTGTTACGTCCAAATCCACAAAAACTAGAGAGAGCTTTGGAAATTTGCTGCGGCGATCCCGTAGAGTTCCTGCTAACCCTTTATCAATTAAGCAATCCAAAGAGAAAACAATACTCCGTCAATGATAGACTGATTCTATCAGCTGTTGTCCATTTGACTATGACCTTCACATTGAGAGAGTTGCATGTTAGAATTCCTTCTCCACCAAGGAAACCTAAGGTATGATATTAGCCTCATGATAAAGACGAAACTACTTAAAAAAACATTCACAGGTAGTTCAAGAGGAGCCACAAGAAGTGAAAAAGGCGAAATATAAGTCTCCATATTTGGTGCCGTACACGTTCAAACCAAAGCCACCAGCTCATACTGGAGAGTATATCAACAGTCAAATTCAACATCCTGAAAGTCCGTATTTTAGTTACCTCGAAGATCTGGTGAGTATCTCTACTATCTGAAGTTTGATAATGAAAAAATCCTCCAGTTCTTTTAATGATCTCTATTAATACCACAAATGACAAAGTGTGAAGGTTTGTGACTCAATCACGCCACTGTTGAACGGCAGGGTTATTACGTAAAAAACTATATAATAATGTCAAAAAAAGGATAAAATGACAACTTACTGACTAGTGTACCAACAGTTGCCATTTTTGAGCGTCACCAAAAGTGTCATCTATGAGGGAATCACTCAATGACACGCTTCATGATCATCCTGCAAGTCAGTATCCCAGCAAGCTTTGTTGGTTGCAGAATGCCGAGATAGTATGTAGAGTATATATCTGAGCAGATGTGACAGAAACATAACTGACTGAGTAACAAGCTTGGCCTGAATGTATGTAACGAAATATTTGAGCTTAATCTTCACCAATTTCCAGAAGTTTGATTAATTTGAAACTTCGTACACGTTTCAAGGACCGATGACAATGCAATAATTTGATGATAGTTTTCCATGATCCCTATATGTAAAATTCTGTAAAAAGCAGATATGTTCATCAAAAATCACGGATTTGAAATGCCGCTTTACGAATAGTGAAACTGCAAGCCTCTGTAGCTCACTGGCAGAGCATTGGTCTTGTAAACTAGGGGTTGTGAGTTCAATTCTCACAAGAGGCAGATTTGTTTGTTTGTTTCGATTTATTTAGCATTAATGTCCATAATATCCATATTACACATTATATCACAAAATACATTATATTTTTATTCAAAATTTCACTACAATGAATTCTGGTTTTCCATGAGATATTTTTTTCAATTTCCCTTCGAACATCTTCAAACTGACACACATCTTGATATCATTACTTAATTTATGAAGTTCGTACAATCCTTTTTGAAATACTGACTTGCTCGTTATATTGCTACTGCAGTTTTGTAAATGAAAGTCTATACTTCATCTAGTAGAATAATTGTGGCACTCACTGGTCAATACAGTAAAATTTTCTAAGTGATTTGGTAGAAGATGATTTTTTAACTTGAATATGAAAATGAAAACCGAGTAGGCTATGAAATTTTTGATATTTAACCATTGTAGTTCTTTCAGCATAAAATTTATCCTAGTATTTTTATTTAAGATGATTCTCATAGCTTTATTTTGTACTATTTGTAATTTTAAAAATACAGTTTCATTTGCAGTGAACAAAATAGTTGAACAATATAACAAATGAGGAAGAATGATAGTGTTGTACACATTTTTTTTAGAATAAACGCCTAGGGTATGCGAAATTCTATAAAGGTAATTTATTTTCTTGGATATTTCTGAAATAATATATTTATAGTGCCCTTCAAATTTTAACTTACTGTCTACGTATATGGCCAAATATTTAAATGATTCGATTGATACAATTTTTTCATGATTAATTATAAGATTTATCGTATTTTGATCTAAAGATTTTCCTATTAGCATATATTTTGTTTGTGTTTAGGTTGAGTTTATTTACATTTAACCAATTTATTAAGTTTTTCATATCATTATTTAACAGCTCTATTGCAGTTTCGATGTCTTTATTTGATATATATATATATATATATATATATATATATATATATATATAACTTGAGACGTGGTCATTGTCGTCTAAACCAGTTAGGTGAAAAATTAAAGCTTCCGCCTTTTGTTGGGTACTTCGACAAAATTTAGGCAAAGAGGACTCTTTATACTTTTTTAATTCTCTCTAGCTTTCAATGGACTTTCCCATCATCATTAGGAGCTGCAATAACAATGATAACAGTAGCAACAATAGTGTAAAATGAATTTAAATTGACTTAACCTACAGTGGTATGTGAGGATGTTGCTAATTGTTGTTTACGTATAGGATGAGGGAAACGTCCAGTAACATGGTGAAAGCTGGATAGATGGTACAATGGTTACTGGACGTTTCCCTCATCCTATAGGTAAACAACAATTAGCAACATCCTCACATACTACTGTAAGTTAAGTCAATTTAAATTCATTTGTTCACTATTGTTGCTACTGTTATCATTGTACTTGCAGCTCCTGATGATGATGGCAAAGTCAATTGAAAGCTAGAGAGAATTAAAAAAGTATAAAGAGTCCTCTATGCTTAAATTTTGTCGAAGTACCCAACAAAAGGCGGAAGCTTTAATTTTTCACTTAACTGGTCTAGACGACAATGACCACGTCTCAAGTTATATATATATATATATATATATTAATGTATCAAATACACCTACCGAAATGTTTTTAATGTTTGTTAATGTATTGCCAATTTCAGTTCTTTGACTTCTATTGATTAAATAATTTTGTAATAAGTTGAATACTGAACCTTGAAATCCATAGCAATGCAATTTCGTTAATAATTTCTCCCTGTCCATAGTCTCAAATGCTCTCTTGAAATCTAAGAACAGTGTTACTGTAAACTTTTTTCATCCATATTTCGCTTCCATTCTTCTACTACCATTTGAATTCTGTTTCAGTAGAATACTTTTTTCTGAATCCTGCTTGAAATTTTGTCATTATCTTATTTTCTTCAACATATCCATTGACTTGTTCATATATGATTCCTCCTAAGAGCTTCTCGACATCTGGCAGTACATTAATTGGCCGCATGTTTGTATATAACACAGAATTTGGAATAGGAGTAATTGTAGAAAATTTTAATTTTGAAGGAAATTCGCCATACACTAAACAGTGATTCACTAACAATAATAACTTCTCTCCAATAATGTCGAAACATTCCTTCATAATCATTTTTGAAAGATGTTCATTAGGATTTCTATTCGATTTCAATCTTGTAATAGTTTTTGAAAGATGGCTGATATTTATTGTTTGGAATTGTCTCATAGAAGAATTATAAGTAACTTGCATGTGACATAGATTTGGATCCCCATCTTCGATTGATTCCACTATCTCATTTACACCTTCTATAAAATAAGCGTTGATTCGTTCTGCAATCAATATTTTTTGTGTTACTGTACCATCTTCGGAGCACATTCTTGATAATTTATTCTTCCTACTGGGAGATACAAGATTTTTTAGTGTCTCCGCATCATTTTACTGTTATTTTTATTGCTATCGATTTTGTTTTCGTAATATTTTTTCTTTTCGTTCCTATGATTTGTTAAACACTTGTTTCTTGATTTCTTATATTGTATCCAATCTTCCTCAGTTTGAGTGATCATAAACTTTATATAGTCATCATCACGCGTGAATTTAGAGTCTAGAATTATTTGCGAAAACCAGAGTGTTGGCTTTTTCCTTTGATATACCACTTTCCTAATTTGTGCATCTCTCATGCAGTTCTCCATACAATCCATAATTTTTGAGAAGTGTCAGCATCATTAAACATTTTAGTGATATTGGCTTGTAAGACTGACTCTCGTAACGTTCAAAGTCAATAATTGTGATTTCTTTTGATTCTCTCTCATTAAACATATGTTCCACCTGGAAACATATCCACGAATGGTCGCATATTTTTGGAGTATGTAAAACCTTAATACTCAAATTCTGTTCATTGGTTATTATTAAATCGATCATAGTTCGTGAAAAGTTTGTAATCTTTGTGTAGTCATTAACTTTTTGCCATATACCATGAAAGTTCAGTACCTGTTTAAATTTTTTTACATAAAAATCTTGATTATCAAAATCTATATTGAAGTCTCCCAAGTGCACAGTGGAGCAATTTCGATAATACTGTTTTTCACAAACACTCTCAAAAAAGTCCAAAAATTGGATAATATTACAGCTTGAAAGTCTGTAGTGAACGTGTACGTTGTAATTTTGTCTCATCTTGATTTCAAAATTAATATACCACCATTGATAATCAACAACTACAGTATTATGTGTTTTTATTTCAATCATGCTCAGTTTGTATATTAGTATGCCACCTGTATGTTTCGAAACAGTGTTTACTCTTACAGCATCATAATGATGAATATCAATCTCCATATCTTCAATATCGTCTGTAATATGTGTTTCAGTCAAGCAAAGAACTAATGGTTTCACTAATGTTAAAAAATTTATAACTTCATCCCTGTGCGATAAAAATCCTTGAATATTTATATGGTATACATTGTTAGAATATCTTTTGACCTGTAATTGCTATTTGTCACCATAAGAAACTTAATTTTTTGATTTTTCATATTCGATCTGGACCGCGTTGCAGGTATAGTGGAAGGATGGGTGATTTATATTGAAATTTGTGTTGTACAACAAATTTGATTCTCTGCAATTTGGACATGTTATTTCATATTTTGATATAGTACAGTTCTGGGCCTGATGATCACTATTACCACATTTTAAACAGATACTGGTCTTGGTGCAATTCTTGGCTGTGTGGTGAAATCCGCCACAGTTAAAACACTTCAGAAGATAGTAATGCTGAAAAATTGTACAAACATCCATGGATACAAACAAAACTCCTGCTTTCATTACTGCTCAAAATTTCGATTTATCCAATTCCAAAATTGCCATATACCGAAATTTCATTTTTCTGATTGTCACTACTTTAATCGAAGCATCACTATTTATCACGTTGTTTCTCATTTTTAAGTCTCTAACCAATTCTTCATTGTTTAAGTCTTCACTGAAACTCACGACTTTAATCATTGGTAATTCTTTGTGGCCTACATTTACTTTATAATTTTGTCCAACACTTTTTTCTATGTCCAATTTTAACTTTTTGATATCATCGATATGCTTGCATTCAATTTTCAGTGCTCCATCTTTCAGATCATTTACTTTTATAATATACAAATTCATTTTTGCTGCATTTATATACTTGCTTAATTCCTTCTTTGTTTGCATACAACTTTGATTTCTATTATTAGGTTTAATAACAATTGCATTTTCTGGTTGTGCTGTTGTGTTTATATTTTTAGTATATTTTACCGTTTTTTTTTCTTTGGTGATGACGAAGTAATGTTGGTATTTTCAAGTGTAGAACTTTTAACCATGTCTGCATAAGATTTACTGTTATTTGCAGCTGTATCTTGTAAAGTATCAGTTTTTTTATTTAGTTTATCTTTTCATATAGTTCTTTTATCAGTTTTTCTTGTATCGAAATAGTATAGTCTTTTATCTTTAAAATGTCTGTTACAAAAAATCCTTTTTCTTCTTGTGATACATTCACCTCATTTGCATTTCCACCAGCCTCAGTCCCTTCTTCATCAGTCTCCATATGGTTCAACTCGATATTTTTTCAAGAAAGAACAGATTGTGGTATGCTTTTTTTTAATTTCTTTAACACGCTTTTATTAGCTTGGCCTGTATGTATGTATCTATATACCGTAATCTTTGAGCATAATTTTCACCAATTTCCAGATGTTTGATTAACTTGAAACTTCGCACACGTATCAAGCACCCATGACAATACAATGATTTGACAACAATTTTCCATTATCCTTATTGGGACCGCCAGGATTGATAAATTCTTTTACTTTTTGTTGGTTCGGGCACTCGGTACAGCACAACGCAGGCAGATACTTTCTCATGCCCACAAAAAACTAATTGGTAAATCGAACTAAAAAATGAATAATAAATAATAGTTTAAAAAGGCTAAACAAATCACGCTTTTATAGCCAGCTGAACTAAAAAGTAGAAAATAATTCTTAATTACAAAGAGTTTATATTACAGAGGCAGATGGTCGAACAATAAATCATAATTAAGGACCTCAAAATAAAATTATAATAAAATTAATGTTATTAACAGAATAATTCAATTCAGAGTAAAAAGCGTGGGGTGCTTGATATATTAAATTTTACAATCATTCTATTGGCAACTATCTATGACAGAGAGTTATGGAAACGTAGTAAAATGCATCCCGCTATTTTTACTCTGAATTGAATCCTTCTATTAATAACTTAAATTTTATTATAATTTTATTTTGAGGTCATTAACTATGATTGATTGTTCGACCATCTACCTCTGTAATATAAACTCTTTGTAATTAAAAATTATTTTCTACTTCTTAGATCGGTTAGTTGTAAAAGCGTGTTTTTTTAGTTTTTTAAACTATTATTTATTTACATTGGCCTTTCGTTCTGAAGGAGGTTGTTTTGTGATTTCGACATTCGCATTCATAATACTGTGAATAAGTGGTTATTGGGTTATGATAATATGTTAAGATATGCCACACAGGCTGCGAGGTACTTTATGTATCACTTATTGTGATTCTGATTACACATTTGATATTAATGTATTGTTGCATTAAAACGTTCTTCACACTAATGTAAAATGCATGACCTACATATACTTTACACTACTTCCAAGCCGCGGATTTAAGATAGTACTTTATACTTTATTTCAGTTTCATTTGATGTATTACAGGCAGGAGAAATGGCGCAAATGAGGGAAGATCCAAATCTAGGCATTATGAGTAGAGGGCTAGGTAAGATTTTATATCCCGTCAGCTTATAGACACCGATTTTTTTTTAAATACCAGGTTGAACTCGACGAATTAGCTCAAAATATAGGGTGTACTTGAAGTTGAGATAAATGAAAATGAAAATGAAGGAACATACTGTTAAGTGTTAAGAATTTCAAGTAACTTTTTTCTCAATTTGTAATATTTGGTGCTGTCTACATAGGTCTTCTACTGTGCTCTCTCTCATTTAACACTGTGTAAAGGAATGTTCTATCTTCAAGAACACCCTATATGTCACCGTATAGACAGGTCAAAGAAAAAATATAGAACATCGGTATCGTAGTAACTTAAGGCACTGCTCTCAGCAAAGCAGCTAGACTTCAGTCCGAATTCGACTTGTGGATGTAATTCTGACACTTCTGCTAAATTTTCGGTTGCATCAACAAATCTTTAATATCCAAAAAAAGTACTTCTCCATCACGTTTTTGTTCTTTGAAGAGATTCAGAAAACCTTCCACGAGATCTACAGTTGATACAAGAAGTGTGACAAGCAAGTTAACAGTATACGTATGATCATCAGACTCGAGAAATGTATTTGCTACAAGGTGTTACTTTCCACCGATCGTGCGTTGCATATTATACAGGGTGATTCACAAGTCGTGACCAAAAATGAAACATCATACATAGGACCGCATTTAAAGGAGTCTTCTACGTAACATTTTTTTCCTCGAGGGCTTCATTATAAAGATGTTGAAGTTTAAAAATGAAAAACAGTTTTTTAATATCTTCAAAACCGTCAACTGGAATAAACTAAAATTTGGTACGTGAATTTAAATAAGTATTGAAAAGTCTTCACTTAAAATTAACGTGCACCAGTGGTGGAGATACAGGGGAGTAGTGGCATTATTTTTCCAAATAAAAATAATTGTTTTTTTTTTCGAAACGCGCAATTTTTATAATTTTAAGTTCCATTTGCTACAAATAATTACTCTTGTATTTTGCCCTAGAGTGCATTGTTTTCGTAAAAATCAAAAAACAAATTAGTAATAGTAGGTGGTGTCTGTTAGGAAATCTACGTTGTTACTCCCGAGAAGCCGCTTAAGCATTTTCATTACAGAATCCGTACACAAAAATAATATCGACTAAATCATTGCTACATTCCATTTTATAAGATTCAAAAATGGACAAAATAAACTTTTGACTTGACTTTTACAAACAAACAAAAAATGGTAGTAGAAACGATAACAACCGTATAACACACAACTTTGACAAACTATCTCATAAGAAATGTCAAGTTGGTATCAAGTCCTATTTTATTTTGGAACTAATTGTATCTCGGCTCATCATTAATGATATAATTTGTTTATTTTTACGAAAACAGTGCACTCTAGGAAAAAACAGAAGACTAATTATTTGTAAAAAATTGAAAATAAAATTCGAAAAATTGCGCGTTTCGGAAAAAACACTAGCGTACTATTTTTAGTTGAAAAAATAGTGCCACTAATCCCATGTATCTCCGCCACTGGTGCACGTTAATTTTAAGTAAAGACTTTTGAATGTGGACAATACTTAGGTGAATCCACATACAATATTTTAGTCCATTCCATTTGACGGTTTTGAAGATATCAAAGAAATGGTTTTTTATTTTTTCAACATCCTGTATCTTTTTTATGAAGCTCTTGAGGAAAATATGTTACATAGAGGACCGCCCTTAAAATGAGGACCTGTGTATGATGTTTCATTGTTGTATTTGTTATGTATTGGGAGTTGCAAATGAAAATTCATATTTTTTACTCATTTAAGTTTTGCGAATGGAAATAAAACAACACGGTAGGTAGTTTTAAATGACTTTATTGTTTTTCGAAGTATTCTCCATGAAGATTAATATTCATCTGCATGCGCTCGAACCAATTTTCGAAGCTCTTATTCCACTCGTTTGCTGCTGGCACTGCTTCTTCTGGTGATTGGAACCTTTGACCACGCAGTCTGTTTTTAATTTTCTGGAAAGTAACGAAATCGTTAGGACTTAGATCGGGACTATATGGAGGATGGTCCAATAATTCCACGTTTTCTTCCGTTAAATACTGCCTTGTTCTTTGGGCTGTGTGCGAGCTTGCATTGTCTTGGTGGAGGATGATTCTTCTTTCGGGGTTGATTTTTCGAAGCTCGGCGACGACTTTTGGCAAAAAATGGTGGTATACCAATCCGCAGTAACAGTTCTTTGCTCATTAAGAGGAATTGATGCAATATGACCCGCTTTTGACACAAATGTCGCGACCTTCTTTTTCGGAACACTTCGAGAACGGATGACTTTTGTTGGCTTTTCTTCACCTTGAAACACCCAAACAGCCGACTGTCGTTTATTTTCTGGTTCATAACAGTAAATCTGCGATTCATTACAACTAACAATGCTGTATACATTTTTTGAGTTACCGGAATCGAAACGGTCAAGCGTTTTTTGACACCAATTAACCCTGGCTGCTCTCTGCTCTTCAGTCAACGAGAAACTGATTTTCTTACCCTCAATTCTTCATGTAATTTTTTTGAATTGAGGTCTTTGAGATCTTCAAGGACGCCTCAATCTCACGATATGTCACATGTCTATCTTCAATGATGAGTTTGCGCACAGCATCGACGTTTTCCTGGGTGACTTTGTGACACTTAAAAATTCACTGTACTGAGAACACTGCACGTATTCCTATGAAACTTTGGATTTAAGTTTACTAAAGAGTGAGGTTAAGATCCAGTACTGACGTTCGATCCGCGCGGCCTACTATGTTTCTATATGCAAAACATAAAAGACATCCCTCGTATTGTCATGAACTTAACATATACTCCTAAAACTAATTTTAGGCAAAAATGGACTTAAATAGTCTGGCTTTGAGGTACAGTTATGTTGAATGCTGATCTGACTGGATTTTCTTTGTGAAATACGTTACTGGAGGCTTTTCCTTTCAGATAAGGTTATTGAGAATATCAATAATGTATTAACATTCAGCATTCTTAATAGTAAGTATGCATTTAGTGATCTTTTCGAAACCTCAAAATGAGTCGAAATCGGGCTTGAGTCGAGTTGCTTTGGTGAGAACAGTGCCGTATTTCAACATTGCAACTATAGTTTGGTTTTTGAATTACAGATGGCACCGAGATTGTATATGAAATTCAGGCAGCTCAAGACTACTATAACGAAATACATGGAACCAACAAGAACTGTATTCTGCCACCAACAATTCTAGTACCTTTAGAAAAAGACCAAAGGAATGCTATTGGTGATACTAAAGCTTTGCTTGATGACTTAAAAGAAATGACGGTGAATGCACCATTTGTTAAGGTCCAGGGAATAGTTTTCGTCAACGCTGGGGTTAGTATGACTGGGCGGATGTCACAAGAATTGTCGGTTTGTAGCTGTTGGTCCATTTTGAAAGTCTTGAATCTTATCCTATTTTTATGTGACATAGGACTACATTGTCTTGTCGAATTTTGTCTTGAATATGTTTTAAATAAGAACCGTTTTGTAATGGAGTCAGATAAACTTTGTTTATAATCGTTAATTGTATCACAAACTAATATATGAAAATTTTTTTCATTTTTCAAAACAGTTATCATAAGAATCTAAACACATGTCAAGCTTTTGCACTAGCTTTTGGAACCCGTTGTCAAAGAACAATGCCTCTTGACCATTAAACCAATTATTTCTTTCAACATATCATTTCCCAAGCCCTTTCCACCAAGAAATTCCTCAAGTTTTGGAAGAAAATGAAGGTAAGACGGTGCTGTATGGTGGATGATCCAATAATTCCTAATAAAAATGGCCCTGATATATTTTTTCTCACAGAAAAAAGCCTAGAGGAATTAAATCTCATGATCTAGGTAGCCAATTTATCGGTACGTATACGAGAGATGTTTTGAAGGCCACGACTCAAAATTCTGATCTTAGTTGTTAATTTTCTCAGTTCACTAGCTGTGTACTGCTAGTGGTACATTTTTGTTGATAACGTGCTTTGGTCCCATGAGTCCCTCCTGGAGGTTGTTCAACATTCTAGAACAAAGGAACGACTTCACAGGCCAGGTCTCGATGTACATACCGAGAAGGTTACTGTCTATCCAAGAAAGACATTAAACCGAAACATAACCAGTGTGTGTTCATTTTGTAATCAGCACGTTGTTTATTTCAAGAAACGGGAAGCATGACTGTTATTGTGCAGAATCAGTTGAGTACTACAGGAAGGTGGAGTGGGAGAAGACACAGCGTTGCATGCAGCCTCGCCAAACGCTGGCGTTCTGGAGTCCGATCACGTAAAGTATGCGTGAATATGTTTGGTTTTAGTTCCTTTCGTCCATAAATGAACTATACAGGGTGATTCACAAGTCGTGATAAAAAATAAAAGATCATACACCGGACGGCATTTTAAGTTTAAAAATAAAAAACATTATTGCTCTTGGGTTTTTTCCTAGAGTGCACTGTTTCCGTAAAAATAAAAATAAAACAAATTAGATCATTCATGAAGAGCCGAGATACAATTAGTTTTAAAATAAAATAGGATTCCTTGATAACGACTTGACGTTGCTTGGTAGATAGTTTGCCAAAGTCGTATGTTATACGGTTGTTATCGTTACTACTAACATTTTTTTTGTAATAGTCAAGTCAAAAGTTTATTTTTTTCATTTTTGAGTGTTGTGAAATGGAATTTAGCAATGATGAGTACGCCGATATTATTTTTGTGTGTAATGGAAATGCTTTAGCGGTTTCTCGGGAGTATAAACGTAGATTTCCTAACATATGTCAAGCTACCCCAAAGGTTTTTACGCGTTCATTTCTACTTCGACAATATGGAATTGCCAAACATTCTGGAGTTAGAGGTCATGGTGTCCGGCATACTCATCAACAGGAACTGGAAGTGATTAATTTGGCGTTGGATGATCCTAGTACAAGTACTAGGAGGATTGCAGCCCAGTTACCATGTTCTCAATGTCGTTCGTGGAGAATTTTAAATCGGGACGTTTTAAATCCCTACCATCGGCAAAATGTGCAATGTCTGCAACCTGGCGGCGAAGTGCAACAGCGAAATGTTTGTGAATGGTTACTGCAAATGCATAATCAAAATGCACATTTTATTCATTTAGCTTTGTGGTCGGATGAATCGCTTTTTACGAGGAGTCGAACCTTCAATTCTCATAATGAACATATTTGGCCGTTAGAAAATCTCCGTCCTGTAAGAATCCACCCGTTTCAATACAAATTTTCTAGAAATGTCCGGTGCGGCATTTTCAATGACCAACTGTTAAAGCATGTATTGCCACAACGTTTAAATGCAAACTTATACTTAGCTTTTCTAGAGAATTGCGTAGAAAATGTGTTAGATGATGTTCCGTATGCTCGTCGTGACATAATTGCATGGTTAAATAATCATTTTGCGAGCTCTCCTGATTTGAACCCCTGGATTTCTTGTTGATTAGTTACAAGAAACAAAACAAATTAATACTGTTGATCAGTTACAAGAAATAATAGATAATGCGTTTCGTCAAATTCAAGCCACAACAAATTTTGCGGAAATACGTTTTCCTTTATTAAAAAGATGAAGCACTTGTATCTGTTAGAACGGTGGTCTTTTTGAGCATTTATTGAAATAAAGCTTTAATTATCCTATTTGTTTTTTTTTATTTTTACAAAACCAATAGATGCCGCACTTGTATCTGTTAGAATGGTAGTATCTTTGAACATTTATTGAAATAAAGCTTTGATTATCTAATTTGTTTTTTTATTTTCACGAATACAATGCACTTTAGGAAAAAACACAAGAGTAATTATATGTAGCAAATTGACGGTAAAATTCGAAATATTACGCGTTTTGAAAATAACAGTGGCGTACTCTTTTTATTTGGAAAAATAATGCTACTAATCCCCTGTATCTCCGCCACTGGTGCACGTTAATTTTAAGTAAAGACTTTTAAATATGGACAATACTTAGGTAAATCCACTTACCAAATTTTAGTTCATTTCAGTTGACGGATTTGCAGATATTAAAAAAATTGATTTTTATTCTTAAACTTCAACATCTTTTTGATGAAGCCCTTGAGGAAAAAATATTACATAGGAGACCCTTTCATTTTTGGTCACGACTTTTCAATCACCCTGTATAAAGCTTGTCTAGCAGAGCGACGACGAACAGCATCATCTAGGAGAGCTGAAGAATGTTGTAATTTCGAGACATTCTGGAACTTTGGCAGCAGTGCTATCAGACGGACAGCGTTTATAAAATTTTATCTGACTTATAATTTGTAGGTGGTCATCACTAATTTAGGTAGAGTATTTTTCGTACAAGGATCGTATCAATCAAGTGATCTTGAACATCCGATATATCAATACGAAGAAAAAGAACCGAGTTTGTCTGCTTTGAACACAAATATTGAAGACGATTGCTGCAACGTTGGGGAGCAGGACGTTAAATGCCTACCAGGAGGTAATGAAGATAGCTTTACAATTAGGGCGATGAATTTGAGGGTCTCTGAAAATACATATCAGCGTGTTCTGAAAGCTGCGAATTTCCCTTTTCGAAAAAACAAACCGCGGCGCGAGATGGAATGGTTCAGGGGAATTATCTGAATACGCTCGCAAAGCGTTACCTAAAAATAAACAGATTGATGCTGAATGATAAAAACTCAAAAGCAATGATCACATCAATCAAGAACAAAAACAGGAATATAATACAAGCATCAAGGCTTTCAACAACTTTCTTTTTAAAGAAAACGGAAACCATTTGAGATATCTCAAAAATTTTATTATTGGATTGAAGTATACTCAAAACATTTATGTATACAGGGTGTCCCGAAAAAAGTGTGCAATATTCTACCAGCGGTTTCTATAGCTTAAAATAGGAAGAAAAGTTTATATAAACATAGGTCGACAACCGTCCCCTAAGGGCGCTACGGTCTTTTAAATGGGCTCCTCTGAAGATGGTTTTTCCTTAATATTTCCGAAACGTGTTGAGATAAAGACAAAATTTGGTATTCTGGCCTAGTTTTTTATGCTGGATTTAAAAATATTAACAATTTTAGACACGTTTGTTTGGAAGCGTATGTAACAGGGACGGATTCAATATTAGAATTTGAAAATTTAGGGTTTTCTACATAAAAAAGATACTCTTATTGAATATCGATATTTTGTTTTTGAATAAAATCAAACTAAAAAATTTGTCACATGATAGGAAACGTACTGTGAATTTAAATGAATTGTTCAATAATTAGCCATGGCAACGAAAAAACTAATTTATTAATTGGTAAATATTACATAAATACATATTTCTATTGCAACATAGCTAACATTTAGGCAAAAACTTAAGAAATAAATTTTTTCTACGAACGAAATCGAAATTTTTTAAAAAAGAAGACATACAGTTGGATATACTTAAAACTAGCTTTACAATAAGTGTTCAAATAAATTCACATTTTGTTGGACACAGAGTCTCGCTCGACGAACTAATGATTGCATAGCCCGAAAAGTGGAAAACCTTTTTCTTCTTATTTCATTTGCAGCCTGATGGATCCTTTGAAGTAAATCTTCTTGAGTATTTACTTCATTCGAGTAAACTAGGTCTTTTAATGATCCCCAAAAATAGAAATCTAATGGATTTAAGTCAGGTGAACGTGGCGGCCACGCTATAGGACCTCCTCGGCCTAACCACCTGTCTGGAAAATTGACATTCAACCAATTTCGAACATTGCGTCCAAAATGTGCCGGGGTGCCATCATGTTGAAAAAACATATGTTCTTGAAACTGCTGGCGCACATCCAATGGTATTATATCCATGAGCTCATTCTGAAGAAACTTCAGATACACCTCTGAATTAAGACGATCGGGAAGTACAATGGGCCCAATTACTTCATCCCCAATTACTCCTGTCCATAAGTTCAATGAAAATCTATGTTGGAAATTTACGACGAACAGCTTTTGGATTTTCGTCTGACCAGTGATGCATGCTATGGAAATTAAAAGCACCATTCCTAGTAAATATTGACTCGTCCGACCATAATATTCTAGGAATATTTGCTAATATCCACTGGCAAAACTCGATTCGTGGTAAAAATCTGCCTCCGTTACATGCTGCACCCGTTTAAAATGATAAGGATGTAATCCTTGCATTCTTGTCATTCTTCCTATCTAAAATTATTATTTTCAGGATAACTATCAAACAGGTATTCATAAGTTTTTCTTACTATTGATCGGGGTATATCCATAATTTCTGAAACATTTCGTATGCTTATTTGCGGATTATTTTCAAACATATTTAAAGCAATATCCATACGATGATTTCCCTGTGGCCTTCCTGAGCCCTGCATGCGCTGAAAACTTCCATGGTTTGACAAATTCCGGTGCATATCAGTAAACATTCGACGTCCAGTCAGTTCTCTGTCTGTAAACCTTGGCATTTTAAATCGATTTAATAAAAATTTTGATTTTAATCTACTAATTTTACACTGCTAACAATGTCAGCTTAACGTCAAAATAAGTCATAACAAATCAAAACAACTTTTGTTTGCAGTCATGGCTAACTATGTATAATCAACAATTCATTTAAATTCGCAGTACATTTTCTATCATATGACAAAGTTTTTAGTTTGATTTTATTCAAACATGGCACAATTTATCGATATTCAATAAGAGTACCTTTTTTATGTAGAAAACCCTAAATTTTCAAGTTCTAAAATTGAATTTCAAAAATAGAATCACACAAAAATTTTGGTGCTAAAATAACCTGAGTCCGTCCCTGTTACATACGCTTCAAAACAAAACTGTCTAAAATTGTTAATATTTTTCTATCCAGCATAAAAAAACTAGGCTAGAATACAAATTTTATGTCTGTATCTTGACACGTTTCGGAAATATTAAGCAAAAACTATCTTCAGGGGAAAGACTGTAGCGCCCTTAGGGGACGTTTGTCGACCTATGTTTATATAAACTTTTCTTCCTATTTTAAGCTCTAGAAACCGCTGGTAGAATATTGCACACTTTTTTCGGGACACCCTGTATAATTCAACCTCATGTCCACCACGGGCACGTTCGCAGCGATCGATTCGCTGAACCCAATTTCAATGACTCGGTCACACATTTCGACAGAAACGGCCGCTATCTCTCGTTCAAAATTGGCTCTGGCCTCCTCTAACGACGCCTGCCTGTTGGCGTAGACCAATGATTTAATGTAGCCTCACAAAAAACGTCTGTAGGTGTTAAATCACACGATCTAGGCGGCCATTCAACAGGACGATTTCTCGATATAACACGTTCACCGAATTTTGATTTCAATATGTCGATTGTTTCACCTGCTGTGTGACTTGTGGCACCGACTTGTTGAAACCTCATATCATTAAAGTCTAGCCCATCCAATTGACCAAAAAAAAAGAAAAACGTTGCAACATGTCTCTGTAGCGATCTCCGTTGACTGTAACGTGACAGTCATTTTCATCAACGAAAAAAATAACACCACCGGCATGAAAACTACACGATACAGTTATTTTTTGTGGATGACGTGGTTGGTGTTTCTTGAAGCATATGAGGGTTTTCACCTGGCCAATAACGCATATTCTGTTTGTTGACGAAGCCGTTTAGCAAAAATGCGCCTCATCACTAAATATGATTTTACGATGAAACTGGTGATTTTCTTGCAATACTTCTAGAGCGCAATTCGAGAACTAACGTCGGTTCATATGACCGAAAGGCTTTAGTTCTTCGGTTAACTTGATCTTATAAGGGTGCAGGTCAAGATCGCTTCGCAAAATTCGCCATAGTGTGGTCTGATGAGCGATGCCCAATTCATGAGAACGCCGTGGAATCTATGTGTTCTGTTCATTCGCGACGGAAGCTTGAACGGCAGCAATATTTTTGGCACTTCGACCAACCCGTTGTCTCAGTGGCACGGGATCATCCAGCAGTGAATATGTGGACTCAAATTTTTTACTAGACTATTCATTGCTTGTCTATTGGGATGAGAATTACGACCAAAAATTGGCGTTAACGCTTTTGAAGTTGCATTCACCGATTCGGAATTTCGGTAGTAAATTTTAATTATTTATACAAAAGTTGTTCGTTCATGTACTTCATCATGATGAAAATGTTTTCTTTACTGGATGTTTTGACATTGACAGTTCGGTAATTGATTTAAAGGTTCGTTCACAGTGAAAGTCCGTATTGGACAACCCGATAGTTGACTTTATAAAATATCTAAGATTTGTGTTAGACAGAATACTAAATTTCAACAGCCATAGTGATTTCATTATTAAGAAAATTTCAATGGAACTTTCTGTTTCTCAGAATTTTTAAAGAGCTATCAGTATTTGCAACAGTTATGGTTTAAAATACAATAATAAAGTTCCATTTTCAGTACTCTTCAAATAGGGGAATGTGTGTAATTTTGCAATGCAACAGATGCACAAGAATTGAAGGCATGTTAAATACTCTTCAGTGGTTGTCTGTAAGCCAACATGTTTAGTTAATAACCATGACATGTATATTCAAAATTGTCAAAGGAACTCCATCTAATCGTTTAGCTGCATCCCTGCACTGAAATTCATACATATTACACCAGAACAAACTCCTATATAATAAGTTACCAAATCAAATATAAAATGGAGAGACTATGAGTCATTTGGGAGATGACTTGTCATGCATATAAGAGGTGGCAATGTTTTTTAATATAATTCGATTTAGTGGAATGTGTTGTTCTTTTATTGTGAGCTGCAGTGAGCCACAAATTTTTGCTTGTTGCTTCCAGAGAGAGAGACGGAAAAAACCGAATTTTCCCAAAATTGTTTCAATTTTTTTCTGACCTATTTGTAGTTGGATTGCAAAATAACATTGATACTTTTTCCTTTACAAGGTGGCATAATTGCAATTTCAAGATGACGTTTCGTCTCTAGTCCTCCAGCAACAAGTTTATTTTTTCTTATGGAGTTTTACACAGGTATCGTGACTCCAAAAATGTGTAATACGTTATATATTGACATTGCCAAACCTTGGTTATTAAAAAAGCAGAATCTTGCAGGTAGGCCTTGAAATTATAATATAGTCATTTGTTTCGTAAACCAGATTTATCGCTAAATCATTATTTTATTTTTCCTGGTTTTACTCGGAATTTCAAAGTAAATAATATGTTGTTCTCCTCTCCTCTCTATGGTATAGTTGAATGTTCAATTCGATTCTTCTTCTGTCGACTTCCTCCACAAACTTTGTTTTTTTTCATATGGACGCTGAGTTGGAATTTTGTACATTTAAATGGGGTTTTCAGTCTTAAATCCAGTAATATGTTACCTTTGTAGGCCATGAATTTGTTGGTAAAATTATGAGGAAATAAAAAGGTATGGAAAAACTTAAACACGAAATGAAAATTTTATTGATTATAAAACAAGAATAATCATAAATAGGCAGAGGTAAATCATAGTAGATGTTCAAAACCATGTCTGTTATTTTGTTGTCTTTCAAAGTTTGTTGCTATGTTCAATTTGAGGTCTGACCTGGTATACGAAGCAAATGACTATCTGCAATAACTAAGATGGCGATGTCAATGTATGTCATCTTATACATTTTTGGATTCAAAATTATAAACTCCAATATGGAGTCTATAAGAAAAAATAAAGTTGATGCTAGAGGACAAAAGACAAAACGTCATAAAAAAATTCTAATTATGAAATCTTGTAGAGCAGAAAGGGTGACAATGTTAATGTGGAATTTATTGTAAAATCCCACTACAAATAAATTCAGTCCTCATTTTTGGAGAGGGCTTTACCCTCCAGTTTTACCATCTGGTTCCACCTTGGGTTCTACCTTCGGGTATACGGTAACATCTGGGACTTTCTGCCCTCGATTGCCGTTCGGGGATAGCCAAGTTTTTTTTTATTTTAGTTTTATTGGTAGCCATTTAGCTAGGGGAATAATACGAAATAATTTTCTGAGCCTGTCCTCTAGGACTTCTCCGTGGTGTTACACTCTCTTTTCATGGTCGACTAAGAATTAACTACATCTTGATAATGTGAATTATTACAGCGTTTTTCTTGTTTAGAATAATAATTTTATAGCAGTTCTTGAAAACATCGAATTCCATTTTTATAACAAACCACTTCTCTTAGTCTAATAATTTTAAGGTAGAACATCGTATCTCTATCTCGTCATTTTTATAATTTCTGTCTACCGTAAATACGAGGATTTTTGCGGCCCACTGCCCAATTCTGTGAAATAGTTCACACGCTGAGTTGCGGATTTATAGGGTGGTGAGGTGGTTTTTATAATCTTTTAATTTTAGTTTTATTGGTAACCATTTAGCTAGGGGGATAATACGAAATAATTTTCTTATCCTGTCCTCCAGGACTTCTCTGTGATTTTTTTATTCTTGTCCCATAAATGTCTGTGTGTCTTATGAGTTTGTGTCTCATTAGCTCCATTGTTATTTCATTTCCTAGTTTTTGGAACACCAAGGTGCAGAGAACCTTACCCTGAGGTCACATATCCAACGACAGTTAGTTTTGGCGAGATAACAGTACCTCTTACCGTTTCCGAGATCCCAATGATGAGGGTCGAATTTGAGACATCCGGTAGATCCAAAAGCTTTTCACTCCACAGATGCCGCTATTTATTTATTTATTTATAGCTTTTATTGCCCAACAGATAACATTCCATTTATAGACCAAAATCTTAAATTGGAAATATTACAAAAGCCTAACTTATAAAAATATCTAAGGCGCTCCCGCAAAACACATTTCAGCTCCGAAATAGAACATAAGAATATGTCACATAACTTACAAATACTATTATAATTTAAACACATAACCCTTTCAGGTGATTTCAAAATCAAATTTGTGTTAGCACGACTGCAAAAGAAAGTAACATTACATCTTGAAACGGATCTTGGCGTTAAAAACTATAGTTGTGATAACAATTCCGAAGAAACTATAGTTCCATGCAAGAGTTTAAACAAAAAAATAACAGAACTGTGCTTCCTTCTCACATTCAAAGATGTCATTTTAAATCTGTCTAACAGAATTTGATAGTCCGATCCACGTTGAGGGTAGACTCTATCGCACTTAAAAGCTAGATATTTAAGAAACTTTTTTTGAACATAATCTATCCTATTTATATAATAGTTATAGTATTGTTTCCATATTAGGGATGCATACTTTAACTTGGATCTTATATAAGCATAATACAAGGTTTTTAGTGCTCTCAAATCATTGATTAGCTTACAGTTTCTGATGAGAAAACCTAAGGCCCTATTAGCATTATTCACAATATTATCTATTGAAGCTCAACAACTAAACGAATTTGAGGAGTCAGGAAGAGAAAAATCGCCAGCACCTGCATGCAACGAAGTACATCCAACATTTGAGGACTCGTCAAACGGAGATGGTTGTATCTGTACCAGCAAACGGATAATTGGAAAACCCTTTAATGGCGAAGCGCTTTTTGTCAATGGTGGTATAGCTATTTCACGCATTGGGCCAGCGTATTTGGTCTCCTATTCTGTGGTAAGGGTTGATGAGGCACAACCGTTGAGGAGACCGAGAATATGCTGTATGAAGGGTGCTGAGGATTCGGGATATTGGGCAGCCAAAGGTTTGGTTTCGGTTCTACTTTTGGACTTTTTTCATTCCCTACTATGAGTTATGTTCATGAATTGTTTCAATAGTTCAATATGCTATTTTTGTTTTTTTTTCAGATTTATTTAGCATTAATGCTACAATATCCATAATATCCATATTACACAGTATATCACAAAATAAATTGTCTTCAAGACTACATATTTTTATACAAAATTTCAGTACTATGAATTCTGGTTTTCCGTGTGCTATTTTTTCAATTTCTCTTTGAACATTTTGAAACTGACACACATCCTGATATCATAACTTAATTTATTAAATTCGTACAATCTCTTTTGAAATACTGACTTGCTCGTTATATTGCTAATGCAGTTTTGTAAATGAAAGTCTATACTTCCTCTAGTAGAATAATTGTTGCACTCATTGTTCAACACAATAAAATTTTCTAAGTGATTTGGTAGAAGATTTTTTAACTTGAATATGAGAATGAAAACCAAGTACGCTATGAAACTTTTGATATTTAACCATTGTAGTTCTTTCAGTATAAAATTTATTCTAGTATATTTATTTTTACTTAAGATGATTCTCATAGCTTTATTTTGTAATATTTGTAATTTTGAAAATAAAGTTTCATTTGCAGTGAATAAAATCGTGGAACAATATAACAAATGAGAAAGAATGTCCACAATTTTTTGAAATAAAAATAATCTTGTTGCCAAATGGCGACACCGGCACCCCAGTCCTAAATTCTACCTGTAGTGCCAGGGTCGCCATCTGGCGACCAAAGAAATATTTGTATTCAGGTAAGAAAATATGTTTGATGATTACAATATATCTCTCCTTTAGTATCATTTAAAGAAATTTTCAGGCAAAACAAATTAAAGACCCCCTTGGCCCCTGACTACATGTAACCACATTTTACTGACAGCGAACGTGTTAATAGGTTTGAGCCTGCTTCCACTTCGGGTGCCTCTTTTTCGGATATCCAGGTTGTCAATACATCATTTTTGACCTTCTTATACTCCTTCGGTCGCTTGCCTCTTGCTATTCTTATTACTATTATGTCATCTATCATAGGTACTGCTTATATGACTGTGCTATTATCTTTTGTCTTCTAACCAATCGTTCATGTTATTAGCGTTGCACCTTTGCCTTAAATCTATGTATTTTTTTGTTCTTTATTTTTGGTATCAGGTCTTGCTTCTATTTATCTTGACGTCACTAATTTGTACGGGCTCACAATGTGACCGCCTGATGGTTGCTAAAATAAGAGACTTAGTCCAACAGCGTGCTTAATGGATGTCTTGATATTATTGAAGCAAGAATATTAATCCTGATAAATTACTGTTTAAAATATGGGGAATTTCTAACAAAACTGAAGTATTCTACATAACTCCTGTTTCGAAAGTTAGGAATTCTGATTTGTACACCAATATACGGCCAGATGTTGAAGAAATTATTTACGAACAAATCATCGAATTCATTGAAGGAAATAAAATTTTAACCAAATTTCAAGCTGGATTCAGGAAGAAACACCCAACTGAAACGGCAATACAAATGGTTTTAGAGAACTGGAGGAGATGTTTGGATAATAGGGAACCTACAGTAACAGCGTTTTTGGACTTCAAAAGAGCGTTAGGGATAAATTACTTACTAAAGTGCATCGCAATAGATTCAAAGGATCTGCATTCAAAATTCTACAAAACTACGTAATTGACAGAAGGCAAAAAACCAAAATTGGATCTATATTATCAACCTTAAAAATATTTCTGTTGGTGTACCACAAGGTACTAAACTATGTCCGCTACTATTTATTTTATACATTAATGATATTTGTAATATTTTAGATTATTTAAAATGATAAATTCTAACTTGACAAAAATCGTTAATTGGTTAAATGTAAATAAACTAAAATTGAATATTTCTAAAACAAAATGAAAGCTAATAGGAAAATACCTAAACGAAAATAATAATAATAATAATAATGTTTATTGTCACAAAATACAAGTAAATATCAAATATTGTGCACAATAAACATAAAGCACCCAAAAAAAGCACTTGTGTTTGGGTTTGTACAAAATAAAAACTAATACTACAGTCACTGTATGAAAAAAAAACCGTTAATACTGTATAATTTGGTGAATTATTATGGTAATGTCAGGAAAAATATCCAGACAATTAGAACTAAAGTAAAAGTATGGATGTTAGTATAAGTAAAATATTATTGATTTTGATAATGATTTTTCAGATCTACAATTTCGTGGATGGAGTTGTAAAATCCATTTTTTTAGTTCTTTGTTAAATGATTTATTTGATTTAATTACTTTTAATGACTCTGGTATGAAGTTATAGAATTTTGGTCCCAAGAAAAACAGAGATAGTTGTGTAATGGTTTTTGATGTTTGTGGAATACACATTGAATTTTGATTGAATCTTGTTGGGTAGTTATGAATGGTACGATTAAAGTATTTTGAATATTTGAAATAATGTATTAGACCACAATAAAAATAAATTTGTCTGCAATCTAATAGCTGAGCCTCCACATATAGAAAATCGCTTGAATAAGTAATCTCCATATGGATTTTAGAATTAATTTTTGGATTACATCAACCTTTTTGTAATTATTATTCATAACTCCCCCCCAAGCCAAAATTCCGTAAAGTAATAGAGGATAAACAAGAGCATAATATAGATTATATAGATATTTCTTATCTAGAATATCTCTGAAGTACCTGAATTTTGGAATAATACATCTCAGTCTCTTCACAAGGTACTCTGTATGGGTATCCCATTTTAAGTGTTTGTCCAAAATCACGCCTAAGTATTTTATTTTATCGGCTGACTGAATCTCTTTGAGACCACTGCTTGTATGAACTTCAAGTTTTTTAAATTGTGGTGAGAGCTTGTCGTTACAAGAAAATGCTATATAGTGTGTTTTGTTGTAATTAATTGTCAAAGTTCTTTCCGAAAAGAAATTTATAAATGTTTTGAAATCATGTTCGATTGTGGTTTTTAGTGTATGCCACTGGTTGATTTCATAAAGAATAGCTGTATCATCTGCAAAACCGATAACTTTACCTGTACTACTTATTTTGAACAAATCGTTGATAAATAGATTAAATAAAATGGGTCCTAATACTGAGCCTTGAGGTACACCGTATGATATAATATGGGGTTCACTGAATGTGTTATTAATTTTGACGCACTGTGTTCGATTTGACAAATAATTTTCTATAAGTTTGTATGTTATTCCCCGGAAACCTAAGTTTTCTAAAGTTGTTAAAAGCGATTTATGAGTAATAGAGTCGAATGCCTTTGCCAAGTCAACAAAAACACAAGCAGTTGGTTTGCCAATATCGAGATTCGTGTATATTTTACTTGTTAATTTTACAATAGCATCTTGAGCAGATTTGCCTTCTTGAAAACCATATTGCTGTTCCGCTATTAAGTTATATTTTTTTGCAAATTCGGTGAATCGTTTTTTTAACACTTTTTCAAATATTTTAGAAAAATTTGTTAAGATGGAAATTGGTCGATAGTTGATGGGTTTTTCTCTTTCTCCAGATTTAAATAATGGTTTTACCATAGCGTGTTTTAAACATGTAGGGAATACTCCTTTATTCATACAAGAATTTATCAAATATGACAGTATGCCGCAGATGTTGCAATTTATTCTCTTGAGAGTATACGCTGTTATATTATCTAGACCTGGAGATTTTCTTAATTTCAATTCATTGATTATTGTCTTTATTTCATGCGTATCGGTCGGTTCCAGATATAATGAGTTATATAATCTGGTCTTACTATAATTTAATTTCTCCGCGTTTTTTATGCTTTCTGACAACCTTTTCCCGATTTTTGAAAAATATTCACAAAATTCATTTGCTATATCTACATCATTACTCACTAGTTCACCACTTTCTTTTTTAATTGTACTAATTTTGTTGTTTTGTTTTTTGCCTTGTATTTTATTGACAATTTGGACGAACAATTTTGTAGATTATCAAACTCGTCTTGGAGATATTTAATTTTAGCCTCTTTAATTATTTTTGTCAGTCTGTTTCGATGTGATTTAAATTCATTCAAAAGTTTGACATCATAAGGATCTTTTTTGGTTTCCTTATATAATTCTATTTTTTTGTTGATGGAGGTAATAATTCCTTTTGATATCCATGCTTGTCTTTTTATTTGTGTTCGTGGAATCTTTACTGTTTTGGTGAATTCAGCAATATGGCCTTCAATGCTAGATATAAAAAGGACAAATGCATTGTCAATATTAGGTTCGTTATATACTACAATCCAATTTTCATTGAGTAAGTTGTCATTTAGTTTTTCATAATCAATATAAATTTTTGTATTATTCACTGTCTTTTCAATTTTGGTTGATGTACTTTCAAGATCGATTTTGAGCATAGTAGGAAAATGATCAGAAATTTTGTATTTTAGAATTGCTGAATATATTTTGTCAAGTTCTAAACGTGAATTTATAAACATATGATCTATACAACTCCCACTGTTTCCCTCTACTCTTGTCATTTTGTTAATGGCTGACAGGTAACCATGTTCAGCCATTATATTTAAATAATCTTGAATATTTTGATTGTTATGATCTAATATGTTAATGTTAAGGTCTCCAATGAATAAGTTGATGTCAAATTTTCTACTGCTCTCTAGATAATCATGTAATTGACCGTTAAATGTTGTTACAGATATACAGGGTGATTTGTACATACCAATGATCGGTATCCATTTATTATTCTTTTGAAGAATAACTCGTAAAAGTTTTGTTTGAGTTATATTAATAATTTCATGCCCACTGTTCAAATTTTGTCTTACGTAAATCAGAACCCCGTCATTTTTATTAAAACTACCATCGTTATAATATAAATCATAATTGGGAATTTCGATCAAACTTGTATCATATACTTTAAATGTTTCAGTTAGCACTATAACATCAAATTTAAAATCTAGTATATCCAACAAGGCATGGAGTTCATCCATATTTCTATGAATGCTCCTTATGTTCGTGTGAAAGATGTTCAATCCTGAATCAATACTATCACACTTAGGATAAATGGTGAAATAAATATGATATTAATATTATATTGATAGTAAACTAAAGTTTGAGGATCACTATGAATACATTATTTCACAAATTGCCAGAGAAACAAATTACTTTTGTAGGGCTTCTCGTAGTCTTGGTACATATTCAAAAAAAAAATAGTATATAATACAATTATTCTACCGCATTTACTAAATTGTTCAACTATCTTTTTAACTTCCAATGAAGCTGTATTCTCAAAATTACAAGTCCTGCAAGATAAATCCATGAGAATAATATTGAAGAAAATAAGTACACCAAGATAAAATCTATGTTACAAGTATTGCAGTGGTTGAATATAAAAAATCATATTTTGTTATTTTTATATTTAAAATAAAAAAAAAACATATTTTGCCACAATTTTTAGAACGCTACATAAAATTGAATAATCATTACCACAATTATTATACAAGAGGAAATATAGATTTTCATTTACAAAGTTGCAATAGTAATATAACTAGCAAATCAATATTTCCGGAAGGATTACTTGAATCTAATAAACTAAATAATGATATAAAGTCTAGTTGTAATCAAAAGATGTTTAAAAGAAAACTAAAGGAATACTTCATGGATATCGAAAATTCTTAGAGATGCAATTTTTGTATTTTCGAAACATCTGTATGTTATGTAATTGCTTAGTTTTTTTTCAAACGTATGTAATTGTAGCCATCATGCTAAATAAATATTAAACAAACAACCTGTCAGTGACCGTATCCAAGATCCCCCCATATAAATTCCGTTCACTCTGCTACGCTATAGACTGAATTCACACGGCTGTATCCCAGACACAGTTACCGACAAATAACCGACCACTGTACGAACAAATCTATACTGCAAGTTTGTAAAACTAATGTATTCCAAAAAAAGGTGTGTTGGAAGTATCTTACAATTATTTAAAGGTCTACAAGAGGAAGTTCAAATACTGATAAATTTAAGCCCATTAAGGAATAACCCTTGGAGACAAGTCGCGTAATTTACACTCAAGACATGATCACATGAAACGAGCAGAAATACTCATAAATATAGATATCAGAAATTGCAGAATTGATCTACTGGACACAATTAAAACCACTGGTAGACAACAAAATGACACTTAACTTGCCTACTTCAAATTTCTTTTATAACATGGAAAATCCTTAATTGTTTACATTCCGCAGATCATATATCTGTCGTATACCAGAGCATGAAAATCAAATAAAGAACTCCAGGCACTTTGTTTGCTTGAACTGATTTCAACAGCAACAAATGTGAATACATACAGTTTGATTCACAACCCTGAAAACACCGCGAGCATCAACGACTAATGTCTGCGAGTTCGTACTTGTTACCAACAAAATTTCTTAAAACTCTAAGCGTCATATTGCATGAGATGGTCTCAGGTGACATGCTTGTGGTATTCCTTGAACCAGGTTATTATCAACAGGTGGGGCCTGCACGTGTGTGGCTCAGCGTAAAGCTGTTCTGAGAAGATATCAACACTGTTATCCTGTTACCTATGTGATCGGAGGGATTGTTATGACTGAGGTGAGTTGATGATTCAGTAAGCTGGTTTTGTTACTGAAATTTCAAAGTGTCATACTGTATTTTTCTTCCATGTATGTCCCCCATATCAAAAAATAAATGAAACTCGTTACTCTATTATATATATATATTATATTTTGTCCGGATTTATGATTTATTTACCCACCTGATTTCCTCCAAAAAATCGTTTTGATCGAAATTGCAGATATGTCAACATTTTCTGATGTTGGACATTTTTTGTTCCATCCCAGGTTGGTCCTGCTTATATGGTGTCCTCGGTTTGTAAGAAGAAAGAAATTAAAAAACCAGAAGTAGAAACTGCGGATCCAGACGCGTGCAAATGTAAACAAGAAGTTGATAGATTTTTGAAACACAGGCAAGACTTTGGTTTGAAAACCCTTGAATATTTGTAAAATTTGGCTTCAGATATTATGAAAAAGTATCTTTAAGTAATAACAGTGGAAACCTTTTGCTCAGAATCTTGTTGTATAAAGGTGGAGCGAAAAGTACTGAGTTGTTCCAGTTGACTAAATTTGTTCCAGGTGCGAATGTGAAACGTGTCGAGCTCAAGAAAGACAAGACAACGCTACTTTCATAATCGCCGGAATGAAAGGGCAAGAAATTGATCCTCCCATTCCAATAATATCTGCATGTGTGTCCCAGAAGAACTGCAACTGCCTGGAGAGATACATGGAAAAATTAAAAACGATGCATGAGTACAGGCAGAGACTTGAGACTCGATGGAGGATGATGTCTATACAGAATAAGTACGCTATTGGAGGTGTCGTACAAACGGCCAGAGGTAATAATGAGCAGAATCACAGCAGATTTAAGACCAGAGTTGTGTGTTCTGCATTCCGCGTTCTCAATTCGAGAAGTTTTGTAGCTGTCGATCATCTGGTTTTTAATTTGACAACTTCTAGTATTCAAGTTTTCGAGTTTCCGTGTTTTCGAGTGTTCGAGTGTTCGAGTTTTCGAGTTTTTCGAGTTTTCGAGTTTATGAGTTTTCTAGTATTCGAGTTTTCGAGTGTTCGAGTCTTCGAGTCTTTGAGTCGTCGAGCCGTCGAGTTATCGATTTTCCAGTTTTCGAGTTATCGAGTTACCGAGTCTTCGTGTTTTCGAGTGTTCGAATTACCGAGTTTTCGAATTTTCGAGTTTTCTTTTTCGATTTTTCGAGTTTTAGAGTGTTCGAGTGTTCGAGCGTTCGAGGGTTCGAGTGTTCGAGTTGTCGAGTTGTCGAGTTGTCGAATTTTCGAGCTTTCGAGTGTTCGAGTGTTCGAGTTTTTAAGTTTTCAAGTTTTCAAGTTTTCAAGTTTTCAAGTTTTCAAGTTTTCAAGTTTTCAAGTTTTCAAGTTTTCAAGTTTTCAAGCTTTCAAGTTTTCAAGTTTTCAAGTTTTCAAGTTTTCAAGTTTTCAAGTTTTCAAGTTTTCAAGTTTTCAAGTTTTCAAGTTTTCAAGTTTTCAAGTTTTCAAGTTTTCAAGTTTTCAAGTTTTCAAGTTTTCAAGTTTTCAAGTTCTCAAGTTCTCAAGTTCTCAAGTTCTCAAGTTCTCAAGTTTTCAAGTTTTCAAGTTTTCAAGTTTTCAAGTTTTCAAGTTTTCAAGTTTTCAAGTTTTCAAGTTTTCAAGTTTTCAAGTTTTCAAGTTTCAAGTTTCAAGTTTTCAAGTTTTCAAGTTTTCAAGTTTTCAAGTTTTCGAGTTTTCGAGTTTTCGAGTTTTCGAGTTTTCGAGTTTTCGAGTTTTCGAGTTTTCGAGTTTTCGAGTTTTCGAGTTTTCGAGTTTTCGAGTTTTCGAGTTTTCGAGTTTTCGAGTTTTCGAGTTTTCGAGTTTTCGAGTTTTCGAGTTTTCGAGTTTTCGAGTTTTCGAGTTTTCGAGTTTTCGAGTTTTCGAGTTTTCGAGTTTTCTAGTTTTCAAGTTTTCAAGTTTTCAAGTTTTCAAGTTTTCAAGTTTTCAAGTTTTCAAGTTTTCAAGTCAATATTTTGAGTTTTTGAGTTCGTGGAGAAATTGAGAAGGATGTACGGGTATAGGTAGGTGCTAAGGCACGCTGAAGGGTATTTAGTACATAAAGTTGGCGAACTGAGTGAGTGAAATCAGCAAGTCAGAGACAACGATTTTTTTCCCTTTTGTCAAGGTGTCTTTTTAAGGTCCTATGTATATGCTGACTGGCATCAGGCCCCCAATACAATGCGCATGTGCGGAAATGCTGCGAAAGCAAGACGAAGAGAAGGAAGCTAGGAAGAGAATGCCCGAACCGCCTCCAGCAGGGAGGATCAAATATCATATACAGGGTGTCAGACAAATGAAATGCGGGCAGAGTGTGTATATTTTATCACAGGCGCTGCCTGTTGAGCCGTGCCCCTGTGAGGAATTGTTTAACAGGTAAAAATTCTTATCTACAGGCTCAAAATTGTTTAAAGTAGACAATCTTCGCTGTATATTACTAGAATCCACGAATGCAAAAGTGGATATCAGATTTGTTGGAACTATAAAGGTATCTCAGTTGGTGTCGAAAGCGGAGTCACCACTGTGATCGTTTGATACCGTCAATTCTGGCGATATAGTATAGTGCTTTCATCAGTCCAACCAACAGACTAAAACAAGTCGATTGGACAAAAGTGCTTCGTTTGTCCATTAGGAGGCGTCGTCCAATTTTTTCAGACACTTTTGGAGCCTATAGACCGACTTGAAAGAAATTTAGAACACATCGTCGTCCATACCGCAAACAGGCGTATCTGATAAAAAATCAAATTCAAGTTAACGGCTTCAAATCAACAAGGTATTGCATATCTTCAATCCCGCAAAGTGGCGTAGCTCTAAGTAGTTAGCTCACACAGATATCAGAAATCATGATCATATTTTCTAAAGTAGAAAATATTTTACTTCTACTGAAAATTTGTATAAAATCGGTTACGCCTGTCTGCGGTATAGAAGACATGTGTTTTGCTAGTCGTTTTAATGTTGGACTTTTAAAAAAACCTGAAAGGGTTCTAGAAGGTTGAAAACTACCCCCACCACTCAGTGACGCAGTAGGTTGTGCAATCTTCCACATTGCCAATATGTTGCACCAGTTCCTTAAAATAAGATCCATGTTGAAAATATGCGCTAGTTTACTCTTTACGACCAAATAATGCTTTTACTCTGAGCGTACACATTTTTGAATTGTGAACTGTGTCGATCTGTTTAGGATTGATTCCTAACGGCACTCCATTTTGGGCCGAGAAGAAAGGCCAGGTCGCCACAAATTTTTCAACATTTCATCACTGGTTCGTTTGACAACACCGAATCTTGTACATTCCAAGGCAAGGTTTCCGGTATGCCTACCACTCTCGTTAACGACTTCACAACAAACGCTGTATTTCATATTTTCGTTCATGGCTGCCTGAATAAAAGGGTGTTTCAATGAGGATGCCTTAATGCTGATAAGTAATAAAACAAGTGGTGTATGATGTACTAACGAGATCCCTCTTCATTTGAAACTCTATTGTATGGGAATTGGTATGAAATATGGAATATGAGTCATCTGTCTAGGGTGGGTTCGGACGGTGACACGGATTGACGGAGTTCACATTTTAGTAACACTAAATTAAAAAAAGTAAATCGACTGTAAAATTCCCACGCCTTCGAAAGAGCTTCGAGAGCAAATTTCAATGTACTTTATGTATGAAGATGAATTCTGATGTGAAATCTCGAACCTGACACGAATCTGTTGTCAAAATAACCTGCTCCAAATAACCCTTTGAGGTCATTCTCTAGGTCATCATTGGGGTGATCGATAAGTTGCTTTTTAGATATCCTGAAAGTTTTCTTTAAACATTCGTTCCAAAAAATACCTGGTTGCCACGTTTTCGAGGTGTTCGTATACTTTTCATACGTTACAGTAGGTCATGATTGAGCCGCATATGACCGATTGGCCTCATGTATGGGGAAATACACTCTGATGTAAAATCTCGAGCTCGACCTGAATCTGCTGTCAAGAATAGTGGTTGCTACATCCTATTTCACGAGTATCCATCACGCTTTGGCGTCTACTGAGGTGAACAGCTGATCAGCAAGTGACATTTATATACTAAGTGACATATAAATCCGAACACCCAGTTTAAATGGTTTTATTTTAATAAAATTTTGTATAAGTACTTAATGAAGCATAATAAGTAAATGATAAAAATTTCAAAATGATTGCACTGCTTTAAAGCCCTTTGACCTTTAATAATGTGTGGATGCACCCTGATGTGCTACGCATTCTCCAACGCGCCTAGGCATGCTTCTGATCAGGTGGTCAATGTCCTCCTGTGGTATCTCATTCCAGGCAACCACCAACTCCTCTCGAAGTGCTTCTAGAGTCTGAGGAGGACGTTGCAAATTGAGCAATCTCCTACCCATCATATCCCACACGTGCTCAATTGGGGATAAGTCGGGAGAACTTGGTGGCCATGGTAACAATGTGACATCATTATGTTGAAAGAAGTCTATTGTCACTCTTGCAACATGTGGTCGGGCATTATCTTGTTGGAAAGTTGGATCTGCCAGGGTGTCAAGATAGGGTAAAAGATGGGGTTCTAGAACTTCGTGGATATAACGCTGCGCGTTCATGTTACCTCTGATGAAGATTAAAGGTGACCTGGAACCATAAGCTATAGCACCCCAAACCATAACTCCAACAGTGTGATGAACATGTCTTTCAACAAAAAACTGTGGATTCCTCCTTTCACCACGTCGCCTTCTAACCCTGGCACGACCATCGTGCATGCCTAAACAAAATCTAGACTCGTCACTAAAGACAATACTGTTCCATTCCTGATCCCAGAGTGACCGTTGTCTGCACCACTCAAGGCGATTACGTCGGTGTTCTCGAGTTACAGGGAGGACCCAGTGTGGCCGGTATGAAAACAAGCCAAAACTTCTCATTCGTCGGTAAACACTTCGCATGCCAATAGGTCTTCCGTGTTCTGCAAACCATTCATTTGCAATGGACCTGGTAGTGGAGAAACGGTCCCTTAAGGCCAATAAACTTAGGCGGCGATCTTCACGGTCTGTTGTTCTACGGCGGCGTCCAGTGCCCCTTGCTCTTTGCGTACGGCCTTCTCGAAGCCATGCCTGACAACACCTAACCACAGTGTCTAGACTTCTTTGCACTCTAACTGCAATTGCCCGAAAAGAAAGTCCAGCTTCCCGAAGTCCCACTATACGGCCCCTGTCGAACTCACTAAGTTGCCGAAATCGTACAGGTCTCCGTACTCTAGGCATCGTAACCGATCGTAAAGGATGTCAAGAACCAAAATCCGCCAACGTTGATTCTTTACTGCGGCTGAAATATTCATTTTTAGAGCGTTAGTGAATTAAAAAAGAGCAGTATAAAAACCGGAATGTCCAACTGATAAGGCTGAAAATTTTTTCACTTGTTATTTACTGTAAGATAAATACATTCACCAACTTTTATTAAAATAAAACCATTTAAACTGGGTGTTCGGATTTATATGTCACTTAGTATATGTTAGTCTGCAACGTTGGCTATAATGAGTCAGGTGTAAATCTAGAAAAAAATTGTTTGTAGCGTTTTGTTTTTTGTAGGCAAATGACCTCTTCTAAATAAAAGAGGTTTTAGCAAGTACAAAATGAATCTGAAGCGCACAAAAAACCAAAACAAAATATGGCTGTGTCTACTTGGCATTGACGGATTCGTCGGAATTATGTGTCCTTTGCCGATATGGGGAATTTTGAAATATTACTAGATATCCAGCCGTTAGTGGAGATCGCAGATTTTCAGAATGAGTTTCACATGCACTCGTGGACAAAAAGTGCATCTGATACGATAGTATAGTGTCTCTATTTTCGCAGGGAGCTTGGGAGGTCATTTTGTATAAGAACTTGAGGTACTATTCACTTTCATTGGCGTCTTAATCTGGAACACCCTGTATATTTGGATGCCCCTGTTACACCTATATTTCAGATTCCAGGGTGCACATTCAAGATGCATGGATAGATACAAAAGTTTCATGAGCAAAATACAAGAAGCTCATAAAGACTGGGGCTTAGGCGAGCGTTGGTATGAGAGCGACCAACCTATCGAAGAAGAGAGAAAGCCGAAGACTTTGAGAAAGAAGAAGAAAAAGAAAGATTTCCATGGTGAGTGTTGAAATGCGCTGGCTCACAAACATCTATTTTTGCGGATTAATAGGCTTGACAGGCAAGGCATTCGGTATTTCTTCACTAGTAAGCAAAGACACCTTTTGTTTTTTTACCTCCTATGCCACTGGCGAGAAGGTATTGTAGTCGAAAAAGAAAATCCGGTAATTGGGATTTTTTTGTGTTATATGACATGCACACCCCGAAAGACCATGCCACGCATTTTTGACGTTCTGTCAGTCTGACTGTCGATGTGTTGGCTCGTCGGCGTCTGTCTGTTTACCTGTCGGTCTGTCGATCTGTCGGTACTGCTCGGATTTGGATAACATTTTCACACAAGGTTACTACTATACAAAGGACGAAAAAGCATTGTGTTTTTGGAAATCGACCCAGTGGCGACGGAGCTAAACACGAAAAAGGAAAAACAACGTCTAGGAGGCGGTTTCTGACCATTTTGAGGGAACTTTTTGTGCTGTTAAAAAATGGCAGTTGGAGGTATGTGTAGGAGGAGGAAGGCATATCTTGATTTTTTGATGTAAATGTACTTATACGCTTCCAGCCACGGTTATTCTACGCTATTAGGCATATTTCACACATCATATTTGATGGAAAATGTTTCTGATGCGCGTCTCTGCTTTTGCTCTCTGGGTTCACAGGCGGGCATTTCTGTACTACTACCAGGATGTCGCGCTGCCAAGTCTGACCCGTCAGTTATGGAGGAGCGGCGACGTTGTCAGATGGTCGGTACTACGGGTAGGGCAGGGAAATAATATCTATGGACTAACTGTATGGGCCTGTTCGACTGACGTTTAATTTCTCTGTTATACATGTTTGTAATCTACTTTTCAACTTCCTACGCCACTTTGCGCAGAAGCATTGTAATAGCGAAAAATTCCGGAAATGTTTTTTGGATGTTATAAATGACATGTACGTATACCACAAAAAAACATGTCACTAATTTTCGTCGGTCTGTCTGTTTGTCCGCTAATCCTTGACTCCTCTATAACTTGGGAGGTACCTGTTGGATTTTGATGAAATTTTCACACAGGGTTATGGCTATGCCAGCTTTCGTAAATCGGTCTAGTAGTGGCGGTGAAAAAGGTAAAAAACGAAAAAAGTTAAAATCGCTTAAACTTCGTATTTCCTTTCTTTCAGTTGTCCTGATCATTTTCAGAAAAATTGTTGTAGGGGTTGAAATTTGGGGTTGGTTATTATGGGGAGTGGGGAGGTATATGAAATTTTTTTGATCTTAGTATGTTTATACCCTCCCAGCACCGGTAATTCTATGCACCTATCTAGCTATATTTCACACATAGTTTTACCCGTATATCTGGCTTTTAAAACTTAGGAAATGTTTTCGATTCGCGTAATCCTGCTTATCTAAGCTCACCGCCAGGCGAACCGGTAGGGCTTGTACATCTATAAGTACTGAAGCACAAAAACATATACACGGTCCTTGTACGAAACGAAAGATAACTCGCTGCAGCATGCCGCGCAGATGTGGAAAGGGACAACGTTGCCACATGGACGGTAACTATTAGTAGGGCAGGGAAAGAATGTTTATGGACTAGTGTATGATCCTTTTTGACTGATTTAATACGTTCAATTTCTCTGTTGTACATGTCCGTACCTGACTTTTATGAAACATTTATGAAATTATGGGGTATTGCAGGCGAAGTGCAGGGTCAACCTACTTAACACCGTTTTTCAAATGGAGGAAATATCTACTTCCGTTTTCAACTTCTACGCCGTTTCACATTTTCATGACATTAGCATATTTTTACTTTTCACGACACTGGTGAGGAAGAGAAAAAAATAAAAAATAAGATATGCTTTTTGGACATGACAAGTACATCACGAAAAATTATGTCATTCATTTCCTTCAGTATGTCTGTATGCGAAAGACTGTTAAGAATCCCAGCAATGTTACGCATTTAGTTAAGATATAATATTCACACATATTATAGTCCATAGTTGTCCATTGACACAGGAATATGATAGCAGGTTTATTTTCTATAGTTTGAGATGTAATCTGAAGGGTTATACGATACGAGTATAATAATAAGTGGCTTTATTGTACAAACATTTTTATATAATCGTATATAGTGTTAAGTGATCATACCTAGTCAGGTTTCTATTTCATCAGGGACACTTTGTGTCAAACAGACCGGACTCCATATCTTACAAGCCAACGCTTTGATCGATTTATGTTGAACTATATATTATATGGCGTTAGGCCAAGATACATAAATTCAATTGATCTAATTCCGCCGGAAATACTGGGTCAATATGCTTGACGCCATCTTTTCCACAGTTCACATACTTAGTGTTGCTTATTAAAATATATAATTTTTGTTTACATCATCTCGTACTGATATACGATACAAAAACTTTTCGAGATTGCTGTTTAGCAACAAAATATGTAACATACAGCCACCTATGATCAGACCCTTCTTGGTTTGGCGATTCGCCTGACATTCTGTCGAGGATCCGCATATTTGACTCTGCATCTATCAAGGCGGTGTTGCCAAACTGACATGAAATATTTAAGAAACCCGAAATCTATGCTGAGCTAAATGGAATTCAGTTCTTTTTACGTCGAAAAATCATATCTAATATATAACATAACGTCTTAAGGACATGATATCTAGATTGCTGACAACTATGTCAAATACACTGACCAAATAAGCGATTTGAGGTAAGAACAGATGTGAACTTTAAGTAGACACTTTGTTACTAAGCTGAAACGTCTAATATTCCGCACAACCTTAAATGATATACAGGGTGTTTCACAACTTATCCGACACATATGCACTGTTACGAAAGAAGTTGATTGCTCAAAAAAATGTAATAAAAGTCATATAGAAATTAAGTTATAAACCTGAGCTTCAATAACAAATTCGAAAATAAATATCTGTATTTTGCGATCATCGTCGTGATATTAGAACATGCATTAGTAATTTATTGTAGCAAATGTTGTACCAAACAACTGACGAAAGCAAAATACCAGGACTTTTTTGTTTTGTCATACTGATAAGAACGTGTAAATAAGGTTTAATCTGTATCGTGGGTGATCTGAATGAAGAACGGTCGATCTTCGTGAAGTTAAATAAGGAAGTATTTTGCGAGTTTATGTTTTTAGTTATTTATTAATAAAAATGGCACATGTGTACACTAATGAGGAGTTAGTGGACATTGTTTTAGCGTACGGAGAAGCAGTTCAAAATTCGCAAGCGGCTTCTCGTTTGTATGCACACCGATTCCCGAATAGGCACATACCACGTCATGAAACATTTTGTTCAATTGTTTTACGTGCACGTTCTAGTGGAAATTTGTACCACAGACGTGGAGTGGATGGAGCGCTTTAAAAGCCGAAGACAACATTTTGGATATTGTGGAAGAAAATCTGGGAATAAGCACAAGAAGTGCCCGATTAATACGCTGGTGTTTGTTTGTTTGTTGACGGAGTAGTTGTCTCAGTTTGAATGAACTTTGCAAAAATTACTGTTATTTAAATAACACTTTTCCTGGGCGTTGCATTGGACGAGGAAGCGCAGTTTCTCGGACACCCCGCTCGCCCGATTTAAATCCGTTGGATTATTACTTGTGGGGACATATGAAGTCTTTAGTGTATGCAGAGAAATCGCATACCAGGGCTGAACTGCTCCGTAAAATTACGGACGACATAAGAAGTAATCGTCTTGTTATTGGGAAAGCCACCAGTCACATTATTAAACAGGCTATGTTTACAGTGTGAAGGTGCACACTTTGAACAACTATTGTGAATAGTTATTTTTATTGTACCTAGTAATTTTGTGTTAAATAAAAATAATGTTCCAACAATATTGTGGTTTTCCCACCATTAGCACACTAAAAATAAAAAAAAAACATTATCTCGATAAGAAAGCATTTGCGGACCCATGTTCATAGGATTTTTTCCACTCGAATTGACCTGAGAGGAACACGTAGCAAAATGTTGTCCCTTACCTCGCGGGACACCCTGTCACGTTGTCTATAACGAATTTCAAAAAAAGATTGAAGCACTTTATCTCTGATTTTATCGCCCAGCCATGAATAGGAACTCGTTACAGGGTTTTATCTTTTTTGTTTTCCTTAGGATTAGAAAATTTACATAAATATTTATGTTGGGTCATGTTGAAAAATGCTTTTTAACGACACTTCGCCTTTTTGTAATTTGTATAAATAAAGCCGGATTATTATAATTATCATTATCTCTTGTTAGTCTCTAATTTATTCGCCTTATCTAACTGTCTTCTTTTGGTAAAACAATTCTTTAGTATAGATATGCTGCCTCCGCGGTTCAGTACAAAGAAACAAGAAAAACCATTCATTTTTCCAATTTTCAGCAACCTTCATGTCAGATTACGATTACGATGCACAATATTCCGTGACAACTCCAATGCAAGACAGATCATCGAACATGAGCTTTCTAACGTGGGACAATGTAGATGAAAAAAGTATCGACATGAGGTATGATGATCGTTTTGACGTCATCGATGACCCCTGCGTAAAAACAACATCGAAAAATTATACTGCCAAAAGCGGCACGAGGCTGTCCCGGTCTAAGGAAAAAGTTAGCAAAAAAGCTGTAATCATTCCAGAAGAAAAAGGTATGATAACACTGAAAATTAAAACGCTAAAAATTGAATCAAGTACCGATATTTTCTATATGTTGATATTAGAAATTTTGATAACTCTAGGAGAAATTCCACGAACTGACAATTACACGTCTTTTTGTGTCATACTGGTTGAAAATGCTGTGTAGGGGGAGAGATAGCTTTTGGCTGGTCAAGATCTCAATTCGCCCAGGGAGGAAGGGGTCATGACCCGCCTTGTTTCGGTCGCCTCTCTTAGCCTGCAGCACCTAGCAATTGTCATTTTGGACCTCGGGTAAATACTCCCCTGCCTATCAACCAGAAAATTACATACTCTGCCACACCTCTTTAATAAACAAGAAGAAATGGTGATGTGATTCCTCTTTCCTTTTTTTATCCAATTAATAAATCAATAAATAAATAAAACACTATAATTGAAATCTACGGGTCAATCAATGCAAAACAGCGCCAGTGACCTAAGACGGATTAAGTCACAAACCTACGAGGTGTCAATCGGAACTTGTTTTGCCTAACCATCCACACAAAAGAAAAAATCTCTGAGTAATGACAAAACCCAATTAATTATACACAACAAAGAGCCAAATAAAACAAGATATTTAAAAAAGAATTACAATATATTATCAAAACAAGCAGCACATGCTCCACCACTGGAATGCAAGTTACAAGAAGGATATTATTCAATACCACCTGACAATAGAATTATTAGACCGTGATAATTAACCCTGAAAAACGTTTACCATGGTACACGTACGAAGCCTTTACAAATATAAGCTTTACAAGTATTTTAACGCCTTAACCTAAACTTATCTGGACAGTGGTCTTCTTCCAGTTACGGCTTTTGGCGCAGCTGAACTGTCCACAGCTCACAAACGCTCAGGTCAAAAACCAGTGCTTGTCTCGTTTTGCAAAATTTACGGTATAAAAACAACCCTAGAAAGAGAAAGACTGCCCAAAAATCTACTCTCTATTCTCTGTCTGAGGCAAAACTACTCATTTAGAAAACTCAAACTTGAAGAAAAACCATGCACATTCTCTTTTACAAGAAAAGTAAGGCAAAGGCTAGATAAGATAAAACTGTACTAATGTGATATACCCTCAGAAATGTATCTCTTGTTCTAAAATAAAGTTATGGTAGCTCAAAAATCAAAATCATGATCAATAAAATGCAGTAAGCCCAAAAGAAGGTAACATGTAGGCACTGCCCTATATCAACAAAATCAAGTACACCCTAAGAATTTCAGTCAGCAACAATCAATATATCAATATCTATAAAATACCCAATTAAAATGATATTTCACCTGTCCACATCAGGGTTTTTTTTGTTAAGGGAAAGGGGTGACTTGCAGCCAAATCGCTGCGAAACAGCTACAAGGCAGCAACAAAACAGAGCTGAAGGAGTGTGAATGGTCGTTCTCCGCAACGCCTTCCCACTAAAAGGAAGCAGATATTGAACAAAAAATCTTCAGGACATGCATTAATGCTTGTGGTCCAATGGTATACAAAAGAGAACTTACCGCTGAAGGTTAAAATCCTATTAGAAAAGGACGGGGTAGTACCCAAACCAAAACAACTAAACGTAAGGTTCCAAATAAAAGATGCTACTCCATAATCTGTTATTTGGGGATCTAAATTCCGGAGTCTGGGAGCTAACGAAGCGACCCACGCACAACCAAACCTCAGCAGAAAGAAATGCTGGACACATCTCCACACGCAAGTTTTTAAAACAAGGTATCTTGATAGGAAAAGGAGGTATCTCGATAGGTAAGGAAGGTATCTTGATAGGAAATCAAATTTTAAAAAGAAGGTATCTTTATAGGCCCAAATATCCCTATACGGCTAGTACGTAAAGAAATCTCAAAGTGGCGCAGGTTGTCACTGGGTGAAATCAACTCTACGAGGGACCAACGATATTTTATGAGGAAATTTCTGAGATAGTCGTTAATAATACTATAACATTAGTGTCAAAAGATTTCAACACAATACTGAATCGTTGAAAAAGAAAGATATAATACCTGTGAAATTATACAATCAATAAACTAAATGAACTACGAAATTTACCAAAAGAAAATCATTGAAAATGGTTTGGCCTAGAAAAGGGCAGTCTACCATTAATAAAAAGGAATTCAAATTACTACTAAGTTATCAAAATAGTAGAAAAAGGTTACGTCATTTTGGCACGTGACAACTCCGATCACCTAGGAAATGGAGATAAAATAATGCCTTTGTAAGTGGGAACAATTTTGTTGCAGAAAGCGAGATTAAAACTTTTTTCCCGACTATCGGAGACCTAGATTGCAGCCCAACAGATCTTGTACAAGAAGAAAAAAAAGAAGAAATTGGTGGTGTTACAGTGAGCACACAGGAAAGTGAGCTCCCAGAACCAGTTTTTGTGGAGTCCCAAGAGGTGTTGCAACCCCCAGAGCTGCCTGATAAGCCGTTATGTAGACCTGAACCTGGAGACGCCTACAACTTTGAATTGACTAAACCAAAGGTATTTACGTTAAGGAATTTTGCGAATTGATGTTTCTTGAGAGTTTTGACAGTTTTGAAAACTATGAAAGCTTCGAGAGTTTCCAAAGGTGCTTTCCAGTGGTTTTTGTTTCAGAGCGATACGCTCCAGAAATGCTCCAGAAACAATGCATCAGAATACAACGTGCAGTGGAATGAACCCCACCACCCTATAAATTCGCAACTCTGCGTGTGAAAACATTCCACAAAATCGGGTGGTGGGCGAATTGCTACACGAGAGCACCGGAAATAGCACCAAGTCACCTTCAGTTCTCGTATTTACGGTCGAAACAAATTATAAAAAATGACCTTCAACAAGATGGAGAGTAGAGTACGATTTTCTACCACAAAATTATTAGACAAGGAAAAGTGTTTCATTAGTAAAAATAAAATTCGATATTTTTTAGAACGGCTATAAAATTGTTATTCTAAATAAGAAAAAAGTTCTAATCTTCTAATCTTTGGTTCTCTCTTGACTCGCTTGAACCTCTCCTCCCGTTCCTCGCTTAACTTCATCTTGACCTTTCTCTAATCTCTTGAGCATCCCTTTACTAGGATGGTATCTTCGACTCTCTCTAAGCCATCTCTCATCTTTCTATTCTCGATCCACCCTTTACTCTCTCGACTCCCTCTTAAGTCCCTCGACTTTCTCTTCTCTCTCTCCACTCTTTCTCCTCTGTTTCTCGGTACTCACTCTTGACTCTCTTCTTTCGACTCCTTTGACTCTTTCTCGACTCCCTGCCTCTCGTACTTTTCTTGACTTTCTCGACTACCTCGAATATCTCTTGACTCCCTCTAGACTAGACCATCTCTCATCTTTAGATTCTCGACTGTCTCGCGGCTTTCTTGACTCTCTCTCTCGACCATAGCCCAACTCTCTTTCGACTGCCTCTTTCTCGACTGTCAAGGATCCCCCACACCGACGACATACAGGGATGGCGGTAGCGTCAGCGTTAAAAATCGCATTTAGCGCGTTAGCTGCACGTTCACACCACCGCGGTACAGCAGTCCTCTTATCTGCGCGATAGTCTCAAAAGTATTTTGATTTCTCATACAATATGCCTTCTGATGAAGAAGAACTATTATTATTATTATTGGCCTTAGCAGAAGATAAAAGGTAAGTAAGTAAGTAAGTTTGATGATAATCATTAGTTAATAATAATTAATAATTGTGTTTAAGGAAAAAGAAGAAATTGATACAACAAAGAAGCATATTATGGAGAATATCATACTTTAATGCCCGAATTACGTAGAGATCCACAACGTTTTTATCTATAATTTCAAATGACTCCTGATTGTTTTGATGAAATCTTAAATTTAATGTGATCTTATACTTTATAACTTTTTCCTGCAATTTTTGTAGTCTTCGTGACTTAAATCGTACAATATTGTGTACTTCTTAACTTGTTCAATACATTTCTCCGTTGTGGACAGATTATAATGCATCAGTCAGTGAGTTTAGAACAATAAACATTAACCGTCTCAAGAATTAAATCAAATCAAAATAAGAGTGAGATTTTGTCTAAAAGTGTGCTTAATGAATGTTTTGATATTATTGGAGCAAGAATATTAATCCTGATCAATTACTGTTTAAAATCTGGCGAGTTTCCAACAAAACTGAAGTGTTCTACCATAACTCCTGTTTCTAAAGTTAAGAATTCTGAGTTGTACACCAATATGCGGCCAATAAATATTCTGCCAGATATTGAAAAAGTTTTTGAAGAAATTATTTACGAACAGATCATCGAATTCATTGAGGGAAATAACATCTTAACCAATTTTCAAGCTGGATTCAGGAAGAAAGATTCAACTGAAACGGCCACACAAATAGTTTTAGAGGACTGGAGGAGATATATGGACAATCGGAAACATACAGTAACAGTGTTTTTGGACTTCAAAAGGGCATTTGAGACTATTGACAGGGATAAATTACTTACAAAATTGCAACACTACGGATTTAAAGGATTTGTATTCAAAATTCTACAAAAATATTTAATTGACAGAAGTCAAAAAACCAAAATTAGATCTACATTATCAAGATTAAAACATATTTCTGTTGATATACCACAAGGTAGTAAACTAGGTCCACTACTATTTATTTTATGGATTAATGACATTTGTAATATTTTACATTATTGTAAACTTCAAATATTTGCAGATGGTATATTAATATACATATCAGATCAAAATATAGACACTGCTCTAAAAATGCTAAATTCTGACAAAAATCATAAATTCGTTAAATGTAAATAAACTAAAATTGAATACTTCTAAAACAAAATGTATGCTAATAGGGAAATTCCTAAATGAAAATACTATCACAGTTAGGATAAATGGAGAATTAATTGAAAATGTTGAATCAATTAAATATTTAGGTATATAACGTATATATATTGATAGTAAACTAAAGTTTGAGGATCACTATAATACATTATTTAAAAATTTATTAAAAAAACAAATTACTTTTATAGGGCTTCTCATAGTCTTGGTACCTATTCCAAGAAAATAGTTTATAATACAATTATTTTATCGCATTTACTATATTGTTCAACTATCTTGTTCACTGCCAATGAAGCTGTATTCTCAAAATTCCAAGTCTTGCAAATAAAGTTATGAGAATAATATTGAATAAAAATAAGCACACCATAATAAAATCTATGTTACAAGAATGGCAGTTGTTGAATATAAAATGTCATATAATATTTGTTTCTTATTTTTATATTTAAAATAAAAATCATCTTTGACAGAAAATTTAGAACACTACATAGAATTGAATAATCATTACCACAATTATTATACAAGAGGAAATATAGATTTTCATTTACAAAATTGCAATATGTAGTAATATAACTAGCAAATCAATATTTCAGAAACGATTACTTGAATTTAATAAACTAAATAATGGTATAAAGTCTACTCGTAATTTAAAGATATTTAAAAAAATTAAAAGAATATTTCATAGACAATGGGAATTCTTAAAGATGCAAATTTTGTTTTTTTCTGAATATCTGTACATTATGTCATTCTGTAGTTTTTTAGAAGAATGTATTTGTAGCAATCATGCTAAATAAATCTTAAACAAACAAACAAACATCGTGAAAAACGTGGCGATATGGGATATGATCCGTTTTACCGCGTCGGTGTGGGGGATCCTTAACTCTCTTTCGACCCTTTCTCGACTCTATCGGCTTATTCCCAGTTTAAAATTAGTGTAAATGAATATAATTTTTATTCGATTTTCCGCTCTGGGCGCTTGAATCCTTGAGTCATGAGCCAGTGTTGAGTTTTAAGGTCTTGAATATCGAATCTAGAGTCGGGTCTCGAATATCGAATAACAAGTCGATATTTAAGTTTTGCAACTTTTACATCAGTTTTAATTGATTTTAGCTTAAAGTTTCAAGGTTTCGAGTATTTAGTTCCGAGCTTCTAGTTTGTAGTATTCAGAATCTAGAGTCTTGAGCTTCGAGCTTCGCGTTTCGAAATCTAAGTCTTTACTATCTTGACTCAACTCTTGAGTCTCTGGACCCATCGAATCTCTAGATTCTCTCAACACTCCCACACTCTCGTGTCCTCTATCGGCTCTCTCGACTTCCTCTCAACTTTTTCGAGTCCTCTCTTGACTTCCTAGACTTTTTATCAACTCCATCGCGTATCTCTTGACTCTCACGATACCCTCAACTGTCCTTAGACCATCACTGGTCTTTCGATTCTCGACTCCCTCTCGACTTTCTCGACTTCCTCTCAACACCCTCGACTCTCTCACCTTTCTCTTCACTCTCTCTCTGTTTCGAGTGCCCTCCACCTATTTTTCGACTGCCTCTCGGCACTCTCTCTCGATTGTCACTCGACTCTTTTTCGACCCTTTCTCGACTGTGTTGACTTGTTACATATTACATTTATTGGATTCTCCGCTCTGGGCGCTTGACTCTTCGAGTCATGAGCCAGTATTGAGCTTTTGAACTTGATTTCGAGTCTTGAATATCGGGTCTAGAGTCTCGGGTCAAATATTGACTAACGGGTTTTGAGTTTTACATTTTTCCAACTTCCGTGTGAAGTTTTAATTGATTTTGAGCTTCGAGATCAGGAGTCTTGACTCTCTTAAAGAAGTCCTGGCTCTCTCGACTCTCTCTTGACCATCCCTTGACTCTCTTTCGACTGTTCCTGGATTCTCCCTTGACTCTTTCTCTCTTAACTTCATTAGCTTCCTCTAGACCCTCTCGAGGCTTTCTCGACTCCCCCTAGACCGTCAACTTACTCAGCTCTCGGCTCTCCACTCTTGACTTCTATATCTACTCTCGAGGCTTAAGTTTTATATTTTTGCAGTCTCCGTGTGAACCGACAGACTTCATGACGACCCCTTGTTGGGAATCGGAGGCATCATCCAGTGTAGCCAGCACAGCGTCATGTAGAAGCGATTGTCAAAGTGCAAAAGCAGGCGCAACTGTTGCTTCGCCCCACAGCATACCAAAACAGCCATTGTGCCAGTGTCTTCCCAAGGCAAAAGCAGTTCATGAGCCAGATGAGCTTTATGGCTTCAAGAGATATGCTATACTGAAAAAAATCCCGTGTGATGAGAAGGGGCAGAGAAAAATTTTAAAGGTAGGATATTAAGTATTATCGAGGTGTTTGGAAGGTTTACAAACAGATACTAATGAATTCATGGCAAAAACATAGCCAATGTGCTCCGCATTTTACTTACAACTCCAACTGGCAAGGAAGTATTGTAATTGCGAAACATTCCTAAAATGAGAGTATGTTTCTGGTTCTTAGATATGACGAAAAACAATGTACTAATTTCCGTCGGTTTGCCTGTCCGCTAATCCTTAACCCCGCAATAACTTGTATAGTATACAGGGTGTCCCAGAAATAGCTCACTAGAGTGACACGGGAGGTAGATTGGATTTAGATCAATAGGATAAAATCCACATGACCTTAGTAAAAGCTTTCTAGTTTTCGAGATATTGCCACTTTGAGGTTTTTTTCAAAAGATCCCTACTTTTTGCTCCTTTTTTGTCTGTTATGGCTATAAAACTTATGATTTTTTCCTGGGCTATCATTAATAGTTGGTTGAGACAACTGAGTATTCATTTCATTGAAAACTATCACGGCATGCTAAAAAAAAAAAAACTAAATTATTTCATTTGGTTTCAATGCGAAAACCTTTGATAAAGTTTGACTAATTACTGTGGAAAAAATATACCAGACTGAATCCGCCTGGAATAACTGATTTTTCATATATCATTATTATTATCATTATTACAACAGATTTTCAAAATTCCTACCACCGACTTTTATACACAACCTGCATCTTCTTGTAAAATTGTCCTTTTAAGCGTGTCAAACTTAAATCGGATATTCCGCTGCTTGACAGATTCAATGACGTAGTTCGTCGGCTGATCGAACTAGTGTTCCATAGACCTTATCTTTTAAACATCCCCATTGAAAAAAAACCAGAGGTCTGGGGAGCGTGGGGGCACCCATCATTCCGTAACCACATCTATCTTCTTGTGTCAAGATTTACATCTTCCAAAAGAATGGGTAGATCATGCTGCAAAAAATCTAGGTAAAGACAAAACTCGGAATTATTCAATTTTTAGTAGAAAGAACCTAAAAATGTTATACTATTTAAGATCATTTGCCGATTCAGTCCGATACATTTTTTTTACAGTAATCAGTCAAACTTTAGTAGAGGTTTTGCAATTGAAACAAAATGTAATATTTTTTAGCATACCGTGTTTGTTTGTTTGTTTCAGATTTATTTAGCATTAATGCTACAATGTCCATAATATCCATATTACACAGTATATCACAAACCATATTATGTCTTCAAAACTACATATTTCTATACAAAATTTCACTACTATGAATTCTGGTTTTCCATGAGACATTTTTTCAATTTCCTTTTGAACATTTTCAAACTAACACACATCTTGATATCATTACTTAATTCATTAAATTCGTACAATCCCTTTTGAAATACTGACTTGCTCGTTAAATTGCTACTGCAGTTTTGTAAATGGAAGTCTATACTTCCTCTAGTAGATCAATTGTTCAATACAATAAAATGTTCTAAGTGATTTGGTAGAAGATGATGTTTCAACTTGAATATGAAAACGAAAACCATGTAGGCTATGAAATTTTTGATATTTAACCATTGTAGTTCTTTCAGCCCAAAATTTATTCTAGTATATTTATTTTTATTTAAAATGATTCTCATAGCTTTATTTTGTAATATTTGTAATTTTGAAAATATAGTTTCATTTGAAGTGAACAAAATAGTCGAACAATATAACAAATGAGGAAGAATGATAGTGTTGTACACAATTTTTTTAGAATAAACGCTTAGGCTATGCGAAATTCTATAAAAGTAATTTATTTTCTTGGATACTTTTGAAATAATATAATCATAGTGCCCTTCAAATGTTAACATACTGTCTACGGATATGCCAAAATATTTAAATGATTCGGTTGACACAATTTTTTCTTGATTAATTGTAAGATTTATCGTATTTTGATCTAAAGATTTTCCTATTAGCATATATTTTGTTTTGTTTGTGTTTAGTTTAAGTTTATTTACATTTAACCAATTTATTACGTTTTTCATATCATTATTTAACAGCTCTATTGCAGTTTCAATGTATTTATTTGATATATATATATATATATAGGGTGTCCGCAAAGTTGGGGTTTTCCTTTACACGACGTGTAGATCTTGAAAACATAAGCAATTTTTCTTAGTACCATATACACCAATGTCTTAAGAGAACCGACATAAAGGGCTCTGCAACATCAAACATATCTGAATACCGTCCTGTAGCCGCGACATCCCCGAGTGGTACTAGGACACTAGCTCAACCCGACGACAGAACTGGGTCGGGGTCAGTGTGTCAGGTCAGTATGCAACCTTCAACCGATGGTTACGGTCACGCGTGTAGAGGTAATCGCGTAGACGAGAATCCCTTAGCAAGCACTAGAGACGTGGCTAGAGAAGTGCAAGTATCAAAAACTAAAGTGTGGCAAACGCTGCGTGAAGAGGGGCTGTATCCGTTTCACGTCCAACGTGTACAAGCCCTTCAACCTGACGATTTTCCAGCAAGAGTGCAGTTTTGTGAGTGGTTGTTGCATCAACATGACAATAATCCGGACTTTTTGAAGTGCATATTGGTGACAGACGAATCTACGTTCACGCGTAATGGGGTGAATAACTTTCGCAACACTTATGTTTGGTCACTTTCAACAAATATTTTCGGTGAATGTTTGGACTGGCATGGTGAACGGTATGTTCATTGGACCATCTATTCTCCCAAATCGATTGGACGTGATGCAATACCTAGACTTTTTACGCAACATTTTGCCTTCCTTGTGTGCCATCGGCGTCAGCTCGGTAGCGCATCAGCTGATTTCATTTTCTGTTGGAGCGGTATGATTTCGGGCAGAGACGTACTTAGCCCTTCTCGTCAACTGGAGAGTGAGTACTTTTTTCTTTATTTTTTTATTACTTGGTCGCCCTCGTTTCACTACACATTACCTTTGTTATTTCAAGGGTAGTTGTTTCTGAAAAGGAAAATCCCAACTATATATATATATATATATATATATTGATGTATTATCAGCAAATAGTTGAGTTTTGCATATCAGGAATATCGTTAATATATAAAATAAATAGTAATGGACCTAATTTGCTACCCTACCTTACCGAAATGTTTTTAATGTTTGATCATGTATTGCCAATTTTACTTCTTTGACTTCTATTGATTAAATAATTTTGTAATAAGTTGAATACTGAACCTTGAAATTCATAGCAATGCAATTTCATTAACAATTTCTCCCTGTCAATAGTCTCAAATGCTCTCTTGATATCTAAGAACAATGTTACTGTAAACTTTTTTTCATCCATATTTCCCCTCCAACCTTCTACTACCATTGGAATTGCTGTTTAAGTAGAAAACCTTTTTCTGAATCCTGCTTGAAATTTTGTCAATATCTTATTTTCTTCAATATATTCATATATGTTTCCTTCTAAGAGCTTCTCGATATCTGACAGTACATTAATTGGCCGCATGTTTGTATATAACTCAGAATATTGCACTTTTGGAACAGGAGTATTTGTAGAACATTTTAATTTTGAAGGAAATTAGCCATACACTGAAATGAATATTCGGTTGTCTCAACAAACTATTAATGGTAGTTCAGGAGAAAAAAATCATAAGTTAGAAGTTGTTTATAGCCATAACAGGCAAAAAAGGAGCAAATACTAGGGATTTTTTGGAAAAACTTTAAGGTGGCAATATCTCAAAAACTATAAAACTGTTACGAAGGTCATCTTGATTTTATCTGATTGATCTGAAGCCAATCTACCTCCAATGTCACTAGCGCGTGTTATTTCTGGCACACCCTGTTTATAGATTCCGCTTATGCCAAGTAAGAAAAGGCGCTTGTACATTTTCAAAATGGATCCAATGACAGAGTAGCTACTGGCAAAAGAAATAATGAAAAAAGGAATCGCTTAAACTTCGTTTTTGACCTTCAGAATATATAGAGGGTTTATGTATCTTAACCGTTTGGCTTCCAACCCCGGTAGTTCTTCGCACCTATTAGACAAATTTCATAGATTGCCCCGCATATATTTTCAATACACGCGAGTTACGCCTCCGGATTTGCATCTACGAGCAATATCCAGAGAATATCCAAAGTCACCAAAATGAAACATCATGCACAGGCCCGCATTTTAAGGGGGGTCTTCTATGTAACATTTTTTGCTCGAAGCTTCATTAAAATGATTCGGGGTGTTGAAGTTTGAAAATAAAAAACAAACTTTTTTAATATCTTCAAAACCGTCAGCTGGAATGAACTAAAATTTGGTATGTGGATTTACCTCAGTGGTGGAGATACAGGAGATTAGTGGATCTATTTTTCCAAATAGAGCTAGTACGTTTTTCTTCGAAACGCGCAATTTTCCGAATTTTAGCGTCAATTTGCTACAAACAATTACTCTTGTGTTAAAAAGAATTGTTTTTTAGTTTTTAACTTCAACACCTTGTATCTTTTTAATGAAGCCCTCGAGGAAAAAATGGTACATACAAGACCCCCTTAAACTGCGGTTTGTTTGTTTGTTTAAGATTTATCTAGCATGATTTCTACAATTACATTCTTCTGAAAAACTAAACAACTACATAACATACAGATATTGAGAAAACAAAAAATACAAAATTTGCATCTCTAAGAATTTTTATTGTCCATGAAATATTCCTTTATATCATTATTTAGTTTATCAAATTCAAGTAATCCTTTCTGAAATATTGATTTGCTAGTTATATTACTATTGCAATTTTGTAAATGAAAATCTATATTTCCTCTTGTATAATAATTGTGGTAATGATTATTCAATTCTATGTAGTGTTCTAAATGTTCTGGCAAAAGATGATTTTGGTCACGACTTGTGATCACCCTGTATATGTCACATCTATTGTATTCAGCTTTTACGCGTTTGCCATTGCAATTTAACGGTCTCAATAAATTTGTTTCGTCAATGTATTTCGGAAAAAAGTTTTTTATAAACTACTTTCTCGAAACTCCCGACATAACTCTCGTATCCTAAGCAACACAACGAACTTAGATGTACTTGCTTCGATAAATGATGGGTGACTAGAATGACGAGTGTGAGGTTAGTCATAGCAACGTTACCAGATCGTCGGTACTGTCTATAGCGTTAACTTAAGTGGGTAGGGACTATGGACTAATTGCATAGCTCAGTTTGACTGACTTGATCTATTTGATTCCATTGTTATACTTGTTCGTAGCTTACTTTTTGTCAGAGTGCCTAACTCGTTCCTTTATAACTGATGACAGCATTGCGTGTCAAGTGCAGAGTCAACCTACTTGATGCCATTTTTTCAGAGGGTGCTCGAAATGATGGCAGAAGACGGCTTTGTTCTAGCACGGTTGCCAGATGCCTACAAATTGCCCCATTTCAAACTTTGGATGCAGATGAGATGTGGAAAAATATGGACAAGGAAAGATAGAGGTAACAAACAGACTTATTCTTGCATGGTAGACGACAAGGCTTTTAGATTCGTTTACATTTTTTCTGCTTCCTTGTGTTACCAACCCGCCATATATGGTACGGTCATTATATGATACTGTTTAAATAATAATAGAGTCTGGTTCATCTAAATAAATTATACATTTGAGCAATGTGCAATAACATAAAAAGCCCTAATAGTTGGATACAACTACTTTGAATGAAGCGAATCTAAAAAATCGGATTGTTTCGATACTGTCATAGCAACACGCTCACATAATATGACTGCGCTATGAAGATCTGGATCCCTCCACCCCCCTCCCGAGCCCCGCAAGCAGGTAAATCAGCGCGATGCAACAGAGCAGTACTCGGGAATATAGTTTCAATTCTATGCAGACAGTCGAGGTTGACGGAAAACGTCTTGAATAATAATTACGTGCCATACGAATTTTTTCCGCCCTTAGTAACGATCTACTCAGGCAGGGCAGCGGCCCAGGGACATCGAAAATGACATGTAGAAAGGCGCTATGAATGATGGAAAGCTATCTTGCAGCATAGAATTTTCGGACCGTGATATTTTCAGTGCGCATGATACTGATAGTAGTAACGAGGGCAGCAATGATAGTCAGAAATACCGTCGTATTTCTAAAAGAATATGCCTGCCTGTTGATTCTCAACAGATTTGCATTAATGTTTATAGTAGACTGTTATGTGAAATGGGTGATAGCGGCAATAGTAGTGTCCTTAAACAAACAGCCGAACTGACTAACGTGCCATATCCTGCAATTTATAAAATTATTGGTCGGTGTCAAACCAAGAAAAAGAAGAATTGACGAGGAGAGGAGAGTTGTTCCGCGCGGACATTTCAGAGATCTTAAATCTATAACAATCAACGTTACTTCTCTGTCCTCATGCCTCCGGTTCTCGGTTTTATAGCCGTTTTATGACTATTGGAAAAAATGTAAATGAATCTAAAAGCGTTGTCTTCTACTATGCTACTGGCTACTTGGCAGAAGTATGTGAGGTTATGTGATATGACAAAATGGAAATGTCAGCCAGTATTGCTGAACCGGAAAGGACGAAATCGGTAGGTAGTGCCATTGAAATTCGGCAAATTCAAGGACAAAATCGGTAGGAGAATTAAATCATGGTCATTGCAACATCAGCGGTGGTTCAAATGCCTTTGTGTCACGCAGCGCCGTCTATAAAGAAGTATATTCCTGTTCGATCTCACAACACAGGTACTTTGAGGCCATTTTTTCCCGGAAACATATTAACTTAATCACTACAACTTATGCAATGAGCATACTGGTCGCTCTTTAAACTCCTTTACAACCATTCTGAAAACTCATTCTTAGGCCCGTATCGTCAGTCGTCGCTACAATTGTAGGGCGCGTTTATGGCCTCCGAGCATCCACGGACGTTATTCGCCCTCTCTTCCCTGGTCGCCTTATTTCCAGGTTTGGCGACGTTCATTGGCCTCCTCGGCCCCAAGATTTATCCATATGCGATTTTTTCTTATGGGGACACCTCAAGGCTAGAGTATACGCGAACAAGACCCGAACTCTGGACGAATTGAAGGGCGAAATTCGCGTGAAAGTCGCCCAAGTTGAGAGAGCGATGTTGGAGAGAGTCTACGCGAACTTCCAAGAACGCGTCCAGCACTGCATCAACGATTTCGGCCACCACATGCCTGATGGGATTTTCCACACTTGACTCTCAAATTCTATTTCCTTGTGAACCTGATTCCATCAATAAATTTGTTTTCGAGTAAAAATTAACTATTTTATGATTGTTTTAAAACCGTCCATCCTCTCTGCCGCACCCTGTATAATCATACGGCTCCAACCACAGCAATTCTACGCATATATTAGGCATATTTCACTCCTCATACAGGTAGGTGTACCAGTATATTTACTCTTAAAACTTCTAACTAAAGTCTGATGTCGATAACGTTGCTACGAGTACGTCATTCCCCGATGGACAAGCGTCTCAGGCGGCAATCACTTCCACAGAAATGTGGGCTTCCACGCACTGTGCATGGTGAAGGCCGATATCGTTATTCATGCGGGATTGGCCATAGTAATGACCATTACGAACTGATGGCAACCTAGCGTGTTAAGTAAGAGCCAACTTACTTGACGCCATTTTTTTACCTTTATTTTTGGATCCAGCAGAGCAACGTATGTAAATGGCACGAAGTGTGCGCAGCGGACTCGCTTTATGGTTGCGATGGTCGCTGGTGTCATGTGACGTCATCACTCAGTCCGCGTTCCAGCAAGATATTTCTCCAAATAAGAAATTTCTGGGTAGCGCAACTTTCTCATTTTTAAAGTCATTTACATTTTTTTCAGTGCAGTACTTCACTTTACTCATTATACCTGTATATACATTTTAAGTGTGTTTCAAAACATAGGAAACTTCTTCACATCATATGGACTCTCCAAAATATATTCTTGACCCGCCCCTGCAACTGATAGTTCTTTTTTTCATTCCAGACAGGTTGAAACTGTTATCCATAACGCTGTGGGGACATACCGAAATATGCTACCAGCCTGTAGATGTTCCACATCTACGCATCAGCCATAAGAGGGCCAATGCTATGACTTGGAATCACGCAAACTATCTGAGGCAAACGGTAATAAAACATTTATGCAGGGGTCCTAAGATATACTCAGTGACATTAGAAGCGTTACACCCAGAAAACATAATTTCTTCAACTTGATTTTTTGGCAATGAGGCAGTCTTACATTAAGAATGAAACGATTCTCACTAAATCACAAACCATTGGTCAGCGATCTGACTCGTCATTGCAAAATGGTCTCGTAAGGCCATATACCCCATTCATAGTCCATTTACGCCCAGAAAAAACACAACATGCCCAAAAGCGAGATTGTACAAGTCCGTATTTTCATTAATGGTCTTGGAATAATATAACAATATAAATGATTATTTTTATAGCAAGAAGTGCACATACTTTTCACAATTCTTTATTCGCTGAAAGTTAATAAAGTTGCATATTTTTCAATGCAAAAAAAAATAATTTTTTGCTTTAACAGTGGCGTGCGTACGGGTATTGACTTAGATGTTTTTTAAGAATAAATGGTACGCCAATGGTTTTTTGCCAAATAAAAATTATTTTTGAATTTACTGTATAATTTACGACCTTTCTTGCATTGTTTTCCTTTGAGTAAAAAAATAAAAACCGTTCTATTGTCCTAGAAAATTAATGTGAAGAATGCAATTTAGCAATAAATATCTAGTTGCTCTAGAATATGTCACTGGCTTTTGACATCTGACCAGTCTCTGTTATTCAAATCTGTTCGCTGTGACATCTTTTTCATTATTTAGTTTTTACAGTCTTGTTAATAATGGTGAATTATTCAAATGCAGAAATGGCGGAAACGCATTACGTATATGGCCTTGCCGACGGTAATGATGAGCAAGCCAGACAGATTTATCACTAGAGATATCCCGATCGTGCTTTGCCAGACAGTCGAACCTTTTCTAATATTTATCGTCGTCTTGTTAAAACTAGTTCTGTCTGAAAAGGAACATCTGAAGGTCAACCTCTAAGTGCGAGAACACCTGAAATTGAGGAAGCAGTGCTGCACGAAGTCGAAGAATATCCTGAAACGAGTACGAGGAAGATCGCTAGACACTTAAATATGTGCCATCAAATTTTTTGGAGAATTTTAGTGGATTTTTTGTTATATCCTTACCTTATTTTAAGAGTACCTTACGATATTTACTTCTCATTGATTTTCCAGGGCGTGTGACCTTTTGTCAGTGGTATCTTCAAAAAATTACACAAAATCCGCAATTTGAATCAATAATTCTGTTCACGGACGAAGCTAATTTTTCTCGAAATGCCATTCAAAATTTCTACAATAATCATTTGTGGGCAGAAGAAAATCCCTATGCCGTAACCGAAACCCATTTCCAACACCAATTTTTGGTTAGCGTATGGGCATTAATTATTGGCAACCACTTTATTGGTCCACTCTTCTTGACGGGTCGACTTGACGGACAGACTTACCTCAATTTTCTTCAACAACAGTTGCCTTTGCTGCTTGATGATGTTCCGTTAGTAATAAGAAACAATATGTGGTACATACATGATGGTACACCAGAGCATTTCAGTGTAGCGGTTAGTGATTATTTACAAACTGTTTATCCAAATCGTTGGATTGGCCGCGGTGGGCCTCAAGAATGGCCACCAAGGTTCCCAGATCTCAACAGCTTAGATTTCTTTTTGTGGGGCTATCTTAAGACACTAGTGTACACAAGTCCCATTAACACTGTAGAGGAATTAAGAGAAAGAATAGTAGCAGCTTGTGATAGAATAAAAAACACCTCAGGGATATTTCAACGAGTGCGCAATTACATGAGAAGGGGGGCGGAAGCATGTATACTAAGCGAAGGGGGCCATTTTCAACAATTTTTGTAATCATTTCATTGGTTATAAGTTATTTTTATGTTGTCAGTTGTTGTTGTTCATTACCCCTAATGTGTTTAATTTTTCCAATTAGTAATAATAATTTTGCAAGTTAGACAATAGAACTGTTTTTATTTTTTTACTCCAAATTGGCGCATCGAAAAAAGACTATTCAGGAGAAATCATTTGTGTCAAATTGTACGGGAAATTCAAAAATAATTTTTATTCGGCAAAAAATTATTGGCGTACCATTTTGTCTTAAAAAATATCGTCAATACCCGTACGCAAGCCACTGTTAAAGCTAAAAATTATTTTTGCATTGAAAAATATGCAACTTTATCAACTTTTACTACGAACTAAATATCAGTGAAATATCTGAAGCGGTTCTGAAAATATTAATTAATTTCAATTTTTTTCCTAAAACTTCAACACCCCGAGTCTTTGTAAGGAAACATTTTTGACCATAGTTCATAAAGCAAACTAACATTAATGTTTTATGTAGATTCACACCCTTAAATATGCAAATCTCAGTAAGGAACACCCTGTATATATTTGTGCTACCTGACTAGACGAATAAGTTCTGCTTTGACCAGTTTTTCATTCAAACTAATGTCTCTTGATAGGAGCTATTGTTGAATTTATGCCTTTCTTGTGGACATTGTCGGCCTTGTTTCTAGTTTTCCAGTATTATCAAGTACAATGACGGCATTGTCGTCAAGCGTTGGTAGCGTTTCTTCAAACCATCGTTCAAATGAACTCCTGCCCATTTTCTCATGGTAGTCGGTCGTTTTCTTTGACTCAAGTGCCCATAGGACAGTGAGCACAAAGCTTCTCTGCCAATGTGACAGATAACAAATCGTTTTCCTTTTCCTGGAAATAATTATTCCATATAGTGTTCAAGAAAACTAATAATACTCGTAATACAAGCAGAGTACCTAACAGGTGTTGGTTCCAAATCTTCCAAATATAGCTTAGTTTAGGTAGCTAAGTTTCCAGCGTGGGATCATAGATTTAGTCTACTTGACACCATTTTTACAACACAAATTGACGAATTGGTTAGATACACGTACCTGACGGATTCTTTAGGCCATCTAAGAAGTCTTGTTTTGCTGATTTAATTGTAGAGTCAGCCTATACTTCAGGTTTTGTATGTCCTGCATTTATCCAGGTTTCATACAAGTGATAAATCTTTTTGCCCTGGTCGCGGTATTTCTTTATTGATTTTAAATTTCTTCTCCATGAAATAATCACTTGGCTGTCCATCAAAATACTATTTCGGCCCCGTTTTCTGTACTCAAAATGAAGTTCTTTGAGTAATCTGTAGAATGTGGTTCTTTTGAGAGTAGGTAAGTCTTCATCACTATTAACCTCCCGTAATACTTTGTCTAAGGCGGGAAGTTCCTCCCTTTCAAAGCATTGATAGATTTTGCGTCTGATGTCATTCCGATCAAAGTTATCAACTGTAACCAACAGATTCGTGTAATGCAGCCTCTTGTGTGGTGGAGACTTTTTTTTGTTTTTTTTTATATTCTTTAACAATGTTGCACAATATCTCAGGTCATACGCCTGTTTTGTTCGCCACACGTCTTTTAATATTACGAATTTTCATTTCAGGATGCTCTAAAATTTCGCTCTTATAAACGCTAAGGACAATTTTTTTGCCTGAATATTCAAATGTGCCTTCTTGTCACGTTTTCGGGGAGGAGAAGAGAAATTATGGCTGAAGGAAGCATTGGGAGAAATATCCTTAGTTTCATCTGGTGTATCCGTAGACGACATGCTAATGTATAAACTCACGCTATGGATGTACCGAATATCACAGCAACTGCCGGTGTCGGCGTGCCGCCGATATCCCGAGCCTGAGTTCTATCCTGCCGAATCCTGCGCTTGTTCGTAGTTTTATGGCCGAATAGCTATTGCAACGCTTAGGCGGCTGCCGCTTTGCCGCGCTGCATCTCTATTGTGCTGGGGCGTAAATGGACTATGAATGGGGTATAGTGTAGATTGTGTGAACCAATAATAAGAGGGTGTCCGTGGGCAAAGAAGTTACGGAGTATTGATGAAAATTTATTCATGGAAATTTATGAAAAAGCGCTACAATATATTTGTAATTGTGGAAGACTATCAGTACCATAAACGGTAAAAATATTTACTTTAGCTTTACATTCTTCGCTGCTGCCATATGCACAGTACATTGCATTTTAATCTAAATACTGTTAAAAACACGAGGGAAACACAATATTTACTGAACTACAAAAATGTCTGTGTCTTTGTCGCGAAAAAAAAGAAACGGAAGTAAACCACCAAAAAAGTGACAAAAAACATTGTCTAACTCGACTTTTCTGACAACGACTTATTAACTAAGATGCTTCTTCATACATGGCGATTTTTTGATGTGTAATCGGTCGACAGTTCCGATATTTTAAATAAATAAGCGCCGTATCGTCAGTAATTCCCACATAACGTAATTCCTACAATTGTAGGATGCTTGTATGGCCTCCTTAATTTTCATAGCCCTTTCTCTCCTCCAGAAAGGCTTGGAAATTTCTATTTTTCTACTGTTCCATGTCAGCGTCAGCGCTCTCCTACGTTTCCTTTTTAAAATGTAGAAAATTTCAGGCTGATATAGCATACGATATAAATCAAAACACAATTTGATGCAAATAGATATTTTTAACATAACCTCAAAATAGAGCGTTGAGACGGAACAGTAGGAGACTATGAAAATCAAGGAAACCATGTAGGACGCCCTTATGGCCTTCTTGATTTTCGTAGCTCTCTACTCTCCCGTGTCAGCGCTCTATTTCGAGGTTATATCACAAATATGTTTCTACATCAAATTGTTCATGCTTCTGATTTATATCATTTGTTTTATCAGCCTAAAATTATCTACAGATAAAAAATAAAGCATATCTTCGCAATTGGAGAGCGCTGCCTCTGTCACGGATCAGTAGAAATCTATAACTACCCTAACCTTTCTGAAGGTGAGAAAATACTATGAAAGTCAAGAAGGCTAGAAAGGCGTCCTTGATTGTCATAGTTATTTCTCTCCTTCAGAAATGCTTGGTATTTCTAGATTTGACGTGTTCCGTGTCAGCATCAGCACTCTCCTATTGGGAGGCTATGTTTTCTTTTTTTGAACTGTAGGAAATGTCAGGTTGATATAACAGATGATATAAATCAAAAGCGTGAACAATTTAATGCAAATAGATATTTGTTACTTGACCTCAAAATAGAGTGCTGGCACGGAACATTAGGATACGCCCTAAAAGGGTTATAAAGTTCTCTGAAGGCTGAGTCATAATTGCATGACGACACAAACATACATTTTTTTTAAATGGATCACCTTTTTTGTAGTCTTTCATTCTAAATAAAAACTAACACTCCATAAATCAGAACGATCAACCTTAGAGTTACCCTTTGCTACAGGCACCGCACTAGCTCAATCTAAAACTGTTACCTTTATAGCATTATTTCCAAAAAATATTACTGATGTGAAATGTCAAGCGGTAAATAATTAATTGAAAATGCACCATATTGGGGATGCTTCCACATAAATACAGGGTGACCCAGAAGTGGACGTCAAGCCGGAAACGGGGGATAGGCATAATAGTCATCAGACGAATATAAAAAAATTAAAATCTTGTACTTGTACAAAACCGACAAAATGTCACTTTTCAAGATACGTAATACCTGTGCCGGCCTCACTGTGGCCAATAGAGGCCGCCGATTCTGGCTGTAATATTCCTTACATTTAACTTTCAGACTTCGATTTGATTTAAAAAATGTTGCTGATTCTAGAATAAATAATGATACTACATTCATTACTTTAGATTTAGAAACAGGATTGCGTTTACTTAGTTGGAAGTCTTGCCTAAGATTCATTTACGAACAACGTAGGTTTCAAAGAGTTTCTCAACCAACATTTATCGAATTTATAATCAAATTATCAATGACTTGAAAATTCTTCTGTATCCAAACCAGTTTAAAATCAAATATAAAAAAAATATTTTTGAAAAAAACTTCATTGCGCATTGCCAGTAAATGAGGCACAAGCTACCAAACTAATGAAAATTTATTTTTTGTACTAACACTAACATTTTTACCGGTCTTTCTAAGGTTGATAATGTGTATTAGCTACAGGGCTGAACTTAGATCATGCTTTCAGCCCTTTTTGTAAAATCTTTCATTTATGTATTAAGCAATATTTTATTTACCTAAACTGTTTGTAGCAAATAATTATTATTATTATTATTTATTAATATTGTTTCCAGCCATTCTGAGACCAGACACACTAAAAGGGAATGCGGTAACTTGTTCTACTTTGGACTAAAGCAAAAAGTGACTGCTTAAGGCTGGGCTTTTATCTTTGTTGTAACTAATTTTCCTTATATTATAGAAAATCTAGTGAAATCTATTTACTGATCACTAATCAGTCCTAAAAACTTAACAGTGTCTGTTTTATACAGGGTGGCGCATAGAAAACGAAACAGATGCATTTACTGGCAGCTCAGCTTTTTTTTGGAAAAACGCTCAGACCCGTCGATTTTGTTTTCGAGGAGGACATAAGCTTGGCAAAAAATCACGTTAACAAGTGCAGCCCCCTGGGCGGGGTGACACCAACCCTAAAATTTTAAATGGAAAGGGGGGGTCAAGTGATACCTTATTATAAAGGTCTTTTAATTCCCTTTATAATGATCTAAAACACATGAGCTTCAGTTCAGTAGTTTTGAAGATTTATTGATTTAAAGCTTAAAGTAGACTTTAATAGGTACATCAGATTAGTTTTTCTACTTTCAGAAGAAATTTGACTAAAATAATTTACTTAATAAGTAAATGCTTTTCTTCACTACGCCCATGATTTGTTTATCATTTTGTTGTTGAAAATAGATATTGGAGCGTTTTTTGTAGCAAAAAAGTTATTTCTTGAAGAAAGATAAGGAATATCTCGTACTTATTTTAAATAGGAATTTAGTACATAGTTTGCGATTCATTTGACCAAACTTTGTTGCTAAAATAACTTGTAACGGTTTATTACATAAATTAACCATGGTATATTCCACAGCAGAAAGAGTTGAAATTATGGAAATATTTTTCGGAAATAACCAGTGCGCTAATAGAACAACAGAAACATTTAATGAGCGACATGAGAACGGTAACGTGCATCGAAAATATGTTCTAGAACTTGTAACTAAATTAGTGTTAGTCGACGTACTGTCCAACGGATTCTAAAGGCCCATATTTTTCATCCGTATAAAATTCACCTGGTACAAGAACTTAATGAAGACGATTTTGATCGGCGATTACAATTTCGTGAAGATATGAGTGAACGAATTATAAACGATGAACATTTTCTATTCAACACTTGCCTTTCCGACGAATCTTCCTTTTTCTTAAATGGCGTAGTAAGTCGTCATAACTGCCGATATTGGTCCGATTCTAATCCCAGAATTTATCATGAGGTTCATACACAGCAGCCACAAAAATTGAATGTTTGGGCTGGTATTTTTGGCGATCATTTAGTTGGTCCTTTTTCCTTACCTGGAAATTTGACCGGTGAAATCTATTTGGAATTACTGGAAGACGCCACAGATCCTACATTAACAGCGATAATTGAAAATCAGAATGATCGGCGGTACATTGCGAATAGGTTGATGTTCCAACAGGATGGTGCTCCACCACATTACGCATTACGTGTTCGACAATATTTAGATCAGACGTTTCCAGATCGATGGGTTGGTAGAAGAGGTTCCATTGAATGGCCCCCAAGATCGCCAGATTTATCACCTTTGGATTTCTTTATGTGGGGTCATTTAAAAAGCAAAATCTATGCTATTCAGCCAACATCATTAGAAGACCTGCGACAAAGAATTGTGAATGAGTTCCTTCAAATTACTCCTCAAATATTGCAAAATGTGCGGCAACGTTTTGAGCAAAATCTTTATTATAGGAGGGTCATGGTGGCCATTTTCAACATTTACTTGCCTAACGGGTCAGTTCATTCTTCATTTTTAAATTACTTTGCTGCCAAATGTATTGATCTCCACTAATGATGATGTATTAGTTTTATTTAAGCTTTAAATCATTAAATCTTCAAAACTACTGAACTGAAGTACATTAATTTTATATCATTATAAAAGGAATTGAAAGACCTTTAAAATAAGTTACCACTCGATCCTCCTTTCCATTTAAGATTTTGGGTGTGGTGTCACCCCCGCTTAGGGGGTTGCACGTGCTAATGTGATTTTTTGCCAAACTTGTCCCCCTCGAAAATAAAATCGACGGGTCTGAGCGTTTAACAAAAAAAAACTGAGCTGCCAATAAATGCGTCTGTTTCGTTTTCGATGCACCACCCTGTATATTAATTCATTGTTTGTATTCATTGAATCAAGGGAGCATCTAAAATCGATGAAATCAGTCTCATTTGCATTGAAAGTTAATTAAGCTATTATGACACCATGTTTTGATTGCTTGTTTTATTTGTACCTATGTATTGCCAAACTATTTATGGTGTCGTCAGGCAAAAACTATAAATTTCCCATCTAGGTTTAAATTTATTCAGTCGTTGGTATAAACTAAAAAAGGGTCGGACCTAATACTGGTCCTTGAGGTAGCACTGCGCTTATATTCAATTTGTTTGAAATATTACCGCTTTACAGTTTGGAATCGATAATTTAGATTTGTTTCAAGCTCGAGAATGTTCTATTTTTTAGCTTACCGCTAAATATGAAGAATTCTACAGGGCGCTCAGAAAGGCAAGGATCAACAGTGCAAGAGAATTTTATCCAACAACGTTCTCTTACGAATTTCCCACGCGTACGTTCAGAGATTGTTACTTTGCATACTTACCGGCGAGAGAAGAAGACCTTGTTTTTCCTACTATCGAAGAAAAGAAATTCCTTAAAAGATACCAATGTTACTGCTGAATCAAACAAAAATGAAGACATCTTTGAGATTTGATTTTATTTTATTTCCTTACTGCCATCCACTGCCATCTGCAAATGTATCTCTAAGGTATGGGCGCTCATATATTAAAACTCAAGAGGGGGAGGAGAGGTGTGCTGCGAATAAAAATTGACTGTTCATCAATTTAACAAAAAAGGTATCAACCGTAAATTCTAATTGCACGGGTTACAGCTTAAGCGGCTGGATGGATTTTGACAGATTTATTGAAATAAAAATGGCGGATTTTAAATACAAACTTCAAATTTAGATTTCTATTTCACGGGCTACAGTCCAAACAGCATGATGTATTTTGACATTTGAGGTGTCTTAGTTTCGTCTTGATGGCACAATTGATCGCTTATTCTTTCCAGTTACAGCAGTCGGATTGTTTGAATCCTTAACACGCTTTTATTAGCGTAGCCTGTATGTATACGTATGTATGTAACGAAATCTTTGAGCATCATTTTCGCCAATTTCAAGAAGTTTCAGTAATTTGAAACTTCGCCCACGTATCAAGGAACGATGACAGTGCAAGCATTTGATAACAGTTTTTCATTCTCCTTCTTAAGACCGCCAGGATTAATAAATTCTTTTATAGATCCTCTGTAGGAGAGTAAGAGAGCTAGAGCTAGCGCGCGATCTGCGCATGCGTGCAGTTTCGGACTTTCTCTTTGTCGGTTTGAGAATTCGGCACGGTACAACGGAGGCAGAAACTTTTTCAAGGTAGTGCATTCTCACCTTGTTCATTGCGAATGTTGCCATTAATCCTGAATTGGACTTCGACCGTCCACAAGATGCAAGGTTGTACAGTCGATCCTGCATTTATCTAGGCTAGCAACTGTTTGCTGCTGGACAAGCTTATGTAGCACTTAGACGCGTAAGATCTTTAGACGGTATTCGGATTGAAGAACTTGATTGCTCTAAGTTAACAGGGAAAACCCCATGCAACAGTGAAACTTTAAATAAAATGATTAGACTACTAAATGATTCGTAAGACATTTCAATACTACAGTCCAAAAAAACTAATTGATAAATCGAACTCGGAAGTGAAAAATAAATAATAGTTTGAAAAATTTAAAAAACGCTTTTATAGCTGACTGAACTGAAAAGCAGAAAATAATTAATAGTTACAATGAGTTTATATTACAGTAGTAGATCGTCGAAGAATCAATCATTTAAGTTATTAACAGAATAATCCAATTCAGAGTAAAAAGTGTGGGGTGAATTTTTCTACATTTTCTAATTCTCCTCTCAGAGATAGTTGCCAACACAATGAGGGCAGCATTTAATATATCAAGCACCCCACGCTTTTTACTTTGAACTGAATTGTTCTGTTAATAACTTAAATTTTATCACAATTTTATTTTGAGGTCATTAATTATGATTGATTGTTCGACCTTCTACTACTGTAATATAAACTCTTTGTAATTAAAAATTATTTTCTACTTTTCAGTTCGCTTAGCTGTAAAAGCGTGTTTTTTGTTTTTAAACTACTATTTATTATAAAATATTCATGTTTACAATAACATCAATTGCAACCTACTATATGCACTGGCAATAAGCAATTTTCCGTAGCGCGCGCGTCCAATAGAACAGTAACTGTCATCAGTATAGTCCAAAAATAATGAGATAAGAATTTAGCAATTTGATGATCACTTCAGTGGGAATGAATGAGTAATGACGAACTTTAATTATAACACAGATCCATAAAAAAGTGGTGTGTCCTGAGGCCCCCACTATATTTTGCCTGTATTTTTTCCTGCTAAAACACGAATCTGAAGTCAGACGTCGGGGTCGATGGACAATATGACATTAATATGGAAATCTGAAATACATATTTTGGTATTTTTGGTGAATGTGTACTTCTCACAGATCTCTGAGGATGCATGTGCATCCCCCAAACATACAGGGTCCGAAATAAAGACGCATGTTTTGAAATAGCTAGTACTCTCCGCCTATTCGGGCGAGAGTGCCGTACTACTCGGGCGTTCGTAGCATTTTTACCAGTACACATTATGGAGCAGTGGGCAGTTGAGCACCGCGTTTTCGCGTACGACAGTTTTGTCCAACATAATGAGTCTATCACGGCTGTACAGCGTGAGTTTCGTCGCCACTTCAATATTCATAGGAATCGAGGTGTTTCTTCTTGTAACACCATTCTTTGTTGGTTTGGGGTGTACTGATCATCAAAAGACCACCAGGAGCTCCAGGAACGGTATCCGAACCCCTGAAAATGTGAGGCGTATTTTGCATATGGACATTGTGCAACAGTTACGCACAACGAATGAACTTAGCACGTGAGATAGAAGCACTTATCGAGCAAAATTCAAACCTCATTTTGTTCACGAGTGATGAAGCTCACTTTCATCTTAATGGCATCCGCGACAGTTACATGAAAGGCTGTTGCACAAGCCAAAAGTGACGGTTCGACGCGCTGTATCGCAAACTTGGGTGGGGCGACCTCCCACACAGCCAAATCAACGATGAACCTTATCCGCCCTCTCTTCGGAGGCTTTATTTCCACCTCAAGGCTCGTGTATATGAGCACACGCCTCGAACTCTAGACGGATGAAGGAGGCAATTCGTGTGGAAGTCGCCCAAGTTGAGAGAACGATGTTGGAGAATTCTACCCGAACTTTCAAGAAAACCTGCATGAATGCATCGGTCACCACATGACTGATTTTTTAGCAACCGTTCAGCCTTTGTGCCGGACCCTGTACCAAAATCTATAATCTTAGTGTATAAATTTAAATTCGTGTTGAGCGGAAAAATATATGGGAAGAAGTATAGTGCGATCCCCAGCATACATCACTTTTTTCATTTTGTAGACCTGTGTAATTAGGTAGCTGGAAAAACTGCGCGTTTCGAAAAAAAACAATGGCGTACTATTTTTATTTGGAAAAATAGTGCCACTAATCCCCTGTATCTCCGCCACTGGTTCACGTTAATTTGACGGTTTTGAAGGTACAAAAAAAATCTTTATTTTAAAACTTCAACACCCCGTATCTTTTTAATGAAGCCCTCGAGGAAAAAATGATACATAGAAGACCCCTTTAATTTGCGGTCCTTTGTATGATGTTTTATTTTTGGTCACGACTTGTGAATCACCCTCTATACAATATGTACATGAACAACCGAGCAAGTAAGACCTACTGTTGGATCCAATTTTTGCTCTGCGGCTCCTTGTTCAGCATCATTCGTCTCACTAGCGGCTCAATATCAACCCCTGTGCCCTCGCTTACATGCGAGGCAAAATTGTCAACAGTGAGTATCTCGCCGAGCGTCAACTCCAGCTGTCTCTCGTAGACAACCTGTCTACTACAAACGAGTAGATGATTGGGTATATCCTCCTGTACGTTGCAATATATGCAGTTCGCTACTCTCTTTTTCCTACCCTCTTTAGGTTGCTGTCAAAAGAGCCTTGTCCTATGAAAAGTTTTATTATTTGGGATCAACCTTCTAATCCATGCTCCATGGCCAGTTGCATCCCATCTCTCCTGCCATCTGACAAAAAGCACCTTTCTTTCTTTGCTTCTTGCTTCGGTGCGCTTCCTTTAGCTCGCGTACCTCTCCTCAGACAGCAAGCCAATTGGCGGGATACCTGCCACCACAGCAGTGCATCGGTCGAGACCTTTCTGTAAGTGCATGCCACGCGCAGAACTACTAGCTTGATCTCCCACGGTCAGATGCGCGGTAGACACGGCGGAATGTAGTGGGGTCACCCCAGTACAAACCAGCAGCGATCGAGGTAGTATCGTGGGTACAGCTCCAGTAAAAATATTAATTGCGTTAGCTATAGGTTGTTTTAATTTATTCCCGAAGGTTCTGAAAAATGGAGAGTAAAGTTGCAAATAAAGTTTTAAGTGGTCAAAGCCGAGAAATTGTTGCCTCGGTATTGAGATTCATGCAGAATGAGGCTGAAAATGGAGTGGCTGTTCCTTCACACAGAGTAAATATAAGTACGATTATAATAAATTACGATTACTATTGCGATTATTATTATTATGCAGATTCGAAAATTTAAGCAACAATGAATAACTAATTACTCTGAGAAGACTTTGTCTAAAATGCCTATGTTCGTTCAAGAAATTTTGCATATAGTTTTAACCATTAGTGAAAGTACAATATAGCACTTTCTCACAGAAAGATTTCAAATTATCTTTAGCCTTCATGATGAGTATAATATATATATACTTGTAATATCACGTATTCTTGTTAAGGGGTGATAGATTAGGTCAAAAGCAACCGATTTTGTCCTATAATGTCCTATCCAGAAGTTAACCGTTTTTGAGTTATTTGAATTTTATTTTTTTTATTTTTATTCCGATTTCAGACGGTTAAATTTGAAATACAAAAAAACTGCATGCTTGATTTTAAGATTTTTGTCAACGTCGCATGGCGGACATCCCAATAGTTCATAATAAGTAACAAGCTTTCATTTGCGGTATAAAAGTTACAACTAACTCAAGTACAAAGACATAAAATTAAAAAAAGATGAGTAAAGTGGTACGAACGATAATTACGTAGGATAAATAAAAGGCTTTTATTTTAATTAAAGTTTTATTTAATTACATTTCCCTTAGTATTTTACAGATTCTGCTCAAATGGTATTCCCCTGTTACGAATACACGCCCGCATTCTCTTACGTAATTCACTTTTGGTAACTCTAGTTGTTAAGCGGCTGTTTATTTGGTCAGCTACACTGATTATCCTTGTAATTAATTCATCGCGCGTTGGTACGGGCGAAACATCGTACACCAGGCTTTTCATATGTCCCCACACATAGTAATCCGTCGGTGTGAGATCTGGGCTTCTTGCTGGCCAGGCAATGGGCCCGCCTCTGCCAATCCATTGATTTGGAAATTTAGAGTCTAAATACGCCCGTACTAATCTACTGTAGTGTGCGGGACAGCCGTCATGCTGGAACCGCATATTTTGTCTCGTCGCCAATGGGACGTCTTCCATTAATGGAAACAAGTGATTTTTCAAGAACTCTTAATACACTTCTCCATT